CAGCAGCAGAGTGATGCAGACGGCGGTGTCGGCGGGCCCGCGGTGCCCGGCCAGCCGCCGCCCACCAAGACACACCGGCGCCGGTACCGGGTGCTGCGGCGGCGGCAGCAGCAGCAGCAGCAGAGTGGCGGCCCAGGTGTGAGCGCGTGACACTAACCGGCCCCGGTGGCGGCCCCTGCTGCACGTCCGTCAGGTGCCCGGTGGCGGCTGACCCGACTCGGCTGTCCCCGTCTGACGCCCCTGCCGCAGTTGTCCGTCCGTGTGTCCGTCTCTGACCCGCACGCACCCGTTTGTTTTGTTGAGTGTCGTACCCCCTGCACATAAATGCCTATTACGTAACAACGTGCACAACATTTCCGGACACCTTATTTCATAATCTGGTGGTGGCTCTCTCACCGACTGTTGAATGCGATATTTTATCACGAATCCTCAATAGCCACATGTTGAACGAACACAGTTGATCGGTGTCTATTGAACATATATTTTCATGAATAATACCCCGTCGACTTATAACATCAATCATTCTTACAACTCTGCCTATTGGCTTACATATCGGTTCTCAATTTCAATTGGATTGATGCCGAGACAAAAAATAAACGGGGCGGATTTGGTGGTTGGCTATTCACTGGTGCTGGATCGTTTCTCGGAATGAAAGTCCTGTCCGGAAAGGTGTGCACCCAACCTGATTTGTCGCTGATTATGTCGTTTTGTTTTGCTTGTTTTTACATTCGGTTTTCATGCCCCTTTTAGCGTTAAAATATTTACAATGTCATTTTCATTGTATTGTGCCAATTTTAGCGCAATTTTTAAATAGTAGATTATTAGCCTGGCGCTAGTGTTCTTTGGCTTCATGATTTTTGCGCTTTGTGAAGAAGGAGCGGACGCCAACCGTGACCGCGATTCGTTGCTTCCCGGCCCGCCTTTTCGCTCTGCTCTCCGGCCAGCTAACGCCATTCGTCCGTCCGTCCGTCTGTGTGGGCTCTGCCGTGAACACTAATCCAAACATCAACTGCTCCACCTTCAGCTACCTGCGTGACTTGTTCTCGATTACGCTGATTGATTTTGTCTTGGATTTCGGCTTTCGCTATATCTTTTGCCTCATGGTGCGATGGTCACTTCAGTGTCTGGTCGTGTTTTCTGGTCGTTCTTTTCAATATCTCAGAATCAGTGTCCCTTTCATTCCGGTTGCGGGGGCATGCTTATTGCTCACCTTGGTCTGTGTGTCTGGTGCTGGGCGTCCGTGCATTATGGGGTGCTTTCCCGTAGGCAACGAGGTGCACTACCAGCGGAGCCGGGTGGCGTCGACAGACACGGATAGGAGCACCACCAGGCGGCCGGCGCGGCGCCGGCGCATCTACCAGCGCGTCAACGCTGTACGCCGCTCCGGTGACGGCCGGGCGCGCGTCAGGGGCGGCGGCGGCGGCCCGGCCCAGCTGCCCGACTCCTACTTCGAGGAGGGCGGCGCCGGCGCCGGCTCGGCGACCACCGAGCAGCGCCGCTACAGCTGGAGGAGCACGCAGAGTCTGGGCGGCGCCGGGGCGGCCGGCGGCGGCGGTCTGGTGACGGCGGCCGGCGGCCGGACGGCGCCCCCGGCCGGCGGCGCCTCGCCCGTCCGACAGTACTCCTCCTCCTACTACTGGACCACCCGGCTGGGCGGCGCGGCCGGCGGCGGCGCGGCCGGACAGGGCGGCTACGGCGGCGAGACGGCCGGCACCACCGTCCGACGGACCAGCGTCTCCCGGCACCGGGTGACGACTGTGGGCGGCGCCGGCGGCTCCTTCCCCTGTGCGGAGGGGGTGCCGTGCGCTGCCGGCGCTCAGTTCACCGGCCAACAGAGCGGCGCCGCCTCCCAGCAGGCGGGCCGGGTCTACGGACAGACCCAACAGACCTATGGACAGACTTATGGACAGACTCAGCAGGCTTACGGACAGACACAACAGACTTACGGACAGACGGGCAGTAGCGGCCAGACATACGACCGGACCCAGGGGTATGACCGGTACGGCGCCGGTTCGACATACGATCAGACGCAGGGCGGGCGCACCTACGACCGCACGTACGGCCGCGGCCGCGTGGACACCAGTCGCGGCGGCACCGTGGTCACCCGCTTCCCGGGCCGCACCGTCTACCGCAACGCCACCGGAACGTACGTCAACTACACGCGCACGCTGCCGGACGGCCGCACCATCAGCTCGTACAACTACACGGTCAGCTACCCGGGCCGGCGGCGCGGCGGCGTCATCACCGCGCGCAACACCACCACCGTCCGTAACCGCACCGTGCTGACCACCACCTCTGAGCGCGTGGTGCCCGGCGGCACGCGCGTCCTATACCGTAACACCACCACCGTGCGACAGTTCCCCGGCAGCAGCGTGACCGGCTCCAATGTGCGTCAGACCACGCTCACAGAGACGAGCTCGTCGGGCGCGAGCTCGGGCGGCGGTGGATCACTGACCGGTCAGACCACGGTGGTGGGTTCGTCCGGGAGTCAGTCCAGGGTGTCGGGATCACGTGTGACCGAGTCGACCGAGCGCGAATCCAGGGTGGCGGGATCCTCGGTGACGGGCTCTTCCTCTGGCTCTCTGTCTGGCTCCTCAGTCTATGGCTCTGGCTCCTCTGAGTCTGGCTCCTCCTCGAGCAGCATTTACACCTCCCGATATCGCAACGAATCGCGGCAGGTGTCCGGCTCCGAGTCGGCCGTGTCTAAGTCTGAAAACACAGGTGTGCAATCGCGTCGGCGCGGCGGCGGCGGCCGCGGCCGGTGGACGGGTCGGCGCGGCGGCGGCAGCGTCACCCAGGTCACCAACGTCACCCGAGTGGTGACCAGCTGGACGGGCGGCAGCGGCGGGTCGCGCACCAACGTCACCAGGGTCGTCAAGGAGGAGCGCATCTCCCGGGAGGAGCTGCAGCGCGCCTACCGCGCCAAGAACCGGCTGGAGCGCTTCGGAGGTAGGCCTCGACACAAGGTGGAGGTGCACGCTCTCCCGGCCCGACCCTACTCACCGCTCACCCCCCGCCGACTGACCCGCGGTCTGTCAGACACGGCTCCGACCGGCTGGTGGCGGTGGTCCGTCCACTCTCGTCCGGTGTGTGGCTTAACCCCTTCGTCCGTCCGTTCTGCTAACCGTCCGTCTGCGTCTCACACACACTGGTGTCGGCTCTCTTGCATGCAGCGTGGTGTGTCCAACCGGCGCTGAGACCACGCCGGCCCCTGCCTCCCGCTCTTCGTCCGTCCGCTGGGCGCACCTGTCTCGTCCGACGCACTTTATGTGAGCGAGTGAGAGAGTGAGAGGAGCTCCGGTGAGACGGCCGACGGCGATGAAGACGGCCCCCCTCCCTGGACAGGCTGGCTCGGAACGGTCCTTCCGGGCGGAGGACGGGCCGCCGGACTCGCATCTACTGGCTACCTCACCTCCGGCACAGCGCGGCGCTCGCTCGGAAGCGGCTCTCACAGTAACGGCATTCAGGTGAGATAGGTGAGAACAGGGTTTTTCAGTTCAAACTTTTGGCTTGTTTATATTGGTTCTGATTGGTGGGATAGGGTTTTGATTTTTGAGCTCCTGTTTTCCATCGGTTCTTGTTGTCATGTGATGTGATTTGCTGGATTTCACACGGCTCCGCCCTAGTTTGATGACGTGATCACTCGGCGCCTGGCACAGTTCCGCCTGGATCGCTTCGTCCCTCGCTTATCATGCCTTATGTAACCAGTTTTAAGACAAATTTCGACAGCTGAAAAGACATGAATACTCGCTTCTCGCTTGCGGATACTCACTGAAGATCTCTGTATTACATAATGCCTCATTTTTTACCCTATTAGGTATCAACGAATGAATTGAGCATCAAACCCTGTTGGTAGGTAGTTTGCCGCCTTCACGTATGAAAGGAGTAGACTTTAAAAGTAAAATGTATGGTGTAGGAACACCTTCAGTTGCATTACTTATTTATTCCAACAGTTACACTTAATCGTGAGTACCCGTATGTAGTTTGGGAGTCGGCCGGCGCCGAATCGCTAACCGATCCCAAGCCGGTCACTCTGTGATACTGGCTGCCCACGCGCATCCCTAGCCCCACTCGTGCGTGAGGGAGCGGCGCCGGCTGGGTTGTTTTTGTGTTCGCCACCCCATGTCAGTGGAGCACGTGTGCCAAACTGGAGCGGCGTCAACCCAGTTCGGCCGCGCGCGTGCGCCGATCTCCAGGGCGATCGACATGGCGCGCGCCTGGACAGTTCAGACGACTGGCTAATGTCGCTCGGGCGTAAACAGTGGTCGCCGCCGGGCCCAGTCCTGCGCGCGGTCCCTGACCGGTGGCCGACGGCCCTCCGGGGGTCCTGTGCCCGCGGCCTCCCACGCCTGGCCACCAGCCAGCCGGCGGGCGAACCGCCGCGTCATGCTCGGACATACACCGAGGGGGTTTACGAGCCTGTTTGTTGGCGGTACATGCACGAACCGCTCTCGGTGAACTGGGGCGTGTTGAAATGCTCCGGGGGTCGGTCACACACATACGCGGCGGAAATGAGAAATAGAAACCAAGTAGCTTTGTGGTGGCTAAACTGCTGCGAGAGGAGACAGAAACCGGTTACCAAATAAGTCAGACCCTGCAGGGAGCAATCTTGGTACCCATCCTACACTTGTATCGTCCATAGGGAAGGTCATCTACTCTGACACATGCTTAGAAAAATTCAGTGTCATGAAAAGACGTTTAACCGATGCAGAATCTCTGTTTACAGGCCAGTATCATCTCCTGTCTGCTCAGCTGACTTGGCACTCTTGTCCACAGGATTGCTTTACAGGTCTTACTTTCAGGTTGTTCGCCGTCATCTGCTCATTTTGACCCCGCTCTCCCCTCGTGATCTGTCAATTGTGATGAGTTATACCCACCATATCGCGATGTCTCTTGTATCGTGTCCTGTATTGAAACGCACTATACCAATGTCATTTTGTATCCGACGTGTTGTGCCCTGTCGTCCCTGTGCCGATACTAATTGTCGAGCGGCGCCACAGAGGCGGCTGCTCAGCAGACCTGCGAGAGAGGTTCCTGCCTGCCGGCGTCAGGGAACCTGCTCATCGGTCGCGAGGAGCGCCTGCAGGCGTCGTCCACGTGCGGTAACCGGCGACGGGTACGTGCTGGGTAGAGGAGACGGTCGAACGGACGGCGGGGGGGGGGGGCGGTTAGTTGGTAGGACGGGGATCGCTCAGTGTGTGAGGTGTTTATTGTTTGTTGGGCTTTGTTAATCACTTAAGTCATCTTTATCCTTCTTCTTCTTCTTTGAATTGCGGTGATATTTTTGATGTTTCCGAAAAACTGTTTTATCGCCTTACCGACAATTCACGCATGACTTTCTAAGGTTGGGTTGAGTTTCAGTCCTCACAAGTCACAATATTTTTATCCCATCCTATAGATGCTCCCTCCAGCGACATACTGGAAAATTACTTCAATCTCGCAGCCAGCCATGCTGATTACGGCACCTTCCATCCTGCTTCCGTCCTGCTTCCGTCCTGCACTCCTGTCACCGGCCAGGTCAGGTATGAACCAAAGTAAACTGCCTACCGACTGCTGCCTGTACATCACTGAATCGTGGCTGTATGACTGTGACCGGCCTGTCCTTTACTTACATAAGCTCCCCGATCCCAGTCCCTTGTCCAGTCCGGCTGCCGGCCGCGGCCAAGACGACCCCGGGGCCGGGACAGGATGTGTCGGACCGTTGTCGGGCTGTCATTCATTCCTCGCCCGCTGCCGGCGCTGGTCGAGCTGCGGTCACAGATAGTCGGACGTCCGGTGGCGGAGTGCGCCGTCCGCCGCCGGCAGCGGAGATAAGGACCCGGAGAGACCGTCCGGTCGCGCGGCCCGGTGGCTGCATGGACTGCCATTCTGTCCCCTGCTCAGCAGTATAGCCTCCAACCAACTCTAGCATTTGCAGCCCGGCCTGTTCATACCCGATCCCTGCCCCTGCATCAGTTTGCTGCTCTGGTATCTGGGGCAATATTGCCCAGCCGAATGCGATAGGCTATATATTATTTTATATCCCACACACACATTTGTGTCTCTTTGTGCTCAATCTCTTTATACGTATGATATGGTTTCTGGCTCACTGACGAACGGTGGCAACTCCCCAGGAGCGATATTGTATAGTGTCGCATTTGGAGGAGCGTAAGAAATGTTTCTGGTGCGACTCGCGGCCACAAACCGAGAAGAAGTTGTTGCTCAACCATCAGATCAAGCATGCCGTCGGCGCCACCAAGATCGGTCCCAAGGGGTGAGTGAGCTATATCGGTCCACCGAGCTCGGGTCAGCTGTGCTGGTAAGGATCTGAAGGAATGAGGCTGATAGAGAACTGTTTCAATGACCATGTATAATGTGATTTCGATTTGATGTCTCGCTGGTGAGATTGCACGAAAGCCTACGTGAAGTTCAGTAATACGTTGAATTTTCTGTCAATTGCCCGACTTTTTTCGTAACCTGCATGCTCCTTGCCATTTGTATTGCAACCGCACCATTGTTGATTAGCAACCGCCGTTATCTGGTGCGCACGCCGTGTGACATCTCGTAGCTCCCTCCCCTGCTCTGTAACACGTTGGCCGCCTCCGTCAGGTACCGCCGGCTCACCTGGTGGCAGGCAGAAAACGGCATGGAGAAGGTCCAGATCCAGCTCGACCTGGAGGCCGAGTTCCACTTCACACATCTCATCATGCGGTTCAAAACGTTCCGGCCAAAGGCCATGGTCATCGAGCGCTCCTACGACTTCGGAGAAACGTGGCACGTGAGTGATGAAGGGTGGCTGGGTTTGAGCTGATAGTAGAATGGTGACGATGTCCTAGTAACAATGTTTATAGCATCGAGACTAGCAGTCTAGGATTCGTTTGTTTTGTTTGTTTTTTGTTAAATAAGCGATTTTTTTTGCCCTGCGGAATCTTCTGCTTACGATTGAACCTCCCGTGATCTGTTTTACGTTTCTGTCACTAATGACGTATTTGACGCACATGGAACAACTAAGTATAGCCTTTTCATCTCGTCTCTACCGAAAATGACGAGCTAACACTACTGACGAATAAATAATTGTAAAGCCTAGTCAGTACCGTTGACAATCTTATATGCTTTGCTGTTCGCGCATATAAGCCATTCCATTATTTTATCCTGTATCGAGAAATTGGTGCCGTCTGGCCCTGTCGGCTGATGCTCTGTTACCGTCCGGTGGTAGGTGTGTACCCTCTGACCGGCCGTGTACCTCCAGGTGTACCGGTACTTTGCCGACCGGTGCGCGGAGGAGTTCCCGGACGTGTACCAGGGCAGTCCGCGTACCATGTCGGAGGTGGTCTGCCAGGAGCGGTACTCGCGGGTAGAGCCCTCCTCCCGTGGTGAGGTGAGTTAAGCAGCGTGCGGGAGAGGGAGGGGGCAGTACTCGCGCGTGGAGCCCTTCCCCTCGAGGGGGGGGGTCAGTACTCGTGCGTAGAGCCCTCCCCCCTCGTGGTGGGGTGAGTTGAACAGCGGGGGGGGGGTCAGTGCTCTACATGGAGCCCTCCTCCCGTGGTGAGGTGAGTTTAGCGGCGAAGGGGGCATTTTACATTTAAATGAATGCTGCCACAGATCAGTTGCCATTAGAGTGACTTTGACTTTATAATAAACGCTGGCTGATGTGAATAATTATTGCCTCTGATTCTTACTCATTTAAAATTGTTGTCAGTAAATCTAAAGACGCATCCTTCCTTCGTCCATGTAGGAATGAGCGTTTCAATAGACAGAGCGAATTGCTCCTGTCGCTCGGAGGTAGGCGGGTTTTCCAGCGCCCCGGTGCGGTGTCCGACGGGCTCCGCCGTCGGCCGGCGGCCGCCTGTGTTTGCGTTGGACGCCGCCGTATGGAGGCGGCTGGGTCGGGTCGGTCGGTCGGCCCGGCCAGCATGTGCCGACCTCGTCAGGCGACTGACAGCGGGGCAGCCCGGCCCGACGCGGCCTGCTGGCGCCCTGTGGTCGTTTGATGTGCTTTGATTGGGCTGCGGAGAGACTCGAAACACGGCCTGAGTCACCTGTAACAGGCAGAAACGGGTACAGGCGCGTTTATCCTGGACTACTTTGGGCCACTTCTCGCTGCTTGACGCTTGTAGCGGAGGTTATAGGGCTGAAGTTAAGACGTATATTCCATTGGAACGTAGTTTTACGTGGCAGTGGTTGAAGTGTAAGCATGCACAATGAGCATACAGGTATCACTCCGGTTTTCCTCCTACTTTTTTTTTTACAAAATACTTTTTTGTTGTTGTTCGGATTTTGATGGCATCTTTGATTTGTTTTACGGGCGTTTCGGAATGAGAGTGACTGTTCTGACGCTCGCTGTCTGTCTCCGTCCGTTCTCAGGTGATTTTCCGTGCGCTGCCGCCGCGCCTGACGCCAGCCAACCCGTACAGTGACGAGGTACAGAACCTGCTGAAAATCACCAACCTGCGCATCAACTTCACCCGGCTGCACACGCTCGGCGACGACCTGCTCGACCACAGGAACGAGATCAAGGTCAGTACGGGATCAGGATCGAACCAGGCCACCGCCATCCTTATATTGCAGCGCTATCGGTACAGGACGCTAGCGGCTTAGTTTTGAACGTCAGGCGCCAGTGACTGATGTGCGTTTTGATAGTTGAGCTTTGGATGTCATTGTCAATGGATGGGTAAATGTGTAGAAATTGGTGCAAAAGTTCGTTGCGACCAACAGCTGATATTTGTGGCTAACTAAACACCAGCCGTATGATAAGTAAGCGATGCTGCATCAGCCAGCAGCGCCTGACGTCTCATCTGTCTGGTCTGCCCGTGCAGGAAAAGTACTACTACGCCATCTACGAGATGGTGGTGGCGGGCCGGTGCTCGTGCTACGGCCACGCGCCGCGCTGCCTGCCGCTGCCGGGCGTCGACCCGGTCCCAGAGATGGTGCACGGCCGCTGCGAGTGCATCCACAACACGCAGGGACTCAACTGCGAGCGCTGTCTCGACTTTCACCACGACCTGCCGTGGAAGCCGGCCGTCGGCAAGGAGACCAACGCCTGCAAACGTACGGACACGGACGAGACTGTGGGCATGGTGCTGGGAGAAGGGTGTCGATTTGAAGGATGTGTTAAAGCGCTTCTGTAATGCGTTAATATATTTATGCTGAATAGATAAGAGTAGTAACTACCCTACATGTCGGAACAGTATTTCCAGTGTGCTGTTTGCAGCAAAGTAAAAACATCCGGATGTAAAACTGGAGACGCGGGAGTTGGACAATTGTCTGTTTTCTCCTCAACATGTCTGTCGTCGATACGCTTCCGTAATCCCACTGAACGGCCGCGCTGTCCGTATGCCGCAGCCCCTGCTGATCCACCGCTCTGCCCGCAGGCTGCAACTGCCACAACCACAGCGACCGGTGTCACTTTGACCCGGCGCGCTTCAACCAGACGGGCTTCGTGAGCGGCGGCGTGTGCGATGACTGTCGGGACAACACAGAGGGCTATAACTGCGAGCAGTGCAAGACTGGCTTCTACCAGGTGCCCGGCCTGGACCTGCGCGACCCCAACATCTGCAGAGGTCAGTGCTAACGTCACTGAGGGGTCCAGGTGGCAGAGGGATGGGCGCGATGGAGTGTGGTGTGCTGTATCACTGTGCGATTGAAATTTTCGCGAGGGTGGAGGGATACTCATGGTTTGAGGCGTAATTTGTTTGACAGTAAAATGATAATTTCGGTGGTTCGGTTAGTACTGTGAATTTAGCGACAACGTTTGCTAAGTGTTTTATCCATTATGCTCCAAACTTGTTCGCCTAGAAGCTGTTTGTCTAACCTTAATTATTATCCCGTGTACCGCAGAGTGCGAGTGTGACCCGCGCGGCTCCCTGTACGACGGCATCTGCGAGTCCAAGGCCACGGACACTCTCCCGGCCGGCCACTGCCACTGCAAGGAGAAGGTGGGAGGCGCGCGCTGCGACCGCTGTCAGCCCGGCTACTGGAACTTCACCGCCGAAAACCCGGCCGGCTGCCAGGAGTGCACGTGCGACCCGCTCGGCTCGCTGCCTGACATCGGCTGTGACGAGCTGACCGGCCACTGCCGCTGCAAACGCCACGTGGTCGGCCGCAACTGCGACCAGTGTCCCGAGCAGTACTGGGGCCTCAGCGACCACCCGGACGGCTGCAAGCCGTGCAGCTGCGACCCGGGCGGCGCCTACGACAACACCTGCGACGTCATCACCGGGCAGTGCAGGTACGTGGTCGGGCGAGGGAACATCAGGGGCGCAGGGAACCCTAGTACGCCGTGGTGCTTAAAGTAATTGCAGAATAGTTCGGCCTTTGCAGTGGACTGAGTGGAGAGGTTGTCAAGCACATATGCGTCACTATTGCCAGCAAATTATGAAAAGCATCAGTATCGTCGAAGAACCTCTGTCTCTCTTGTCGCCCACCGCGCGCCCGTTAACACCGCCCTCCCCCTGTGTTCAGGTGCCGTCCGAACCTGGCCGGCCGGACGTGCAGCGAGCCCCAGGAGAACTTTTACGGTGGCCTGCTCGACTACCTGGTCTATGAGGCCGAGACGGCGCGCACAGACGAGGTACGCTCTCTGCTGTGTGGACAGACGTGACGAGTTCGCCTGCGGCACGCCACTGACGAATTACCTCTGGCGAGCTTCCTTATTTCACCTTTGTTTAGTTGACCATGCTGCATTTCTAAGATATTGTTTGCTGTTTATCGGCTGGTTTTCTCTGAAGTGGCTCTGTGTTTTATCAAGCTCTATATTGAGGCTGCATCATAGGAGTTCTGGGGCTGGGTTCTAGGGCTTTGCGTCTCTTATGATTTATGTCTTCCTCGTCCGTAACTATCTTTGTTTCCCTATACAGCACTCCCAGACGATGGTTCGTAGCCTGTACCTAACCCTGCCCTCCCACCCGTACACAGCGCTCCCAGACGATGGTCCGAGAGCCGTACCGGGACGGACGGCGCACCAGCTGGACAGGGCCCGGCTTCACACGCGTCTTCCAGAACTCGTTCATCGAGTTCGACATCGACAACATCGAGCGCTCAATGGACTACGACCTGGTGGTGCGCTACGAGCCCCAGGTACGTAATGAGCGGGCTGGGACCAGGAGTCCTGTGTTGGGTCCTTGTCAGATCGATGAAGTGTATACGCTGAAGCGAGCGAGGAAAGGGTTGGCTGGATGCTGGGGCAGGGAGAAATAGTGGGGGCGGATTGATGATTGTTTGTTGGATTGGGAGTGTTGTTGCGCCGTGCTCGTGAAACCTTGTCACGGCGATCATTGAAAGTCAGCTGTGAGTGCGCCCTGCACTGCCAGTGACGCTGCTGCTCTCTGCTCCGGCAGTCGGCCGCCGCCTGGGACAACGTGCGTATGACGCTGATCCGCGACCCGGAGGACCCGATCGACCCGGCCGGCCAATGCGGCGCCATGCAGCCGGGGGCTGACGAGCAGCGGCTCATCCTGCTCTCCGGTGGGTATGAGGGCGGACGGGGGAGACGGAAGGGGAGGGACGAACAGGGGAGACGGGAGAGACAGGTCTGACCAGCAGCGTCTCAGGTCTGACCAACAGCGACTCACCCCGCCCTCCGGCGAGTCTACGGGATGACACGGAAAAAGGTCCGACATGCAGCCCAATTCATCCATCTGTCAATATTGGACAGCATTCTGCAGAGAAATGTCAACAACAACCCTCTCTTATCCATCTGGCCTTTTGAGTCGCCTTGCTGTCTGTACCCCTACCCTGCGCTGACCAGTGTTATCCGCCCGGCAGACCGCCGTCACGTGACCGGCTTCCCGCCTATTTGTCTGGAGAAGGGCAAACGCTACAAGGTGCGACTCGAGTTCGAGCCGTTCGCCGACGCGGACCCGAGCAGGAATATTGGCACCCTGATCGACTCGGTGAGTGTGGCGGTCAGCGGCTTATCGGTGACTGGGCGGGCTGGCGACGCGAGACGAGATAAAAAGTTCACTGGTAACTGAAGGGAATTGGTTAGTGACTCGCAGCGGGTTGCTGATCGCAATTATTCATATGCAGGACACGTATTTGTTCTGTGAATGTCTTATGTGAATTAACAGGAAAGCTGTAGTTGATGCACTATCGGCCTGGCGGAGCCCCCCGGTAGCAGAACGATTCACCGAAGCGTCTGCAGCTTGTCCACTCACCCGCCTGTGCTCGCCGTGAACTCCTGTCGCCCGCAGCTCCTGTCGTCCGCAGCTCCTGTCACCCGCAGCTCCTGTCGCCCGCAACTCCTGTCACCCGCAGCTCCTGTCACCCGCAGCTCCTGTCACCCGCAGCTCCTGTCACCCGCAGCTCCTGTCACCCGCAGCTCCTGTCACCCGCAGCTCCTGTCACCCGCAGCTCCAGTCGCCCCCGCCCGTGCCCGCCGAGGGCCCCCGTTTGCTGACGGTGCGCCGCCCGTGCGCTGTTTCAGATCGCCCTGATCCCGCGGGTGGCACAGCTGCCGATGTTCTCCGGATCAGCGGCGGCCTCGCTGCAGAAACAAGAGTTCGACCACTACCGATGCGACGAGTATTTTTACCAGGCGTACGGGCGCGAAGACATGCCAGAGGCGTGCCGAAAACACATGGCTAGCATCGGGTACTACGTGTTCGAGGGAGCCAAGGATAAAGGTGGGTGCAAATGGATCTGGCAGCGCGGTCCCACGTCGTCCTAGGAAAGTCTCAGATATCGTCGTCCTTCCATGAATGATATTCCGCAGGCATTGCTCATAATTTCATAAATGCGCTTCTGATGAAACGGAAGCCACAAAGTTTTTGAGGCTGGAATGAAATGTTTTCTTCAATAGGTCCCATGTCGCCGATGACCTTGTGCTGACAACATTTCCTCGTTTACTCAGAAACCCATGCAGCTGACCGCTGTGTTATGTGAGCCTCCCCTGTTTAATTCGATACTCGCCGGGGTTTCCTCCTCCGTTGTGTCCGTCCGTCTGACTGACCCCCGCGTCCCACCGACAGAGTGCGGCTGCGACCCGACCGGCTCCGAGTCGACCCTCTGTGACCCGCTGGGCGGACAGTGCCGCTGTAAACCCAACGTGGTGGGCCGCCGCTGCGACCAGTGCGCTCCGGGCACCTACGGCTTCGGTCCGGAGGGCTGCACAGGTCAGTGAGGGACAGCCGGACCGACGCCGGGTGTGCGCCGGGTCCCCGAACGGCAGCCTTGGAACGTCGGGGATGGAAGGAAGGGTTTGGATCCCGTTTGCTAGTTATTTGATGATTCATACAGTTATTCCAAGTCGCGTCTTTGGACTGGTGTTTACTTACTACGCGTTCTTTGTTACCGTTTTTGTGGGCGTTCTTTATTTCAAGTATGTACATACCTGGAGAAATCAATGCCTCTTCGTGTGTCGGCTACCTATGTTGACGATATTTTCTGTCCGGCAGCGTGCGACTGTAACGCGGTCGGCTCGCTGGACAACTTCTGTGACCGTACCACGGGCCAGTGCAAGTGCCGGCCCAACACGTACGGCCGCAGCTGCGACGAGTGTCAGCCGGGCTTCTGGAACTACCCGGACTGCCAGCGGTGCGACTGTAACGGCCACGCGCCCACCTGTGAGCCCCGCACCGGTATCTGCATCGACTGTGCCGACAACACGGCCGGACACCACTGCCAAGTGTGAGTGGCGACCGGACGAGAGGCGCAGCTCGGATGGCGTGGTGTGATAGTGTGCTGTGTGGTGTGAGTTGTGAATGTCTATGACCTAAGTGATGTCAGGGTTACTGCTGTCCGATAGACTGCGGCGTTTCACTGCGTTACCATAAATATAAATGTTTATCAACGACTGTGGCGGTACGGTGATGGCCGCCGGTGCCATTGCCTCTGTCCCTGTGACTGGCTCCACCCTCCCCTCCCCACCCTAACCCGTCCCGCCCGGTGTCCACAGGTGCCAGGACACGTACTACGGCGACCCGCGGCTCGGCGTGGACATCCCGTGCCGACCGTGTCCGTGTCCGGACACAGTGGAGAGCGGACACTCGTTCGCCGACCGGTGCTACCTGGACCCGACCACCGAGAGTGTCCTCTGCGAGTGTCGCGAGGGACACGCCGGTGAGTGCCTGGCCAAACGATCCTAGATCGCTCAGGGGGATGGGTTTTACAGGCTTGCTAGTTAATCACAGTGATCTCTTGCATATCCCCTGCTATCAAACTGGTTGAAAGTGACAGATGGGACCGTCCATTTGTTCTACAGATATAAAATACCAATCTAATATGCAGAGATTATGGCGTGGGATGACGATCGTGTCAGTGCTTCTGGTATTGGCGATTTAACCCGTCAGTGTCCCGAGGCTCTGCCCGGACTCAGTACCTCGTTTGACGCCTTCCATTTCCTCTCCCTTTTCTCTACAGGCACTCAGTGTGACGTGTGCGCCGACAACTACTTCGGTAACCCGGAGGAGCCGGGCGGCTCGTGCCAGCAGTGCGACTGCAGCAACAACGTGGACCCGTCGCGGCCGGGCAACTGCGACCCGTCCACCGGCGAGTGTCTCCAGTGTCTGTTCAACACGGCCGGCTTCGCCTGCGAGCGCTGTGCCGACGGCTACTACGGAGACGCCGTGGAGAGGACCTGCCAGCGTGAGTGGAGGAGGGGAGAGCGGACCTGGAGTGGGGATGGGGGAGTGGACGTGATAGGTCGGGCTGGCGATGGTTTGGGTGGACTTGTCTTATTGAACTAGGGACGATGAACGGTTTTATTAGGATGGAGACGGGGAAGCGAAATTTCCAATGAACTGCCAAGTGCCACCGGAAAATGACGAGACAGCTTCGCGTTGTTTCGTTATTTACCATCGATTCCGTCAACTATAAAAGTAAGACAAAGACATGAGACAACAGACTTGAAACTTCAGTTATAGCATACGGTTCGAGTCAGCGCCGTTGGGACCATTTACAGCTGACCCCCGGCGTCTGTTTCAGATGTCGTCACCTGCCGTCGCTGTGTGAATGGAGTGACTGGACCCCTGTAAATGTCCGTGTGCCGTGCCTGCATGCCCCTACCCTCCTCAGTGTGCGGTGCTGGTGCCGTCCTGGTGGTGGTGTCGTTTGAGTTTTCACTCCTTTCCCCCACTCACACACATTCTCAACACAGACAGCCGTTTCAACGGCGACAGTTTGCTAGCTTGCCGTTACCGTCTGGTGTGTCAAAGTAAGCTAGTGAAGTCGCTCTATCAGCTGGGCCGCTTTTGCCGTCGGTGGGTCTCTGCCGTTTGTTCGCTCGCCGCTCAGTGCCGTCACTCCGTCCGTGTCCGTTCTGACACCACCGCCCCGCCGCCGCGGCCGCCGCGCCTCTCCACAGAGTGCGTGTGTAACATTCTGGGCACGGACGCGACCGCCGGTCCGTGCGACCCGGGCACCGGCCAGTGCCACTGTCTGGCCAACGTGATGGGCAACCAGTGCGACCGGTGCATCCCCAACCACTGGAAGATCGCCATCGGAGACGGCTGCGAGCCGTGCGCCTGCGACCCGGTCGGCAGCTCGGACGACCAGTGTAACGAGGTAAGAGCTGACGACCGGACGGCTGGGTTATCAAATCAAAATTCTGGGTTACCGATATCAAAATTCCGAGATAGTTATTTATTTAAATTGTGTACATATTGTTGCCCTTATCAATCGCTGAGAGTTTCAAAGAGGTCGGTCCAGAAAAGATGCATGATAAGGTGTGCCAAAAACAGCCGCCGTTTTTGAGATGTTCGCGAAAAACCACAGGGAGGGTTCAAATATCCCCACCCCCACCCCTACCCCCAGCAGGGCGCGGGATAATATCCTTGGCATTCAGTACCATCGTATTTCCTGAATCTTCTACTTGCGATTGAATGGCAAAACTGCCTCCACCCTCCCGAACTGCTATATGTGCTTGTGTAGGAGGGCATCGAGGAAAGAGAAGTGTTGTCAGCGCGTCTTGTAGAATGTAGATTTCAGAATCTGCTCGGCTGGCTCCACTTCGTAGACGACGGAAGTTAGCAATACGTACATTGTGCTACCTGTCCTGCGGCCGGCTCCACTGCGCTTGATATTAATCTCTTCTGCAGATACTGGCTCCGCTCCTTCTACAACCGCGCGTCCGCAATGTTGTTCCAAAAATTCGCCCTTTTCACCGCTTCCTTATAATATTTATCTTTTTTATTATAAAGTCATGGATATTTTCCAACCAATGAAATTAATTTCTCATTTGAAAAGGCCATGAGTCATGTGAAATACAAAAACAGAAATGTAGCTATCACTCCGTTTGAGATGCAAATGTTTTGAAATAAAAATGAAACGCCGTCAAATTTACGCTTGAATTTCATATTCTCGTGAAAAATCGCGAGACTATAAGGGCACCGTTGGTTAAATTGGTCCTGTAGCGCTGAAACATAACATTATTTCCCTCGTGCCTTAATTTCATATCACAAACGGTGGCTATCCGGCAAGGCAAAAGTTGAGATGATTTCAACTTTTTGCCGGACCGGAAAATCTGGCTCTCCGGCCTGCCGGACCGGTCAAAAGAAGTTGCCAGATTTGCCGGTTCACACCAGTTTTCAATTTTCCGGCACGGAATTGGCCATTTTTCCGGCCCGGCAGACGGAATTTTGTCGGTCCGGAATCCGGTGTGAACCCGGCATTACCCAGGGACTGGCGGAGACCCGGTGGACCGGGAGCGGACTGGCGGAGGGGCGGATGGGGAGTTCAGTTGACTGCCAGAGGGGGTCATTCGAATAGTTGGGCAGCTGTATTGGCGGAGGGTTGATTGGAGGGGAAAGATCGACAGATGATTGGTGTAGTTACCATGGGATAAGAAAGAGATGAACTGTTCTTTACATCACTGGGTTAGGAAGAGTAGTGGGAAGAAGGCTGGCCGCTGGGTCTATTTAGATGGAAAGAAAGTGGTCGGTAGAGGGATGGGTAGAAGATTCCACAGATCACGGGCCAGAGTGCCAAACGTTTATTTTAACATTAGCAGACCATAAGCCTTGGATCTTCTTTCACTCCACTTTTCGCAAACTGAGGAGCCCCATCACCGGTCGTTCTTCGAGTGACTGACGCCGACGCCACCCGACCCCCGCCCCCAGTACGACGGACAGTGCGTGTGTCGCCCCGGCTTCGGCGGCCGCCGGTGCGACCAGTGCCAGGACAACCACTGGGGCAACCCGCGCGTCCAGTGCTTCCCGTGCCAGTGCAACCCGTACGGCTCGGCCGAGATGCAGTGTGACCGAGAGACCGGCCGCTGTCCCTGCAAGGAGGGCATGGGAGGCGACAAGTGCGACCAGTGCGCGCGCGGCTTCAAGGGCCGCGCCCCGTACTGTGACGCGTGCGGCGAGTGCTTCGACAACTGGGACCGCATCCTCACAGAGCTGAGAGGTGGGTGAACGCAGTGGATCGCTGCACTGCGGCGGAGGGTAAAGAGGCGACAGTGTTTTTTTTTCATAATGGAGAGTGGTTTCAAGTGAAGCAGACGTCATTGCTTCCACTCACGAATTAACTTAATGTGTCGACGTTAGTATTTAATATTAGCCGAGTCACGAATCTCTGCTTTCTGCATGTGTTACATTACCAGTGAGGAACTTTGAGTCCCTACTTTAAGCGTCATTGCCGCTGTATTCTCTACCCGCTGAACACCAACCCTCCTCTCCTCCCCGTCGTGCAGACCGTACCGAGTACCTGCGTGACGAGGCTTCCAAGATCCAGAAGGGCGGCGCGTCGGGCGCGTACCAGCGCGAGTTCAGGGAGATGCAGGAGTGGCTGGACGGCGTTCGCGAGATGCTCGGTAACGCCACCGTCTCTGACGACCAGGTGGACCGGCTGCAGGCCAACATCGATCAAGTGAGGTGAGTCGACGGGGTATGTCCACAGCGCCGCGCCGTAGCCGGTAACAGGGGCAGCCGCTGGTAGGTGTTGCTGCCCAATTTATCGGCTGACTTGCGTACGTGGATGTATGGTAGTCGTGTCAATCCGTTACACTTTATGTCCCCGGAACCTTGAGCGGCCTGGTGTTTCGGATTTAATGTATTTCATTTTATGTCAGATGCGTCTCTTGGAGGCATACCAAATCCACGTTCTGTCAGAGATGTGAGTGACCCATCTGACCGTCGGGCTCTCCTGTCTCGCAGGTCGAATCTGACCGAGTCGGAGCGGATGCTGGCCGAGATTGGCGACGAGGTGGATGACGTCACGCAGCGTGTGCTGCTGGCCGAGCTGAAGGTGCCCGGTCTGCGCGGTCGGGCTGACTCGCTGCGGGCCGCCGCCCTGGCTCTGGAGCAGAACGTCACTCTGCTGCGCGAGGCGGACGTGGACGGCGCGCTGTCGCTTACCAGGGATGCCCAGCGCCGCTCGGAGGTCAGTCGACAGACGGGGTGGGCCGATCGGACCGGTCCTGGGAGGAATAGAGGACTGCGTGGTCAGATTTTCCCCTCAGTTGCAGTGTGTCAGTGTGATGAATAGAGTAGAGGAGCGCACTGACAGTGCCGCCTGCCATCAAAAGGCCGACTTTATTGCCACGCTAGACGCTAGGAAAGGCTGTCTGTATTGAATTGTGTAATGCTGTAAGTTTTGTGCTAGCCAAAATGTATTTTCTTCCACCAGGCCGCCGAGTTCAGTCTGTGTGATGTATGTCGTACTAACTTTTGGTATCGTTTCCCACCAGGCGGCCGAGTTCAATGTCGGCTAGGGGCAGCTGTCTGTGTGATATATGTCGTACTAACTTCTGGTATCGTTTCCACCAGCCCGCCGAGTTCAGTGTCTGCTAGGGGAGCTATGTGTGTGATATATGCACTGATATATGTCGTACTAACCTTTGATATCGTTTCCCACCAGGCGGCCGAATTCAGTGTCTGCTAGGGCAGCTGTCTGTGTGATATATGTCGTACTAACCTCTGGTATCATTTTCCACCAGGCCACCGAGTTCAGTGTCTGCTAGGGGAGCTATGTGTGTGATATATGTCGTACTAACCTTTGATATCGTTTCCCACCAGGCGGCCGAATTCAGTGTCTGCTAGGGCAGCTGTCTGTGTGATATATGTCGTACTAACCTCTGGTATCATTTCCCACCAGCCTGCTGAGTTCAGTGTCTGCTAGGGGCAGCTGTCTGTGTGATATATGTCGTACTAACCTCTGGTATCGTTTTCCACCAGGCCACCGAGTTCAGTGTCTGCTAGGGGAGCTATGTGTGTGATATATGTCGTACTAACCTCTGGTATCGTTTCCCACCAGCCTGCTGAGTTCAGTGTCTGCTAGGGGAGCTATGTGTGTGATATATGTCGTACTAACCTCTGGTATCATTTTCCACCAGGCGGCCGAGTTCAGTGTCACTGAGAACGAGCGCCAGCTCGCGGAGTCGGAACGGCAGCGCCGGCGGACAGAGAACCTGCTCAGTCGCGCCGGACAGCAGTTCAACCAGTCACAGGACAGCAATCAGCAACTCATCGACAGCGTCAACCAGAAGCTGAGCGAATTCGAGCGCGACATCCCGGGCATCAACAGCCAGGTACGTACTGAACGCCGCAGCTCCCTCGGGGTAACGCGTGGGGATATCTTTAGAGTAACTCCTAGGAGTTACCCGCGTGTGATGCGACTGTGCTAGTTTGTACTGGACGTTGCCTCGTTGACCTCTGTGAGTTTCATTGTGCGGCTCTTTGACGCGTATTATCGTGCGATGGAGCAGTCAGTCGGTAGCTGCGCTGGTTGATACTTGTGTGCTGTCCCGTCAGGCGGGCTGCTAACAGCTGCGGTCACTGAGTCTCACTATCGTGATGGTCCCACTGGCAGGTATGTGGCGGCGAGGGCGGCGACCCGTGCGACTCGCTGTGCGGCGGCGCTGGCTGCGGCAAGTGCGGCGGCCTGGCCTGCGAGGGCGCCAAAACAGTGGCCGACAGCGCCTTCACTGTGGCGGAGAAGGCGGCCACCACCCTCACCGAGCGAGAACGGGAGGTGGACGAACTCCTCCGAGGCGTGAGTCGGGGGCTGAGCGGATCAGGGGCGATGCTGTCTTCTGAAACCAATGGAGGGTAGAGTTTGCGGTTCTCTTTTCAAACTCAGATTTTACCAAGCTATTTTTTCATTCCATGTTTCACTTAAAGTAAGCTTCACCTAGTGGGAAGTGTTGCTCGGCCGATCTCTACTCGTTGTGTTTAGTTTGTCCATGTTTTACCGCGGTCGTCCTCAGCCTTTGGTGTATTTCTTGCGTCTCGACTCACTCGCCGTTCCCACTCGTCAGGTGACCATGGCGAAGCGGGCCGCCGACGAGGCGAACAGCCTGGCGCAGATGGCTTTCACCGGCGCCGAGCTGAACCACAACCGCACCGAGACCACCAAACAGCGCGTCAGCGAGCTGCTGGTGCAGATCGACGAGTTCCTCTCCGAGGGCGGCGCGTCGCCGCAGGCCATCCGCGACCTGGCGCGCGAGACCCAGGAGATGTCCATCTCGCTGCGGCCCGAGAAAATCACCGAGCTGGCGCGCCAGATCAACGAGACGATCGCGTCTCTGACCAACATCCAGGGCATCCTGGACGATACTGCCGAGGACCTGGCCACGGCCAACGCGCTGAAACGGCGCGCCGACGACGCCAAGGCGCAGGCCGAGCAGATTCTGCAGACGGCCCAGTCGGTGATGACTGCGCTGGAGCGGGCGGCCAGCGCGCAGGACGCGGCGCGGGCCGCCATGGGCTCGGCAGAGACCAGCATTGAGCAGGCAGAGGCCGACCTCACCTCGGTGAGAGGGGGCGGGGATCTCACCTCGGTGAGAGCAGGGGCAGGAACCGATAGATCTACCTGAGGCTGACAGAGAGCACTCAGTCTGTATCGATCGAGCGGGAGCAGGGTCGAAAAATTTTCCGGGAACTGCATGCCTTTAGGATAGAAACCGGTGCATACGACAGTCACAGCTGTGTATATTTGATAGTTTTACTGGCTCCATTAGCTCATATTCATTTTACTTCTTTTCTGAATAGGCAGTTGCTGCTAAAATGAAAACATCAATTCATAGAAGCAAAATGAAGCTTATCCATTTCAGCGAATTTGTCTTCTGTTGCGTTGCTCAGGGTTGTCGGACAGTTGGTCTATATCGCGCCTTGTCATGTCCACCCGTGTCTGACCTCGTCATCTCCCTGTGCTGCAGATCGCCTCGGAGACGGGCGAGGCGCAGCGCCAGGCCAACGAGTCGCTGGTAACCGTGAGCCAGCTGCGCGACCGGCAACAGGCGCTCTCACGCCAGTTCTCCAAGAACGAGCTGGACGTGGGAAGGGCCGTCAAAGAGGTCCGTCACAGGAACGGCGGCGGGGGGGGGGGGCGAGAGGGGAGGAAGGAGGGAACGGCGCGGAACTGGGGTACGGTGGTGCTACTGCTGCTATTCCTCCTCATGGTCGTAGCCGGACGTAGCCGAGCGGCTTTGGAGAAACCTAGCCGCCGCCGCCAGGCCCGCCACCATGTCGTCTCGCAAATCCCTCAATTGGGAATGAATGAGCCCTAGCAGACGCGGAGGGGTGGGGGAGGGGCTGTCAAACTTGCAGACAAACGCGAAGGTGGACCTCGCTTGAATCCTTGGGATTTACCTAGTGCCGGCTGACGGACTCGGGTTCCCGTCCGCCCACAACCGTGTACTCATGTTCCTGTTGGCCGTGTGCCGTGCCCTGTGTGTTGTGTTCGTGTCTCTGGGATACCCGCCCAGTGTTCCGGACTCTCCTCCGCTGACCGCGTCCCTCCGGCAGGCGGCCAGCGCCGGCGAGCTGGCAGACAGGGCCCAGGGCAAGGTGGCTGAGCTCGAGAAGAACTACGAGGAGGCGATCGCGCTGCTGCGACAGAAGGAGCAGGACAGCGGCTCGGCGCGCGAGAGGGCGCAGCGCCTGCTGGAGCGCGCCAGCAGCCTGTCGCTGAGGGCCAACGGCCAGGTGGAGGAGCTCAGAGGTGAGGGGGAGGGATCGGTGGAGAATGGCCGGTCAGTCGGTGGAGTTTGGAGGGATTGGAGGGTCGGGTTAGTCGATGGGTCGTGGTAGGCTCAGAGGCCAGTGGATGAGTCACAGGGCTGGTGGAGTGTGAATCAGAGATCGGTAGAGGGTCAGATGTAGCCCAAAAGTCAGTAATGTGTGTTGGGAGGTCGGTCGGAGTCGCAGTGCTCCATTGCTTCATGTAGGTACTGACGCTTCTTCCCTCCCCGTGCCGCTGCCTGCAGAGATGAACAGCGAGTTCATGGTGTACGAGACCCGGCTGCGGGACCTCTCTGACGAGGTGATGGCGCTGAACCAGGAGATGGAGCAGTACCTTAACACCATCACCACGCGGGCCGAGTACTACCGCACCTGTCAGTCGTAGGGTGGCCGGGTACGGCGGACGGGCGCGCGGCCACAGACTGCGCCCACCGGCGGCCGCCGCCCGCCGCCCGGACCTGTGTGCGCCGTCCGCGGGCCGTCTGTGTGTCTGTCTGTCTGTCTGTGTGTGAGAGCCAGCTGCGTGCGTGTGGGGGTGCGAGCGCGCGTGTGTCGCGCGAGAGAGTGTGCCAAAGTATGGGAACGCCTCACTGCCGCCTAGTTAATCAGTAATCCGCCGAGCGCGACCGCTTCCCCGGCTTACCGAGGCATAATGAGTGGCGAGGCGAGAGCCGCCAACGCCGCCGCCGCCCGCACTTTTACTCATAGTTTTAGCTGTCCATAGGCTCAGGAAGGATGAGCGGCGGCCGCCTGACGCGCCGCGCGCGCCCGGTGAGACTGAGCGGCCCGCGTGCCACCGCAGTGATGTGCCAAACTCGTAACCTCCGCTAGTCGACAGGATAAGACAAATTACCTCCTCCCAAGTGCCGTTACGCTGCGTGCGCGTCCAACGATGTGCCTTGGTCGGCCCGGCGCGGTCCCGGAATCCGCGTCCGGCCGGCGCCACTCTGTACTTATCTGATCAAATACACGATCATTTTATACGTCGGTACCGCTGGTTTTGGTGCGTCGGCTGGCCAGGGTGGCAGTCGGCTCCGCTGGGCTTTGAACGGAGACGGTCTTGTCCGTCGGACAGGGGTGAGCTTCCTTGAAGATCGAAAAGTATTTATGAAGTCAGTCTTATTCGCGACAATGGTACTATCCAGATGTTTAATCGTTAAGAGTGTAGGAGGAGGAAGTAACATCGGGACATCATCACACAGGCTGGGCGTCCGAGGAGGTCAATGGAACTTCGTCTGCAGTCCAAGGGCGGATTGGTCAATGTCTATAAGATGTTTACACAGCGCTAGTTTTTATGTGATAATATTCCACAACCACACCGGCAAACTGGTTTGTCCACGAAATGGTACAGCCCCTCGACGCTGACAGTGTTTGGATTAAAATGACCTCGAATGTTTTGCTTGTCTTCTATGCGTGTGTAAAGCGGAGAGTGGAGTTCAGCTTGGTAGGAGACGAGGAACTGATTAGTTTCCTCCAGTCAGCCTTTGAGTAGGAGTGTCTTCACCAGCGGAAGGGAATGGGGATACTAATTTGATAGCGACGTGACGTTTCAGGTGACCGACTGATATGACAGGTCAGTTTATCTGACCGTGTGCGTCGGGTTAAGTAGCGGGTTGACGGGGTGTGTCGGGCCGGGTAACTGACGGTCGGCTGCCAGACGGTGAGTAGTGCCGGCGCGATGGAGGCGGTGACGGCGCTGCTGGTGCTGCTGCTGCTGCTGCTGCTGGCCGGGCTGTGGGCGCTGGGCCCCAGCCGGCCGGCCAATTTTCCACCGGGACCGCGGCCCTGGTCGTGGCTGGGCACGCTGCCCGAGCTGCTGCTGATGGCGCGGCTCGGCCAGACGGCTGCCTTCGACCGCCTGGCGCGCCGCTACGGGCCCGTGTTCGGCCTGATGCTGCCCGGCGGCCGGCCACTGGTCGTCGTCCGCGACTTCGCGCTCATGAAGCAGGCGTTCGGCGAGCCGGCCTTCACCGGCCGGCCCGACATCTTCGCCTTCATCTACCGCGCCTTCATGAAGAAGCAGGGCCTGGTGTTTGCGGAGGGAGATCTGTGGACCGAGCACCGGCGCTTCGCCCTCTCCCATCTGCGTCAGCTCGGGTTCGGTAAGCGCAGCATGGAGCGGCACATGGCTGACGAGTACCGTGGCCTGTCCCACCAGCTGCGTGCCGCCGCCGGCCGGCCGCTGCCACTCCGCGGACTGTTCGACGCGTCCATCATCAACGTCATCTGGCAGGTGATCGCCGGCCGGCGGTACGCGCTGGGCGACGGCCGGCTGGCCGAGCTGCAGGCCACTATCGCAGAGCTGGTGAGCGTGGCGGGCGTGACCGTGCCGATGAACGTGTGCCCGCCGGTGCGCCACCTGCTGCCACGCTGGTCCGGCTTCCAACTGGCCGACAACCACCGGCGCAAGGTGGCCGACATGTTCGCCGAACTGGTGCGTGAGCATGCAGAGACATGGCGCGCCGGTCAGCCGCCCAGAGATTATGTGGACGAGTTCCTGACGGCGGCGGCCGAGCCGGGTGCCGCCGAGAGGGGCTACACGGAACAGAACCTGGCCGTGATCGGCATGGACCTGTTCTCGGCCGGCAGTGACACCACGTCGCACGTGCTCGGCTGGACGCTGCTGGAGCTGTCGGTGCGGCCGTCGTGGCAGCGGCGCCTGCAGCGGCAGCTGGACGGCGCCGTGGGCCGGCGCCGGCTGCCGCAGCTGGCTGACCTGCCGCGGCTGCCGCTACTGCGCGCCGTCATCGAGGAGGTGCTCCGCCGACACACCGTGCTGCCGCACGCGCTGCCGCACTGCACGTCGTTTGGCGCCGCGCCGCTCGGCAGGTACACGGTGCCGCGCGGCGCGTTCGTCTACTCTGACCTGCGCGCCGTCCACATGGACGAGACCCACTGGGAGGAGCCCGCCGCGTTCCGTCCGGACCGGTTCCTGGACGGACAGGGCCAGTTTCGCGCCGACGAGCGCCATGTGGCGTTCGGTGTGGGACGGCGCCGGTGCCCGGCCGAGACGGTGGCGCGTCAGGAGCTGCTCCTCTTCACCGGCGGACTGCTGCACCAGTTCACCGTGCGACCCGGCGCGGAAGCCCCGCCGGCGGACGCGGACGGGCCGAGGAAGGAGGGTTTTGTCCACATGCCGCCATCGGTGAGCGTGGTGCTCGAGTGGCGCGAGGACGCTGACCTGACGGACCAGGAGCAGCCGACCGACTCGGCAGGCGGCCGCCACCTGCAGATAACCAGCCCAGCTGCAGCTGACGGAAAGACGCGCTGCTGAGGTCCGAGTCACGCCTGGAGGCTCCCGCGTCTGCTGACCTGGCCAGATAAACGGACTGAAATTGACCTTACACGAGCTGAAGACACGGTGTGAGGCTTGTGGGGCGTATTATGTATAACTTGTTACAGTTGTGCTTGAATTAAAATATTTTCGTAAGTTGGCCAAAGTCGGCGTCAGCTAGGATAACGAACACGACTGATCGAGCGCTCTGTCGTGAATTGTAGCGGGATATGCTACACAATACACATAACTTATAGGGAAGCAGCAGCGTCCTATCTGGAATAGGATTGAAAGGTACGCTGTGAAGTAGTACACATAACTTCACAGTAAAGTTCCCAGTAAAGTTTCACAGTAAAGTTCCCTGTTTACTTTTAACCCGCGCCCCAGTGGCGGTCTCAGCCAACTTCGCCCTAGTGGGGGGGGGGGGGGGGCGGGCATATGTTACCACCCACCTCTAACTCAAAAACTAAGAGGGCTAGAAAGACGCGGTACAAAGCAGTCGATAGCTCTCAATGCGTACGTTGGAAAGTGTTTCGGTCATTTTTCACCTTAGAGCAATATTGGGGTCACCAGAGGTCATAAAGGTCAAAATTTGCCAATTGTCATTATATTTTTCAGAAAACATGCCGCTATCTCAGGAACTATGGTAGCTAGAAAAACGCATGGAAAAGCAATCGATAGCTTTTGAACTCTTCTTTTGAAAAGGTCATACTCAATATTGACCTCAGGTCAACGGTTTAGCCTCCAGAGGGCAAAAACTCCAAAAATAGCTGTTTTTACGAAAAGTGTTTTTCGACAATAACTTTCGACTACAAAAAGCCACGACATTTCTATTGCCAGAATCGTGTTCCCCTCACCGAGACGCGTCCAATGAACTATAATTTGACCTTGAAAGGTCAACTTGAAAATTTGACCTCAGGTCAAGGTCATGACCTGACCGGAAAAGGTCATGTTGCATATCAGTCGATGCGTCTCAACAAGACAAACACAATGAGACCATCCCCAGTGTTCTATCTCTTTCCAATTGCGAGTTATTGGCAAAAAAACTGTTTGTAGCCTCAAATGACCTCGGATGACCTTTCTACAGACTATCAGCAAAAATGACACCTTGGTCATCACGAGTGGACTAAATCATTGTGATTCTGAAATATTTGGACTGTTCCTACGCGTACACACAGATCTAGAGGCATTTTCATTTTTCTCCGTTGACTTGTAATGGAAAGGTCACGCCACTGACCTGACCTTAGGTCACGGATATAAAAATCTGAGATATACAAATTGTAGGCGCCCATAACAGCATGCAATCCACCAAGTTTAAAACCTTTCTGACAAACACTGCAGGCTGGACATGATTGCAAACTTTTTTGGCTTGGTCAGTTAACTTGACCTGGTGACCTGACCTGACATGATCTGGGGTCAAAAATTTCACACATTGTCCAAAATTGATGTACCAAAAGCTACCCCAAGCGGCGCGGCGCTACACGCCGCGGTTTTTTATTCACACACAAAAAACGCGACAGGGTGGTAACATATGCCCCCCCCCCCCCCACTGGGGCGAAGGTTAACCTCTCCATAGCTCTTCAACATACTGTTTTAGACGACACAGTCGAAACATAAGTCACTGTTTAGGCATTAGTCATTTTTTCGTGCAATTGAGGCAAGCAGAAAATCTCCAAGCCACCTGTCGTTTACCATCCATCCTGTTCATTCCCCTTCCACGGCCATATCTGCTCGTATCTGCGCGGCACACGTTACACTACGCACAGCCCGCGATGGAGAAATATCGGCCACAGACCAACGTCTCGAACTTTAGTCGTATATTGTCCCGCCGACACTAAAATATACACAACACGACGAAGCGGCGGGCGAAGCCCGGCAGATAGCGCAGAGAAGATCGCGAGCGACAGCGCAACACATTGTCCGCAGCGAAAACCGAGCCGACGCTAGCCGATGCTACAGGGGCCCGCCAGGGCTGGGAGGGGACCCGCTGGCACCGCCGCACCACCCACCTGCGCCGACCGCTCGACAAGCCGGACCTAAAACCGACACCGAGACCGTGTCCAGAAAAGAAACCGTCCAAAATCCAGTCAGGCCTATCACGCCCACATTCACAGTATACACTTTAAACAACATTACAAAAATACTGCCGGCTAAAATTTACGAAACCCGCAACAGGGCGAAGGCTGTATATACTATGTTCAGGTTATTGTTTACACGATTTACATAAGCTCCTCGCCGGAGGGTGGAAGTCTAGCGGGATGCTTCAGAGCGATCGTGGCTGCTGAACCACCCGCCACCCAGCGGCGCTCGCTCGAGTTGAGGTATGCACAATTCTACCGGCAGATGGCAGCGCTGCGGCGGCACCTTCAATAAAAGAAACCGACAGAACGCTGTACAAATGTTCCTAGGGATATTTGAGGACATGGTCAGTGTCTTTCATATTTAGCTAACCAAGGGCAGCTGAGCGGGGACGAACCAAACTCTGCCCGTGTGAGACGACGGCAGATCAGACGGGGGCGCTAGCTGCAACTGTGGCACGGCCGGCGGTGTACCGCGAGGGGCGCGCGACGGGCTGAGAGCGGCGGCCGCGGGGCCCGGCGGCCGTCAGTCAAAGATGGCCGTGCGCTTGTCGCGGTACTTGCCGCGCGCCTGCTGACGGCACTTGGTGGCCTCGTTCAGCTGGTACATCCTGTCCAGCTTGGAGAGACGCGGCACCTGCGAGCCAGCGCTCACCAGCGGCGCGCCGAGACCGAGCGCCGCGCGCACCAGCTCGTTCTGCTTCAGGTGCGTGTTGGTGCCCGACCGCAGCACCTGACGGCAGCAACAGCACGGAGCGACGGTCAGAGCAGCGGACGAAGGGATAACGGAGCGACGGACTGTCAGACGAGAGAAACAGACGGACAGGTGAACCGCCCGGTCTGCAAATCGACTAACGCGTATGACGGGGAGACGAGCAGGCCACTGGACTATATTAAAAGCAAAATTAAATTAAATTATCAAGGTATTTGAGGCCAATCAAACTAAACATTTCGGAAGTACGAGTAGTTATGCCACACCCAAAGTCGTACAATAAAAGAAGGGCCGTTTGACGACCGACAGGTCGGTAGCCTTACCGAGGCCAGGAAGTCGTACAGGCGCTTCTTGGACCACGTGTCGATCAGCAGCACCTCGCGGCCGAACTTGACCTGATCGTTCGGGTACTCATCGTCCTGTCCGGGCACAGCCGACGGTGTCACGAGGACAAGCACAAACAACGGAAAGCAGACCACATAGAACCGGTTATCAACGAGGAAAACCACACAGAATGGATCACAATCACGGCAAACAGCTGAATTAATGACAAAAATGCGGAAAATATGCATCAGAATACACAGTGAACACAGACTACTGGAGAGTCGAAAAACAACCACTACTGCCCTCTACGCCACTCAGCCTAGCCCAGGGGCCCGCAGCGCTGGCCTCCTCCACCCACCTCGAACGTGTGCAGGATGTCCCTGAAGACGCAGCGCTGCTGTTTGCGGTCGCTCTTCTTCCTGGTCTTGGTGGAGTCGGTGGCCAGCTGGCGCAGCTGGGCGCACAGGCCGTCCAGGTCGTCACCGACAAACTCATCATCGACGCTCCAGAGCAGCTCGTACAGCGCCACGATGGCCTCGCCGGCGGCGATGCGCAGCTCCACGTCTGGCGACTCGAGCAGGGCCGTCAGGCGCGGCAGCTGGCTGCGGAGGCGAGTAACAATCATTGTCAGTCACTCAGTAGGGTCGTGGTAGCCTGCCAGCAAAATGTTTATAAAAACATGAGCCATTACAACTTCCCTGATGTCTTCTTGAAAAGCTACGCACAGTACAGCAAGGCCACTGCAAGCCGATCACGGGTGCTCTTTGACCATGACCTTGGATGTCAAACCGCCTCACGACCTTACTTTCTCTTAATTGCCCTTCACCATTACTGTCTCTCGAGTTACCACTCAGAACTACTTTCTACCCACTTGCCGTGACCTTGGTTTCTAGCAATACCTCTCTACGATCTCGACACAGCTCCCAGCGTCCACCACTCTCTCCCTTTTCGTTCCTAAGCGCCTGCCCTGCAACTACCAGTGAGTCCACCGCTCCAGTATAACAGCCCCATTCACAACCTAACTTATCTAACCAAATCCTCTCCGCCACGCACTGTTTGAGACGTCGCACCCACCCCAGGACGGTTCCCGTGCAGCGACACCCACCTCTCTGCCACCTTCAGCAGCGCGTTGTGAGAGACGTCGGTGACCATCAGTGTCCAGGCCTGGAGGGCGGCGGTGGCCAGTGGCGGCGACACGGCGGCCGCGGCCGGGCCGGCGCCGCCGTCCCGACGCGCGCTGGAGAACACCAGCGACTCCAGCAGGGACATGTTGGCGTGTACCTCGGTCGGCTCAGCGTTACTCAGGTAGCAGATGGCACCCAGCGCCAGACAGCACTGCCGGCGGGAGACGGGCCAGGTCAGATACACGGGCGTGGGCAGAACACGTGTCAGCACGTGAGCAGATTGATTAACTCTGAAGGTCACAGAGCAGTGACAGTACAATAGACGACAACAGAACAGCGCAGGCCGGCAAACATGCCAGACAGAAACGCCAGGCGGGGGCGTAGATTGCTTCGCTTCGGGCAGTAAGTCGCGCTGTCAAACACTACACTATTTAGTGTGACGAAATTGCTACTTCTGACAGAGAAATCGTTCCTGCCAGCAAAGATCTTAAATATTTTAATTACTAAACCCGCATCAAGCACTGAATTGGCACGAAGCATCCTGGAGCATTCATACGTGGCGCTCCGGTCGGCGATGTGGTTACCTTGGCGCGCGCGGCGGCCGGCTGGGCGTTGTCGGCCACCAGTGTGGCCAGCGTGTGTCGCAGCTCGCTGTACACCAGCTCGACGCCGCTGACATCGGCCAGCTGCAGGCAGATGAGCACGGCCAGGTCGGCGGCCGCGGCCACCTCCACCGACTTGCCCTTCTTCAGACTCTTTTCCACCGTGTCACTCAGCGTCATCCGTCTGTGGAGGGTCACAGGCCACCATTGTTACACGGGGAGACAACGAAACGCGCCGCCTGCGTGCTAAAAAGGTAACGAAAACAGCCATAAAACAGCATATAATGTGGTCAGTCATATGGTCCGAAAAGCTTTTGTCCATGTCATGAATTGACAGAAAAGCTCGGCCGCAAAAAGGTCCGATTTGAAGAAAGGTCAACAGCCAGTGACAACAGGCACTCAACTTCAAGAGGCAGAGCATACAAATACCTTATCTCCATGTAACTTTTTGCGTCCATTTAACAATGTTGGCTCACGCACCCACTTGAGGGCAATCTTCATCACATAACACACGCTGCCTCCCCAACGGAGCCGCCGTACCCTCCTTATCCCGGACAAGGCCGCTCTCGAACTCGGACTCACCTTGACTCGACAAACTCTGGCACGTACTCCTTGCTGAAGGCGGTGCACAGCGCCAGCAGACTGTTGGTGCGTGTGGTGGCTGACTTGTCCAGAGCGCCGTCCATGGCCATACACACCTTCTCCTCGAAATGCTCGGCCTGTGATGATTCGTCCACATCCTGGTCCCCGCCTGTGTAACGCCGGCCGGTGAGGGAGGATCAGAAAGGGTACCGAGACGTGGATGGACTTATAAAGCCCGCCGGAGTGGGGAGAGATTAGCTGCGAGTTACCAAGGAGTCTCTCATGAACACTTAGCAGTGCCCCCAATGATGCAAACATGTGGAGGACACAGAACAGTCAAGGACAACGTGGGTCGTCTAGTACTACATGAAGTTCAGATAACGAAGTTATTTCAACTGAGGCAAACCCGTCACAAACACCTTGGAGTAGCCCCAGCCCATAGTCGCTATCCCTTTAGCACTCTACTGTAATGTAGAGTCCACGGTAAGGGACGTCTGCCACACGATGTGAAAATCGCGCGCAGTTACTCACAGACGCTGCCGTCGCAGACACTGCGCTCGTCCAAAGAGCTGGTGATGCTGATGGTGTCGCTGTGGTGAAGCTCTTCGTCGGCGTCCCCGCCGCGACCCCGTCCCCCTGTCAAAGAGGGAAGGTCAGGTCAGACACAGGGCTTCCCTCCCCGGCCCATTATAACAGGAACACGCCAGGGCAGTCAGACGCCAACACCCCGGCCAAAGACCGCCCTACTGTGGAAGGAGAGGGAAGGAATGGAAGAACTGTCCGTCCTGTCCCCTGTGAAACGGATGGTGCAGGTGAGCGCCAGGCCTTCGGTCCCTACCCCTTCCCGTCTCTCTCCGATCATAGTGGAGGGTTAAAACCAGTAAAACGCCTTTTGGGCGAAGAACGAGCGAGCGAGATAGTGAGCCATGCACGTGCGCAAGGGCGAGAGGGTACTTCCAACGGGCTTGTGCAAAGCACCCTTCTAACCGGTCGCTAGCGGTGTGCCAAATTTGAACGCAATCGGCCCAGCCGTTCCTGAGATCTGAGGCCTGTTTCACTAAAAACTTGTATTTACAAGTGTTTGTAGTTTACAATTCATAAGTATTTTTACCAACTACGTAAAAACCGATTTCACTAAGCTTCATCGCCAGTGGCACCTCCGATAAGAAAATGTTTGCAAATAAACTTGTAAACAGTAAAAATGTTTTTAATCAAGAACTATAGCATGTTAAAGATATTGCTTCTTTGTGTCAAATATTGTCTAGTATTCATGTCAAAAGCTGCCTAATCAAATTATAAATAATGATGCTGTTGGAAAAAGATATAAATGATAGTTCACATTGTCCTATTATTGAAAGAAAATAACACGCAAAATATTTGACAGCAGAAGACTGTTGAATGCAATTATGGCGCGCGAATGACAAAACATGACGATATTTTAATACCGATTATTTTGCTTCTTAGGGCGTGTGCTAAGTAAAAATTGAGCATGAAACGACTCAACAAAGCATAGTTGTTCTAAATATATGACTGTTTTGCATTATTGCACAAAAAGTATCAAAATTCCGAACGTCAGGACCACTGGAATTTCAGGTTTGTAATTAAGATGTTTTCTTTCAAGTTTCTGGTCTTCGTGAAACAGAAAGTTTGAGATTCCCATGTTTTCTAGCAAACTTTTTCTTGTAAAAAAGTTTGCAAATTTTAAACTCAAAATTCATGTTCAAAGGTTTCGTGAAATCCAAATCTCAAATGTTGGTAATTATTTCTTGTAAACTCAAGCTTTTCCTTTGTAAATACAAGTTTTATTTGTTAGTGAAACAGGCCTCTGGAAGCGGCATTCTGCACGTGTGCACGTGCAAGCGGGGTCCAAACTGACTTTTGCATGGCACCCTACTAACTGGTCCCCAACCGTGTACCAAATTTGAGCGCAATCGGCCCAGCCGTTCTCGAGATCTGGGAGCGCCCCCTGCACGTGCGCACGTGCTGTAGCACCCCAACCTTAACCCTCGCCGGACCTATTGGTTTTCTACATACGCGCCGGCCGAGGGGGGGGGGGGGCGGGTACGACCCCCCCCTCGCCGTTTCGCTCCTGGTGGAGCTAGCGCGTCGCGGAAAAAACGAGCGTGTGCGCCGTTACGAGACGCAGAGATTGGTACCCGATTTTAAGGTCCTAGGTCAACCGGTGACCTCTGAGGTCAGGTCAAGTGCCCCAAGGTACGGTTCAGTTTTTGGTGAATAACTTCGCAAAAAACGGCCGCAGAGCGCCGATTTTGGCAGCATCGTGTTCGTCTCGCTCAGGCGCGTCGAATGATATACTTTTTGTCCGGGTCAGGTCAACTTGGGGTGTTGACCTCAGGTCAAGGTCAGGTCAGCACCCCCAGGTCACGAAGTTGGTCGAAAGAGGTCATGTCGCATATCATTCGATTCGGCAGGTCTTCCTGAGTCCATTGGTGGCTTTCCCGACTCGCTAGCTCAATTTGATCAAGAGTTATTGACGAAAAACTAATATGACCTTGATGACGTCATAAATGACGTCACGCAAGGTCAACATTGCAAAAGTGACGCATCTAACCTTGCAAGGAGTGCATAAAATCACGATTCTGTGTGCTTGAGATAGTTGGAGATCGTTCCCGACGCCAGAATAGCAGTTTTCATTTTTCCCCATTGACTTATAATGGTGAGGTCACGAAAATGACCTGACCTCATATGACCTTTAGGAAAAATCCGAGATATACAAGTTGTGGGACTCATAATGGATACTAGATCCTGCAAGTTTCATTTCCCTGTGACATCTCCTCTGGCAGTGAGGGCGTTGCGAAGTTGCGACATCTGAAGACCGTGCAGAGGTTCACTTATGACGTCATAGGTCAGTGACCTGACCTGACCCAAAAATGCGGTTGGTGTCAAAAGATGCGGCTTGGATCAAAGGTCAGGTATGCCAAGTTTCAGCTCTCTATCGCCAGCGTGTTCGGAGCTATCGCGAAAAAACCCTATGGGGGGGGGGCGGCACCCGCCCCCCCCCCTCGGCCGGCGAGGGTTAACACATGCAGATGAATTATCTGATGAAGACCTAACTGTGTACCGAGTATCGGCCCAACCGTTGTGCCGTTATTGAGGCTGCAATTTTGGGGGTTCTTAAAAAATGTCCAACTTTACCACGCGCCACGTGCGGTGGTTGGCAAGAAGCGCATGGTGGTCATCACACCACATAACTCTTACGTCCAAGTGACATTCAGTAAAGAAGACCGCTTGTCAATCGGTTGTCCCGTTCCTAAGATATAAGCTTTTGAAGAGCGTCCCCACGGCCGGCCGGCCGCTCATACTCAGGATTTTCCCTTAATTCAGTATGAACTCGCTCGCTCGCTGCGCTCGCTCGCTCGTAACAATCAACAAGACACAGAGCTTTTCGTCGAAGCAGCATATATGCATGCACATCTGTCTACAGTAAATACATGGCTGGAATAAGGATCGCGCATGTTGTGACTACACCACTAGAAAAAAGGGAAACTTAGCGGGCAAGTTCACGGCATTGTCTTACGAGTTCTGATAGCGTTCACAATATCAACAGCTCTGGTTGACCTTGTGGAGCCGGTTCTAAACGCTTCGGAAACTGTACACCTCTATTGTATGTACTGGGTTGGAAACAGAGCACGTCGCTGCCACACATTGCACTGTGGAGCACCAGCTGATATAAGCGAGGCCAAACGAAGCATTTAAACGCATTATGTAACGCAAGATTGGTGTCGGTCGGCGGCTCGCAACTATCATTTTGTTTCGTTCATAAATTGATTACGAGATTTCTCAAGAAACCTGCTTCATGTGAGAAAGCAGTAAAAAGCTTCTATCGATTTTCAATCTATGTAAAATGCTTCTAACGATTTAAATGGTTATCAATCAATCAATCAATCAATCAATTTATTTAACATCCCATCATATTAAGTTATATCGATCCCATTGCTACTTGCTAGCTCCTAAGAGTATCCATGGGTTATGTATCCTACTTCTGAGAAGCTATATCGATCCCATTGCTAGCTCCTAAGAGTATCCATGGGTTATGTATCCTACTTCTGAGGATAGGATGCAGGGTGATTGAGCCGCTTCCATATCACGTGGACTCGTGTTCGTATGTTTGCTTCCCTCTCGTTTCGTGTTTCGCTAACGACTGGCGGGCGGGTGCGGTGAGCGCTGCCGGTTGCACGGCGCCGCTGCGCTGTTCCGGCGCTGCCCACGCCGCGCACCAAGGTCGCTCCGTCGGTCGGCTGACTGACGGTCGGCGGTAGTTCGGTGCTGACCCAGATACGCACAGCTGGCGCAGCCACCGGCCGACGGCGGACGCACCGACGGAGCGCCGGCCACGCCCGCTCCAGTGAGAGACGGGGTCGGTCGCAGCGCATCATCGTTACAATGACACGGAAGATCATCGTCACACCGACACGGGAGATCATAGTCACACCGACAGGAGATCATAGTCACACCGACAGGAGATCATAGTCACACCGACAGGAGATCATAGTCACACCGACAGGAGATCATAGTCACACGGACACGCCTCACCGACGGCAATCATTGTCGAAGGGAGGACATCGTCATGCCGACGCGGGATCCCATTTACCAATATAAATGGGTCCTCCTTATTATCCTAAAATCTACATTTAAAAAATCATATATCTAGAGCAGATTATTTTTGTCCCAAAAGCTTTAACTCCCCAAGACCATGCCTGCTGGCCCATGTCGGATAATGAGTTTTGGTTTAATCAGCAAAATCTGTCTTTAGCACTCAAGCTATCATAAGATATTGTTAGATCTGCTCTTGCATTGATCAAGTAAGGCTTACCTTACCTTATCTCAAAAACTCCACAAATCTACCCCTTGAGTAAAAAGAAAGATAATTGGCAACATATTTCCATATCTGCACCAGTCCTCTGGTAACCACTCAATAGTTTGTACCAAAAAATTCAAATTCATGGGTAAGGACAGATTATCAGCCTAAGAGACCTAAATGCAGTTTATAAATGATGGGTGTAGGAACAAAACATCAATAAACTATGTCAAATTCATCATTTCAAATGAAAATTGTTAGCATAGTAAATAATTCAAACAGTTTTGATCAGATCCTGATGTGCATTAGCTAGAAGACATACCTAGCCAGCAAGTAACAGATTGGGTGCCAAAGAGACACATGCTATCCAATCCATAATCCAACACATTTATCATTCTTCGTTTTCCTTGTGTCCTGTCATGTAGGACCAGCATCTTTGCATCACACATAGTTATACATACAATAACATCCACATACCTCATAGCCTTTCAGTTGAGGTGAATATGAGATGAAAAGCAAAGGATACAGATAGGATAAGGGACATTGTTGAAAAATTATGAAGGACTACAAGTGCTGCTGCTGCCCAGCTCACAGCTGGTGCTGTGCACATTTGAATCCTGGCAAGAAGGATAGATTGAATGTTGAAGGAAATCACTGGGACCCTATTAAATGAAAACTTGATAAAAGAAAAACTGCTGAAGGCAAGAGCAGGGCACTTAAGAGTCATGAGTTTGTACCTAGCTTGTAATCAAGTAGTCATTTCTTTGTTCTTTAGGTTTCCGAATGGTGAGATCATTGCCCATGTTCAACTGTGTTAAATGTATGAGTACAAACAGCTTATGACTTGAATTTTATTAATACACTCCATTTAGGGTAGACTTCTACCTACCAAGTACCTATCTGGTTTGGTAGTCATAAAGCAGGCATCACACTTTTGTTTTTGCAACCATGGAGACTTAGGTTGCAGATTTGGTACATACTTAGGTTGTAGGTTTTAGGTTGTAGGCTATAGGCTGTGGGTTGCATGTTAGGTTAGTTCAGGTAAGGTTAGGTTGGTTTTGGTTTGGTCTGGTACTGTGCCTCTGCTTGGTTGCAAAACAATTGTGACAACTGCTTTATGAGTGACTATGACTACCCCTAGTTTTTCAGCATGCAAAATTCTGTGGCTGGACAATAACTAACTAGTTATTCATAAATAACTTGATGAATAACTAGGTACGGCTCTCCAGTAAAAGTCTTGTTGGTTTTGCTTTTTCGGACATATCTGGTCCTATATAATGTTCAAATGCTTAAGTATCAACCCGAATTATGTGTATGCATATTTACCACGAGACTGTGAAATTGCATTGTTGTATGCCAAATACTTTCCTAGATATTCACCAAAAACCTCATTTTCTGCCGTTTGGGGTATTCTGGCCGCAATCTTCCTGGGATCGCCTATGACATCAGTAGAGCCATCTAACGAGAGGAACGCAGAAACACAGAATCATGAATGAATCGAGCGCGTAGTAAACAGTGTATGAAAGGGAGACTCGGCAGAGGCTATCCGGGTGGCCGGCGCGCGGCGCACCCTTAGGCATCGGCCGACCCTTCGGACCGCGTGGGGTCAGAGGTCGCGCTCGGGAAGTCTCGGCTCTGGGTTTAAGCGCTGTGCAGTCAGGAAGGGAGGATAGGATAGCGCTAGCCCGACTGACTAGTGTCTCGGCTGATTCGTATGGGGTGGAAGGGGGCACAGAACGGGATGGTGGCTAGTGGTGGGTGATGGGATGGTGGTTAGGTTAGTGCGTACTGCGTAGAACGTAGCTGAACATGCATTGTTTTTTTTTCATGGCAAACAACATGCAGCATAATGTGCGGGATTATGCCAGAACTCATACAAAAGGGTAATAATATTTCGGCCGAGGGAGTGAATCAGTGCCATGACAAAGCATGACGATGCTGCCAAAATCGGGATGCTTTTTTGCCCCCATTTTTTTACCCCTAACATGCAGCGCTTAATCCGAACTTAGAGGTCCCCGACTGACCTTAGACCTTAAAATCGCACCTATCCGGTGCGCCACCTTTTCTTCAGGGGCGCTCTTCTTGGTTGTATCTGTTCTTACCAATAACTAAAGCAAATCGAATGTATAATAAAAAGGCATACCTCGAACACAGTTTTATTCACACCCGCTCGTGTGCATACTTGTTTTGACCTATACCTTCTCGCATCATAATATTACTTCAGTGCTTAACCCTCAACGGAATTTTGGGTTTTCTGCATACGAGTATACCCCGGCCGAGGGGGGGGGGGGTGATTGCGACCACTCTCCGTCTTTTTGCCCCTAATTGAGCTAGCGCCTTGCGGATAAAACTGAGCGCGTGCGTCGTATGAGATGCAGCAACTGGTACCCGATTTGAATGTCTCGGGTCAACCGATAAACTCTGAGGTCAGCTCAAAGTCGCGGGATCGGTTTTTGGTAAACAACTTCACCACTTAAGTGATTACAGAGCCAACATTATAGCACCATCGAGTTTTGCATGCTCAACTTCAAGCGCGTCGAATAGTATAGGCTTTGTTTTCGTTGAGGTCAATTTAAGGCATGTTCACATCAGGTCATGGTCAGGGCAGAGCCACTCAGGCCACGAAGCTGGCCCAAGGAGGTCATATATGTAGCTTCTTCGATTCGGTAGGTCCTCACAAGTCCACTGGTGGCTTCCCGACTCGCTATCTCAATTTGATCGGGACTCTTTGGTGAAAACTCCTGTGACCTTAGTGACGTCATAAATGAAGTCGCCTAACTTTAAGAATGGAAAAGTGAATGCTGGGGCTTGCAAAGATTGTATAAAATCGCGAATTAATGCGCTTGAGACAGCTTTAGATGGCTCCTGGCGCCAAAATAACAGCTTTCATATGTCCCAACTGATCGATAATCGTGAGGTTGCGTGTCCGACCTGACTTCAGGTCACTCTTAAGAAAAATACGAGATAGCTACATACAAGTTGTGAGGCCTCTGTGAGATAGTACTAGATCATATAAGCTTCATTCCACGTTGAAAAGTCCCCTGGCACGAAGGGTGCTGCGACGTCGCGACATTTTGGGACCTTACAGAGGTTCACTTTTGACGTCATTGGTCAACGGCCTGACCATAACCTTCGCACTTGTAGGAGGGTGTCGAACAGCCCTCCTACCCTCAGTTTTTCGCAAATAACTCGCGCAAAAAGCGGCTGATTGCGACGACACTTTCAGTACCCTCGAGTCAATCAATATTACGCCTACCCTGTAATTTATATGACCCTGATTCAAAAGACCTTTGACTTGTGATTTGTTTTCTGAAACCATGTTTGGCCGGAATCGCGTTTTGGCGTATTTCGCGTAGAGCGCGTTTTATGTCTTTTTGTGGCTTTAAGCGATCAAACATGTGAAAGGATGTTGATCCCATGGATTCTAGTGGGTATCAAGGTCACGTGAAGGTCAGTCAGGTCACTGATCTTTGATGACCTTTGTTCACTCTTTCGAGTTCTACATGTTTCTAGGGTAGATTTTGGAGTTGATTTTGCATTTAGAAGCCGTTTGAACATTTAAGAAGTAGTTTTGGTTCCCTCGTAACATGTGACCTGATGCACGAAAACATCATCTGTGATCAAAACTAACTTGAACTTCGTGATCAGCACCCCGCAAAACCCTATAACAGCTTCACTTTACGAAGCTCTAACAGGTCCCGATTCCCCGACTTTTGAGTTATATTGACCTGTCAACCAATGACCTAGGACCGTGAAATTGGGTATCATCGGCCTCCTCTCGTCACGGGCAACACGCTCTTTTTTTTCGCGAAGCGTTTGCTCGATCAAGGGCTGAACGGCAAAGGGGTCCAATGGACCCTCCTCCCCCCTTACGATAGACGCTGGCAAAACACCAATATGGGCGAGGGTGAAAATACAGCTGCTGTCATAAAAATTCAGCTTAAATCAAAGGTTAGGCTTGCCAAATTTCAGCAGCTAACAAAAATAAACATGTGGAGGCGGCACCTCCCCGCCCCCCCCTCTCCTCTCGGCCACTGCCAGCGAGGTTTTAAACGTATCATACACGTTACAAGGCATCATATATCAAGATGACACAACCCAGCAGCCATATGCACTGAACAAAAACTTATTACCCACGCTAGTATAACGGCACCATAGCACATGGTCGAGACTGTCGTCAGCCACGGACGCGCACTCGACCAACCCTCTGAGCCCGTTGACTGCGGGTGACCTTGACATGTCAAGCCTGATCGGCGGCCGGCCGCTGTCGTGCGGTTACACGCGGAGGAGAGGGAGACACAAAGCTCTGCGTTATAGTTGACCTCTGACCTTTCCCTGCGCCCTGGTCACTGACCCCGCTCCATGTCGCTGGGCGGTGGCATGGCGGTGGAAACCGGTTCTAGCCTCTACACATGCCACCATTCTAACCCTCCCCTCCCCACGCTACTACGCGGCGTGGAGTACGCTCGTGCGTAACTGGGCGGAGCAAGGGGTCACGCGATACAGGGGCGGAACTGGTTGCCCTCCCGCTCGCCGAGCGACCTACGACTAATACCCTGGAGAACCGTACCTCATAATTTTCTAAGCAATGATAATTAGTTCCATACAATATAAATAAATGATGTTTAAAATAAATAATGAAAAATTAGCCCACAATAACCTTTTACTAACAGGCTAAATTGATACTGATCTGAGGCCAGTTTAAGCATCAGAAAAATAGCCGTCTGCTGTAACTTTTTGCTGATGTCGGCTTCACATACGGAACGTATATGGTAAAGCCCTATCCTCTTACCGCTTATGTGCCGTGCCCACTGCCCAAAGCATTTCAATTTACACTATGTATGTGAAGTGGTCTTTAGGCAAAGAATTCTGGCAGGCGGCTATTTTTCTGTTGGTAAAACTGGCCTCATTGTCGGTGTATGGTCTGGACCCAGCCTACATAGTCCATATGGTACAACTACACCAGGAACATTGGGAAGCAATTTTAACCAGATGATTTAACACCCACCAAATTCACTCACATTTTATCTGGATAGCATATTCAATGTATCTAGTATCTACCATATGAAGCTCATATAAATAGGAGAAGAAAGAAGACAATGATGGCGCAACTCACCCGATTTTCCGCCAGCCTTTTTCCTATTTCCTTTGGGCATCTTGAATATGATTTCGCTACTACTAGTCGAGATCAGGATATACAAGTTCTGTGTATATAACTCCAAACGATTTCAACCGCTTTACTCTCCACTATCGATAATTTAGAACGGGACAACAGTATCATGGCTTGACTTTTCCGTGAAACGGAAAACTCTGATTCATAACGCCAGATGGTGTTGTATTGGAAAGTCGAAGGAAAATAAATGCCGCGCTGCGCCGCAGTCGTAACGTAAAAGAAATGTCCTTGGATTTGTGTTGCATAATATCAATTTCTTGACATAAATTTCATAAAATGTTATGTCAGATGTATGTCAAATAGAACTTAAATGTTTTCTATTGCTATTTAAATCTTACTACGAGGTAATTAGTAAACGGAAAATATTTAGCATTGCAAAGAGAAAGGACAGCTAAATCAAATGTTACACGCCTTGCCATTTCCAACACATGACAACATTACGCATCGAATGGTAATGTGTTACATGAGTGACCAATACTTGCTTGACTATTGCTTGTATTTTTAGTATTTACTTATACAGGCTAGGTTTGCACTGGGCGACGGGCCAGACTGACTGAAATGGGGAAGAATAAAACTGTTAGGCATCGAGGGCTGTTTGGACTTTGGTTTACCTATCCAAAGTTTTATCAAACCTTTATGGCACTAGGGCACGCAGGCTGCTTGGGATTATTTGCGCCCTCGTACTCTGTAGGCCGATCATTCCCTCTTCATTATTCTCAACTTTTTTGACGATCGCAAGGGCAATAGAGATAGGGGCCGTGGCACTCGTTTTTTTATTACTCCTACGGATGCATGAATAGGAATAGACAACGAACGGGCCAACACGGTTGTCATCCCCCATCAGCGGATCCCTCCCCGTCAGTTCCGATTGGTCCCCCAGTACAGAGCTTTGCCATGTAAGCTGGTACTAAGCACGTGATGAATGTGCCACGCCAGTGCTCAGCTTCGAAAGAAATGGACATTCCAGCTCACAATTAGTTTCTTGATGACCCGTCGCCCGTCATAGGCGCGGGAACCGGGGTGGGGGTAGCTCCCCCCCCCCCCCCCTCCAACTCTGGGCCGTGGGAGCGGTGCCCCCACAACTCTGAGACGGAATATCACACTTGTTTTGCAAATGTTTTTTTAAGCCAAGGGATAAAAAATAAGTGGCCTAAAACCGGTGAGAAAATTTGATTTGGGGGTAGGTACCTAGGTTGATTTATATTAAATGGTGTGCCCCCCCCCCCCAGTCTGAAAGCAGTTCCCGCGCCCCTGTCGCCCGTTGTCCACATACATATACCACATATCGCCCTATATCAAATAATAGCCGTGGCTCTCGGTTTGTCAACTGTCTCAAAAATCAACTCGCTAGCTGAAATATATTTGCATTCACTTGAGACGGCTGAACATCGAAGGTCGATTAGTGGCAATACCCAACAGCCGCATGGGAGGCCAGATGCGAGGCCGCGTGAAGTCGTTGAGCTAGAGTGCGAGAAAAAAGGAAAGTCGTATTCGGTATCACTGTTGGATCAAGGGAGATACATTAGGGCAAAGCATATCTTGATGCTTCCAAGGGTGTCCTATGTCCAAAACTCAGCAGTGCCATTTTGTTCCGGAACTGAACGTCTCGGAGAGTCTTGCCCACAGGCCACAGGCATAGCCGGGAGAATGGCATGCGTAAACTCACTGTTTTGCCCTGTTTAACCTCAACTATGAAGAATCGTCTTCATCTATTCGTCTGCCAATCGCGCAACAATGTATAGTTTCAATTCAAACTGAAACAGAGATCTCGGTAGGCTAGTGAGTAGAGGTGGCAAAATGTGGACCCGAGGACCCGGTCCAAAGAACCAGTCTGGACCCATATGGGTCCAGACCGGTCCCTGGAAATTTTCTGACGGGTCCAACCGGGTCCTACCATAAACTATACATCTTGGACACTACACATTATTGCAAAATATAGTGAATGAAGTGAATGTTTCTTTGCACACAGTAGCTCATGAGTATTCCCAGTGGGAAATAGGCTGTTATACATGATGCAACTAATGATTTCAAGAAGTTTGTATTAATTGACTTTTGGGGACCGGGTCCAACTGGTTCCGATTCCAACTACGACTGGGTCCGACTGGTTCCAGAAATGTCCAGCCGGGTCTGGTTCGAGTCTGGTTCCCAAAATTTTCATCTTTTGCCACCTCTACTAGTGAGCATTAGACTGTGCCGCAATACACCATCGAGGTAGACTGCACCGCAAGACACCGATCTCGACGGGCGATCGAGCTGCTTCGCGGACGTGAAGCTAAGACCGGAACTATCAGACGCCCGATACATTTTAGCTAAGCTGAAGCATTTTATTGGAATATTTTCAGCCTTACTTTTCATTGGAAGTAAGTAACGTGTTTTAGGTACAACGTGCGTGCCACTTGGGCGGGAGTTCTGGCCATCCCGGCCAGGACAGCGGCGTGTTGTGACACCTGTTCTCTCCTGAAGACGCCGGCTCGAACAGGACAGCGGCAGTGTGCCGGCCTCCGGAGCGCCGGCCGTAACGGGGTCCTGTTTTTGCCACCGGCGCTCCATCAGGGCCGGGGTCCCGCCGCTCACGGAACTGGTCGCCGACAAAAACCCGACCGGGCCGCGTCAGTGCCTCCTCATCGTCCTCCGAGGAGGCCGCCTCGGTCGCCAGGTCCTCCCGCGAGCCGAACCGAGCTCAGCGCCGTCAGCAACTGCAGCTCGGGCCGCAAAATGCCGGTCACCGTGTCGGAGGAGCGCCCCGCCCCCGCGGCGGCCGTCAGTGACCGAGGTGGGCGGCCGGAGAGGGCCGAGTGTCAGATGCACCGCCGCGGGCCCGGTCGGAGGTGGTCGCCGGAGCCGACGGACGCCGCCCGGAGTAGTCAGTCGCGCCGCGGCCGGAGCAGCGGGCCGCCGCGCCCCCGCGTCTAACCGTGAACTGCCGCCGTGATCCCAGGCCGCCGGCCGCCGTCGAAGGTGAGAGTGGGTGGGTTGTGACGCGTGCCGTCACGCACGTTACGTGGTGACCGGTGCGGTGAGACGGATCGGTATGTGGAATGTCAAATCCCTCATAACAGCAGTACGTGCGACAATGGTGGGCCCTGGTCAGAGTCGTCTTCCGGCTGAGGCCGGCTGTCGGACGAGAAATGCCAGCAGCGGTTGAAGTGCCTTTTGCATTATCACAATATCGAAAGATCAGTCAGATAGCTATGATGCTACTTAGAGCGAATACATGTCCATTGTCCAAGGAAGGTCAGGATAGGCTGCGAGTCACCAAAAGCAAAGCACTGCTGTCCTTTTCTGCACTTATTGACGCGTGGTTTTGACACGTTCGTTCAAACCGGGAAACATTTGCACCTTTTACTTTTCTTTACCTATACGTCCTACTGGCGAGGCATGGAATAATAGACTTGAATCCAAATAAAAGATAAAAAAATCCGGATATATTAGTTGGTGACGCTCAAGATTCCTTTACTACTCGGTGACACTAATACCCTGTGTAAATAAAAACTTACCAACCTTTTCTTACCCGATAGGATAGATCATAAGATTTTCTAGAGGGAGGGTTACCTATAGGCATCCGTTGGTATGAACTTCAGTGGCCTAGCCGCTAGCGTCAATAACTTCACTACACGGAATAAATACTCGTACTTTACACGGAATGCATAATTATGGCGTTAAAATAATGACAAATTTAACAACGCTATATGCACCTGTTTCCTACAAACAAGTCAAGCACTAAGGCATGGACAAAATGCCTCCCCCATTAGTGTAGGTAAGAGCGTAATTTTACAGTAAAAAGAAATACTCACGGGAACAGGATGCCTGTTAGGTCCAACACAGCTATCGGTGAACTAAGGCGGTGGGATAACCAGAATGAAGACATTAAGTAATTACTTGGGCAACTCTTCGCATGGAACAACAACAAAAAATGGCAGGTACCCGAACCTAATGAATGATGCATCTTTGCAGTGCTCGAGTAGAAAACTACCACGGACCGCGAACTGTCGTCTGGTCCAGACGACACGTTCGCACGGCCGCAAAAGTGATAGTGGACTAAAGGGATAAAAAAACGCTTCAATTAGTAAGGAGCTCGTGATAGCTGTAATCCTTTTAGGTATCGGGCATCAAGCAAACCTTCAATCGAAAATTAGATGGCCCTGACGCTCTCACGCCCACTGAGACGTTAAATGATAATCCACGCACGACATTTATCCATTGGCTAGAAGTAGACCTGCGCTCTGCAGCGATAGGTTGACGAGCAATCTGACGCCTAGCCTGAACGACTCAATTAAAATAGCATATCGCTTAACGACTCCGGAAACTTCTTTTTATTACTGCGCAAAAACGAACATCATTCAAATATGAAATGGGTTCAGCATGAGCATACCTATCACCTATCATCAACGTTGCTTAAAATACCTAGAAGCCAGCGATTAACAAGCTACAGTGTATTGCAATTTATGTCCACGCGGTGTCAGTTCCTTCTTCCTTAGTGGGGTTTGGGTGACGAATCTAATGGAAATATCGCATATGTTTTGTGGTTGGGTTTATCCACCCAGTATAAAACAATGCCTATCATTTAGCACTCACTCAGGTCTCCAGGTCAGCCCGGTTAAAGCGCAGTTTGGGAATATTGATTGCATTGTGCACACCCGATCCTGCCCAGCCCTGAGCTCTCCCGGTCATTCTGTGCAGGATGCCAGCGGGCTCGTCGCCGGCGGTCACACCGCTGTCAGTGCTACTATCGCCGCTGTGGCTACTGCTATTGCTCTGCTGGAGTACAGCGGTAACGGCGAGTAACAGCACGTCACCAGCGGCCCTGCAGCCGGCGTACAACGCCACGGCGCACGGTCAGTAACGGCACGTCACCAGCGGGCGTACCACGCGACGGCGTACGGTCAGTAACAGCCCAGGAAACAGCACTGGTCAATAATTATAATAGATATTGCGCCTCACTACAACAGTGTCGCTGAAACATGGAGATTGTAAGGTGACTGCAATGCCGCACACACAAATAACACAGTAAGGAGACTGCAGTAGCTCACACGTTAATAACACAGCATGGAGACTGTAATACCACATACGTCAGTAGCACAGCATGGAAACTGCAATATCCCATACGTCGGTAACACAGTACGGAGACTGCAATACCCCATACGTCAGTAACAAACCCCAGACGTCAAAAGACATCATGGAGACTGCAATACCACATACAGCAGTAACACAGCATGGAGACTGCAATACCACATACTGCAGTAACACAAGACAGCAACATCGCATGGAGACTGCAATACAACATACGTCAGTAACACTGCATGGAGACTGCAATACCCAATACGCCAGTAAGACAGCATGGAGATTGCAATACCCCATACACCAGTAAGACAGCATGGAGACTGCAACACTCCATACGCCAGTAACACAGCGTGGAGACTACAGTAACCCATACGTCAGTAGCACAGCATGGAGACCATGGGCGGCGCCACCGGGGGGGACGGGGGGGACAGGTCCCCCGCTATCACAAGTTAGGGGGTACAGTACCCCCCTATCGGCGAGGCCCGTTCAATAGTTGATAATAATGCATTATAGAGCTATCCGTCGCATTTAATGCATCGTTGGTTAATCAAGGCAGGTTCTGAATAAAGATTGCTGTTGGGATGCATCGCAGGGGGTGCTGGCCATCTGCAAAAGGTGTGGAGCTGTGATGCCTGTAGTTACAAGGTGATCGGCAGGGCCTCGGGGATCGTGCCCCCTTTTTGGGGCGCCAGGCAGGGTTATTACTTATTACCTCCCCACCCCACTGCCAGACCCCATTGCCGATAAAACCAAGTTCACTGAAATTCCATAGATTTCCGTTACTATATGAAAAATTTCCATTCCTAATTAGTCAAATTCAAGCATGGCAGTTCTACCACAGGAACCATTTGAAATCTATGCCATTTAACCCCAGCACTTGTGGGGAGAAGTGTTCGGATAGATCACAGGCAGGACCAAAAAAGCACGCAGTAGCCCAAGACATTATAATTGGATATAGCATCGGCTCCCTCTCGTCAAGGGGTTCGATAGCACTCGTTTTTTTTCTGCAAAACTAAGTTCGGTCGGCGGCCGAACGGCTGGGGGTCTAATCGAGCCCCCCATCCCTCCCCTTCTTACGTCAGCGACTGTGAAAATGTCATTACCAGCTGTTGAAACATGGCAGTTGCTTTTGCATGAGTGCACGAAAGGGTGTTAGGTCCGTGATACGTGAAAGGTTCTACATGAAAATTGAGATACACCAGCTTATCAAATTGTGCTCACTGTGGTGCGCTCGGTTTTACTTTGACTAGTCTTTGAATTCTTGGGTGAAACAGACCAGTCAAGAAACCTGTTCCATAAGGAGAGCCACTAATGCTAAAGAGATGTGGGATTGAGGTTTCCAGAGACCTTCATTACCTCCCAAAGGGGGTGCCCCGCCATTTGCCAATCCCTGCTGTAGTTGTTACGATTGGAGGGTGAATATGAGAACGATGCAGGTCGTGCCAGCTCGATCATGACGAACACAATGGTGCCGACATCACAGCTCTACTGCCATTTTTGACGAAGTTAATCAACAAGGACCGGAATCCTACCCTGGGGCATTTCACCTGCAGAGGTAGCCGGACCTGAGACTCTTTCACTCAATTTTTTCAACGGTGCATGCGCTCGTTTTTCCCGCGAAGCTCTTGGCAAGTAAAATCCATCAGAAAGTTTGATCAAATAACGGCTGGTGACCTTCCATGACCTAGCATGGCCTTTTGAGTGACCACCGATGACATGACCACTGACGGCTGCCATTAGCTGCACCCTGCCCGTTGCATATGGATCAGGTGGTGATGTCATGATTCTGAAATTATATTGCAGTTTTGGCGCACTTGTCAGAGCAGAAGACACTCCCACTTTTCCTCCATGACTATATGATGGTGAAGCCCTGAAGCTGACCAGACGTAAGATCGAAAATTTGAAAGTACGAAACGTAAGAATAGCTGGCACTGATACTCATACCTAAGCAATTCGCAGCTTGTAGGAAACCAGCTTTGAGTTGGCAAGACTGCAAATTTTGATTTAGAGGCAAGGATGCTTGAAAAGGTGATCGATCTTAGGTGTCCTAGGATAAGTTTGGAAACGGGATGCACCATTCGACGTGTTTTGGGCCTTGCCAAGTTTCGCGGCGTTACGTGCCTCGTTTTTTTTTTTGCATACACGATCAGTATCTACTTTTGGGATTTTCGATTTTCGGTCCCCGTCCCCCCCTATCGAAAACCCGTGGCGCCGCCCCTGATGGAGACTGCAATACCACATACGTCAGTAACACAGTATGGACGGAGACTGCAATACCACATACGTCAGTAACACAGTATGGAGACTGCAATACCTCATACGTCAATAGCACAGCATGAAGACTGCAATACCCCGTACGCCAGTAACACAACACGGAGACTGCAATACCGCATAAGACAGTAGCACAGCATAGAGACTGCAATAACGCATACGGCAGTAACACAGCATGGAGACTGCAATACCGCATACGTCAGTAACACAGTATGGATATTGCAATACCCCCTACGTCAATAACACAGCATGAAGACTGCAATACCCCATGCGTCAATAACACAGCATGGTAGCTCACATACCACGGAGACTGGAATAGCCCACGCAGCAGCATGAACAAGACTGCAGTAGCACACAAGTCAATAACAACATGAAGACTGCAGTAGCTCATATGTCAATAACACAGGGTAGAGACTGCAATGCCACACACGTCAGTAGCACAGTGCGGAGATTGCAATGCCACATACGTCAGTAACACGGCATGGAGAATGCCGAAGTGCACACGTCAGTAGAACCATTTGGACACACAGCACAAATGAATGAAATGAAAAAATGAAAAGTGCAGTGGCGCCCGATTTAAGTGTGGGCTTTGGGGGAGGGGAGGATACTGTGGTCTTTTTTGCCGTAGACAACTGAATCACTTCAATGTCACATTATAGGTACTCTAAGAGCAAAATCTGAATGACTTTCGCTGTCTGAAGATGGATTAAAATCGCTAAATACTTAAAATAAACATAGCTGGCACTTGAATGATTAGGAGACATTGGTCTGGACGGACTCTCTATCACGTGGACAGGCCACCCAACCCCTGGACATTCACCGCACCCGGCTACGGGCCTGCTCAGGTGGGGTGGAGCTACCCGCATGGAATAAAGTTGCCCGTCCAGCCCAGAACAGGGGACGGAGGAGTGGAGAAGGATTTCACTTTCCTAAGGATGGAGACGACGGAACGGAGGCTTGACTGATACGAAGGAGCGGAGGCCTGTTTTGGGTTCCACCATGGTTGATATAATGTGGTAGCGTAGATTTTAAGCCACAATCGACAGACACAAACTGGACACAAACTTCATTATCTCTGCTGCAGGTTCGGGGCCAAACAGAAGGCAAAAGCGACTGATCGCCTACAACTACGACGAGCAAAGGATAACTTTTCCTCCGGGAACCGTCTTCTTCATAACGCCGACATTAAATGTTCCCTTTATCAGAAACTTGAAAAAGGGATTCGAGTCAAAATTGACCATCAGTGCACCATTTCAAAGTAAGTGTCCGAATTGAGTATGCATGACATCATAGCTGCATTCAGTCTGGATCTATCTTCAATGCTGTTTAACCATGAATAAACGAAAATCATAAAAAGCAAATAGACGCATTGGTATAAAACATATCTTATCTTTGCAAACTTCATCATGTCTGCTCCTTCTTTCCGGAGGAGTCAGCTAACAGTCCCTCCCTGTGATGTCTGCCAGTGATATTCGACGACTTCGGCATCACGGACGAGTACAACCCGTGGGGAATCGTGCCGGGCCTGTCTGTGCCCCAGGGCAGGCAGAAGGCGCGCCGCAGGAAGCAGCGGTACCGGCGCACAGTGGACGACTACAACCCGCACCCGCTCGGAGACAGGTCAGTCGCCAGTTTACAGACAGGTCAGAGGGCCGGGCTGGTCAGAGCAGGGGAGGTCAGAGAGGGTCACGGATCACAATGAGGGCAGCGCAGTGCATACAGGGTGGGCCAAAAAAAGTGTGTCACTTTTCAGCAGTAATTTCTCGAAAGTGGTAAGAGATACGAAAAAGAAACTTTCACAACTTAAAGCAAATCGTTTGACAAATTATATGATATCAATTTTATGGAAAATTTTAATCGAACTGACGTTGCCATCATCATTTCAAAAATGGGATCTGTGCATCTCTTTATTTGCGCATGTGCTCGAAGTGGGCACCACCAAGCTGAAGGCCATCCGGAAACGCGCTCCAGGAAGCTGACGCCCTGACCCTCTCCGCGGTGGCTGCTGTCACTTCACGCACGTACCATGATCGACGCTGACACGCAGCTCCTCCAGGCTACCGGGCTTGTTGCGATAGACGCTGTCCTTGCAGGCTCCCCAAAACCAGTAGTCCAGCGGGTTGAGTTCAGGACTGTGAGGAGCCCACTGCTTTTTGCTTCCCTTGGAGATCACGCGGCAACCGAAGAGCTCTTGGAGCAGTTGCAGTGTCTCTCCGGCCGTGTGCGGTGGCGCTACATCTTGCATGAACAAAGCTTGTAGCGTGATCACCAAGGGAAGCGAAAAGCATCCTCACAGTCCTGACCTCAACCCGCTGGACTACTGGTTTTGGGGAACCTGCAAGGACAGCGTCTATCGCAACAAGCCCGGTAGCCTGGAGGAGCTGCGTGTCAGCGTCGATCATGGTACGTGCGTGAAGTGACAGCAGCCGCCGCGGAGAGGGTCAGGGCGTCAGCTTCCTGGAGCGCGTTCAGATGGGCCTTGAGCGTTGAGGTGCCCACTTCGAGCACATGCGCAAACATAAAAGAAGCAAATATCCCATTTTTGAAATGGCGATGGCAACATCAGTTCGACTGAAGCTTTTTCATAAAATGGGTATCATATAATTTGTCAAACGATTTTCTTTAAGTTGTGAAAGTTTCTTTTTGATATCTCTTACCACTTTCGAGAAATAGCTGCTGAAAAGTGACACACTTTTTTTGGCCCACCCTGTATAACATAGAGTGGAGGGCTGTTGCTAGGTCGCAGACAACCAGAGGGATTCATGGGTCACACAGACACGTCAGAAGGGAACGCAGATCAGTACAATCAGATAAAAGAGAGCCGCGAATCAATAGACAGGTCAGATGCGTACTGTTCTACACAACTTAGATGGCGGCGCCCTTCACAGGTAACGTGGAAGATAAGAAGAGGGGCAGGGTCAACACAGGTGCGACATTCTGTAGCCGCAGACAGCAGACAAGACATGTAATTTCTACACTTATAGGACGGTAATAACAGGCACACATCACAAAAGCAGGTTGGCATTGTTTAAAAGTGGAAAGGGGAAGATAAAAAAGAGTCAGAGAGCCAAAACGATCTGGAGAGGACCATGATTTGCACGACGCAGTCCATCTATAACTGCGCTGCCGTTTTTATAATACTCGTTTGTATTGAGGCGCCACACTTAGGCGTCACAGCGGGATAAGAAACACGCGATAAAATCCCACAAAAAAGGGCGGCAGCCATCCAGGTCGGTCACCGCCGCGCCGCCCGGCCACCCGCTGGCCTCCGGGAGGCGCACCGGCGGCCGACAGAATAGCAAGCGGCCTTTTTGCGGCGTTCTTTGCCTGGACTCGATCAGCTGTCGTCAGTCAGTGCTGCGGCTGGGGTGGGATGGGACTGGGTCAGCGGCGCGCAGATGTGGCACAGGTGTCAAGAGGGTTCGGTTCGGTGTACGATTTACTGGCGACTGATCGGCTCAGCGGATGGCAGTGTGGGCTGGATGTTAGGTGAGATGATACGACCTCCCCATATGTCACTGACGTGATGTGATATTCAAATCCTCATCACATATGACACAAGAAATAGCTACGATTTTCACCAGCTGTTTACCTCAGCCCGATGTTGGATGGGTTTAGCGCGTATCCCCTTACGCTGTTTTCGCCCCACTCAGCGCTGCTAGATCACTGCCGCTGTAACCTTCGGCCATCTCCCCTCCCGCAGGGTGACGCTGTTCCAAGTAATCGAGCAGTACCTGACGAACCTGGGCCACAACGGGCCGGCCTGCCTGCTGCGGGCCATCTGTGAGCTGAACCGCAGCTCGCTGCCCTACCACGGCCTGTTCGGCGAGTTTCTGCAGATGGTGTTCAGGTGAGAGGCCCTACCATAGCGCCCTACCACGGTGAACGGCCCTACCCACAGCTTGCGGCCTTACTACAGTGAGGCGTGAGTGGCTCTAAGATAGCGGCCCTACTATGGTGAGGCGGCCCTACCGATCGGATTGGCGAGTTTCTCCAAGTTGTATTCCGATAGGTAAGCAAGCCTACCAGCATCTTGTAGCCCCATAGGAAGGCAGCGGACAGACCACTACCCATTCAGCTGTTCAGATGGGTCTTACCGGGCCACACTTAAGGAACGAAAGACCCACTTCTTGAGGTTAGTTGGGCTTGTGCAGTTCAAACTGCAGCTGTCATCGGTGCTTGATGTCTTGAAATGGAGGTTCCCGGCCTGAAGTAACAAATACGCCACACACAGACGGACTAAATGCAATGATTCACCGCCGACACACACACGCTGCCACTGCCGATGTTGTGGTGCTATTAAAGAGCCTGCCACTGACGTAAAATTCTGATGCTGGTATCGGGTGCACCAATGGAGTCCCCATTGTGTGGTGCTAGTGTGAGATGCGCTACGGCAGTCATCGATAAGTGGTGTTAGAAACAGATGCGCTATTGCAGTCTCAACTGATTGGTGCCAGTGTTAGGTGCGCTGTTGCAATCTCCGATGAGCAATGTTAGTGTCGGGTACGACGTTGCAGTCTCCATAACGTAGTGTTGGTGTTCTGTGTGTTACAGCAGTCCCCGCTCACTGCTGAGTGACGCTAGTAACAAATGCCGCTTATCTAGTCACTTAGGTAGGTATGTAACTCATTGCGCTTCAATGCGCCATTGAGTAGTGTGTCTGGTGCACTGCAGCAGTCTCCATTGAGTGGTATGTCCCGTGCGCTAGACTACTCATTGAGTGGTGATAGTGCTGGGTGCGCAGCTGCAGGCTCTATGTTGTGGTGTTGTTGACGTGTGCGCTGATGCAGTCTCCACTGAGTGATGTTGAAGGCAAGACCGAAAATTCAGACCCCATTAAGTGGTGCTTATGCGGGTTCCGCTATTGTAATCTCCCGTCCAGTGCGCTATTTGTCTCCATATTATGGTGTTATTGACGTTTGCCTTCTCGCAACTCCGTGGTGTGATACTGTCGTGCGTGCCACTGAAGTCTCCAGCGACGCACAGGTCGACATGCAATCAACAGTCGTACCCGGTACCAGTCGCTATTATTCCCGCCATACGGCATGCATTCCTAAGATTAAAAATGAATTAGATTCCAAACATAAGAGTCCCGATCATGCAGGAGTGTTTGCACTGAACGGACCCCCGCCGCTCATCCGCCACCCTCTGTGACGTCACCAGCTGACCCCCAGTGACGTCATTACGTGTGTGACCGGCAGGGTGAGCACCAGTCCGTACGCAGACGAGGTACTACCGGAGTACCTGAGGGCGGAGCTGTCGGGCCGAGAGTCGGGCGTTTGCGACCACTACTATGACGAGTGTCCGTCGTCGCTGCTCGCCACGGTGCGAGAGAACCGGCGGAGGTGAGAGAGGGAGGGGAGAGAGGGGGAGTAGACGCTCGCACCGGAGGACATTGACAGGGTAGGATACCAGGGAGGCCATCCACATGGGAGAACACCCGAGTGGATATCCACAGGAACAGACCCGTGAACTTCCACTGTGACAAACACCGTTGATAAAAACACGCCACTTTTCTGTGGAATCTCAAGGCTCTCTTTTACGGAATAGGGAGACAAGTCTCTTCAGTGAAAGATATTTTCAAACAGCCTTAAAATCACTTCAATAAAATGACCAATACTGACCTGCCCACCGTTCCCAGAATACCATCGAAGATCAATGAAATCACACAAAAGATGAAGAAAACCTTTGACGAAAATCAGCCGTCCGGAGCATAACAGATAAGAAGATACAGCCATCTACGTGCATCTTCCGTTAATGAAGGTAGCGTCTACTCGACGAAACCACATCACCATCGACGGGAGCCTGTTCGTGGTCGGATGTTCATTGCTTATGTACTATTCGCCGGTGTTACAGATAATTCTCGGGGCATACTGTCAGGGACGGAAAGTATGCCAGATGGGCATACTGTCAAGCTGGGCTGTAATCCCGCTCATAGCATTTGAAGGTGGAAAATGTGGGAAGCTCAAGAAAAGGTGAAGTAGGACGCTCAAGAAAAGGTGAAATCAGACGCTCAAGGAAAAGTGGAATTTGACGCTTGAAAGAGGTGGGATCGGAAGCTCGAGCTTTGCTGTTGTGGCATATGAAAGGCTGTAGATGCGCTCATTGTTATTGTTACTGAATGCGTTACTTGTTACCCACACGTAAATTCTAGTGTGATTGTTTCATGTTATTCACCGCCGACTTCTTTGTTGATGTTATCAAGCATTATTAGGAGGCATATATCCTACGGCCGCCGTAACGTACGTAGGTATGATATTATAGAATTATAGACTGTTGTATTATGAAATCGTTCCTCGTGAATAAACGAAAATCGTAATCACAAACACTGCACCAGGCTTTTGCTTACTCTTAACCTTCGCCGCAACGGTGTTTGGACTGGAGTGCCACCACGGCGCGTCCCTTTATCCCTCGGTCGGTACACACATCTGGCATGGGTGATCCTCTGTATTGACACTGGAATGTAGCTGTGACCGACACAATGCGGGCAGGCTCACAGGACAATCCGCGGTACTCCACGCCGTTCGAGCCTCACCGACCGGACGGACGGTCGTACCGGCGGCTGGTGATTTCCCCTGGCAGGCCCAGTCCGCCAGCGACACACACCCAGGGCCCTGTTTCACCGGTGATAGCAGCACGCTGCTTTTACACGTGTCAAATTGGGTTTCCATGGAAACATCAACAGGCCCATTGCTCCAACACTACCACAAGTGTGACGTCAGCTCGCGCAATTTGATAGTAGCGTGGTAGCAGCGTCCCGTGAAACACCGCCCTGTCCATACAGAAAACACTGCAGATACCATCAAAAACGAACCAGGGCGCCTACAAAACCGGCGACTCCACACTAGTGGCGAAAGACAGCGACTTAAAGCAACATGATAGAAAACAAAGCAAAACTTACACAACATAGGAACATTATCTATCGGGTAGCATATAAGACATGGAACATCGTAAGCACAAACATAGCAGCCTAGAATAAGAAAAAAAAAGATTTAACGTGGAACCGCAATGGGTAAATAAAATAATCAAGTTTAATTTGGACAATCAATTCTCGAAGTTTTTTTTTAATAGAAGTTTAGACTAGACAAAGATGACAGAATGACAGAAAATAAAGCAAAGTGTCCCGAGTGGCCCACGAAATAGAGGGATGTTAAAAACAAGACTTAGGAAGTCGTTACAAAAAGATACGGTGCATTATCTTTGGCGTTAAACGTTATGACAGCAGCATTTAGCAAATAAATAATCATTAGTTTTAATTTGACGCCTACTCTTCGGGCAATACGATAAATGCGAACATATTTAAATCGTACCACAACAAACATTAGAATTGGGAAAAATATTGTGGGTATGTATCTACTGCAATAAACCAAAGCAAGTCTTTACACAAAGGGTCAAAATGACCCTTTGCGTTAAACAAAACCCCATGAGCTATCGCACCATGCACAATATATGCCATAAACATATACACATGCATGAAAACTTCCTAACCCATTCAAAAACTTGAGTATAAGTTAACGAAGGTTTTATAGTTCCACCAAAAATCGAGATCATATCAATTAAGTATCACTTTCCCAGCAACCACAATTTATAAATGCTAATAATCCCGTGCAGAGTGCGAGGTAACGTCGTTGAAAACAAAGTTAAATGGACAGATGTTTTATAATTGAACGCTGTAGGCCTTCACTGGGACCTTATATTGACACTTATTAATACAAATAGATTGGTTGCTTTCTGGAAACATCTTAATCTAGACGAAACTGCACACATTTCGGATTTCGGAGCTTGTGCGTTTGTTTCTTAAATCGTGAAATAAACGTTTAACAAAAGTTCATACCTCCTGCAAATGATTAACATAAATCATACAGCACAGGGAGGGCACCAGACAATTTTATCTCACATTAAAACATATGATATATGGTTGTTACTTGTTTGTTTGTTATCAAAGACGAGTGTTGTCATACTTAAAACACAAACAGCTGGTGAATTAGGGAAACTAGCACGGCGATGCAGAACATTAAACAGCCACAGGTAAGTAGTGTTCATAGTGTTAATGTGCTGGCAATGATCCGGTTCATGATCGCTCAGCAGAAGCTATATACTGTATAGGCAATCGAGCCGCGCGCTGGAAGCTGCCACTAGCAGCCAGTGAACCCGCTGCGGGGAGCGGAACACCAGCCGGCTCTCGGGCCGTAACGAGAACTAAACGCCTACAAAACACACTCCTACAGCGGCTACTGGCAAAAGTCCTACAGACTACAAACCATACTAATAAGTACATCGCAGAACAGATTAATAAGCACTTAGCGCAATACCGGGAGTGAGCAAAGCGTACCAGTCACTAGCTCAAACATCCGCTGCATGCGTTACACCCAGTTATCGCAAGGAACAAAGACTGATATAAAAAGGTTCACCAAAATGACCGTGTAAAAGCATCAAACTGATTGTGTGAGCCCCTTATATAAATTACCAAATTAGCCAGGGTATCGCAACGCTACTTTACTTGTAAATCTATTACTCTTATAAAAAGAAACTGGACGGCAAATTGACTCGCATCTTGTTTTTGTGAATAAATACAGACAGCCAAGATGCCTGTGAACAATTTTGTGACTGCCAAAGGGTAAAGGTTCGATTCTTTTTTAAATTCAAGCAGCTCTGCCTGCCCAAACTGCCCAGTAACGGGTGGGATCAGCCAACAGCCTGCTAAGTTCCGTGGCCATGCCGAGATCAGCTCTCACTCCGCACTTTACCTGCAGTGCTTTGATCCATTCCGCACTATACCTGCGGTTTCCCGATCACAGACAAACACAGGTCGGCGCCGCATTAAAGCACACCTATCACTCGCGCTCAGCCGGACCACCTCCATTCAGCCGACTAAGTGCTCCGGCAGGGCCGACCAGGCCGTAGAAAAATATCGCGAGGGGACTGCGGCCGCTCGGTGTCCCTTCTGGCAGAGCGTCATCAGTAGGGGGAGGTCTGTCACTGAACCCGCTGTCAGCTTCATCACGCCGCCGGAATCCATCACCGCCCGGCACACTGCGGTACTTCCCACTCGGCTCCGCTGTACACGGCGACCGCTCCAGTGCTCCAGCTCTACCGAACTGGACACAAAGTACCCGAGACTGCCGCTGAGTACAGGCACCATATTCGGGGGCCCCGATCTCATCCCCGCGCTAGTATCAACCACAGCTAGCTCGCTTGCTGTGTTTACACCGTCGACCTCACTGCACACAAGGGGCAGGCATTTCATACCGTTGGGTCGGTGTAACTCACCCAGTCGGCGGCTGAAGACCAGTAACAGCGATCGGTGCGGAGTCGCAGGGTGCTGGTGATAGCGGCAGCCGTGTCAGGCAGCGGCGGACCGGCCGGCGGGTGGGCTCACCGCGAACAGCAGCCGCCGCCACCGACCGGCCGGCCGGCGTCGATCCGGATCGGGTCGGAGGCAGACGACAGTGGCTCGGTGCTCAGGTGTGTCTGACTCTGACGGATAGAGACGGGTGGACGGGCACGGTTAGACGTTGAGTCACACAACACAACTGAGGTATGGTGTAGAGCGAGGGATAGACGGGTATGGTCAGACGGTGTCGCACGACTCCACTGGACCGGGTCCGAGCGACACATATTTACGGTTAGGGGTAGGTCATGTCACTTATTGTACGACAGACGGATTCAACGGACAGCAGCAGACGGACAGCCGGCGGGTGTTACGTGACTCCACTGGACATGGGTCTATTGAACAAAGGCGTGGACACTGGACATGTCACATGGTCACCTGGGTCGACCTGGTAAGTCACGCGATATGACTCAACTGGATCGGGGTCCATGACTCACACCTGACTCACCGGATGTAACTGGCAGTAACAGCGCAGTGACGCGTCATATACCATTGGAGTCGAGTGAATATGACCCACTAAACCCAGTACACAGGCTACGTGACAATTGACACGACACCCACGGTAAGCCAACAATTCCCGGCCCACGCCTTGCTAGCCCGCGGGCGGGCACGAGCCAACACAAGATCTGACGGATCCACGCCCCAATACATTCACTTCATCGCGACGGATTCACTTCATAGCTATATGAGGCGATGCCCCAGGAACACAAGGTCAGCCTAAATGTCATCACCCATAATACACAAAAAATAGCATAGTGAGTAGTGACTGTCATGCCGAAATCCAAGCAGATCACACAAAGCCCACCCAATGCTAGGAAGGACGGTCTATCAGAGACCCGAGTGTAAAAGTGCGCAAGCCCCCAAAGCAGCGACAAATGAGAGGATAACAAATAACAATATACCGACAGGACTTCCAGTTTCACACTGTAGGTACTTTGTACTGTGAAGCCCAAAAATCACCGATGTCCCCAGCAAACCAACACACTTACATAATACGGGCTCGTGACTGCACGATCGTTGTCCTGAAAACACATGCAGATGCACAGGACATACACATGTCAGATTTAGTAACCATACTATCAAACTTTTATCTCCTCGATCGCCAGGAATAAAAATTGCACTCTATAGCCGTCAACGTTGTTTGACTCGATAAACCCTTTCTCACAAATCCCGTTCAAAATTCATTTCCATACCGTTCACTCACCTATATAACCCATCGCCTCTTCCCCCCCCCCTCCCCGCCTATCCTGTATCAGCCATCTCCTACCATACTACCCTGTCTCTCCAGTCCCTACCTCATTCGCGTGCATCCCCAGCGTATGTCCACCCATCCCTCCCCCTACCACATCCACCGCCCCATCCTATCTAACTCACCACAAGGACCTTGGCGAGCCGCAGGAACGGCTCCTCCACCTTGTGGTTCTCCTTGGCCGACGTCTCGATGAAGGCGAAGATCTCCGGGTAGCTGTCCATCAGCGCGTCCGTCTCCTCCGGCTTGATCTCGTGGTCGGCCATGTCGCACTTGTTTCCTGTCCGATGGGGATGGAATGTGACGTGTGTGACGTGACAATGGTGTATGACGTAAAATGACGCTGTGACGTAGTGACGGTAGGCAGGCATCGGTAAAATCCTTTTTGAAAGGATTGCATTCCCAATCCACATTCCTAGTGCCGAAGTGGATTGCATTCCTACCTGCAATCCCATTTTTTCACTTGGATTGTGATCAAATCCGCAATCCTTTTTTGCAATCCTGTTGCATTATTATGTGCACTAGTGGATCTGGGGGAGGGAGGGGGCATAGGGCCGTGCCTCCATCCCCAAATCACCCATTTCTAGTACCTAGTCTTGCGAGTAATTCCTATCTAAGGCACAGGTATTTTATGGGAAATATTTTTTGCCTCAAACACCCCCACATTTAAACCTCTACCCAACCAGTGTTTTATGTTTTTAAAACTCGCCCTCAAATACGTAATTTTGTCCTTCCTATGTAGTCCATCAGCGTATATTAGATATTTTGAGCGTTTAAATTAAAGGGACCCTCCCACCTTCAAAAAAGTTTATGAATTGGCATGAAAGTGATGTCGCTCGGTTCAGAAAGAGCGAAAACGAATATCTACCAAATTTCACTGAAAACATTCACCGGTTTTCAAGATATTAGACTTTTACTTTTGTTTACTTTTTGGGATCTCTCCGCTGTTCCTAGCGACTTTATTTGGAAGCAATAGTTTGGCAGCTGAAAGTGCGGCACTTGTTGCGCGCAAAGCAGCATATACCACCGCGTGCTACAAAACGTTTTAGTCAAACATTTAAAAATCGTTAGATATCTGCGCTGACGTCACACATTCAGAGGGATATTCCTATGCATTAGCCCCTCTGAATCAAAACGCTGCAATTTTGAAATTCAATATTTCTGATTTAAGGCATTTCTCGATGTTGTGAGTGCCGAAACCGGTAATTGTGAGCCAGGGACCCCGTTTTGGCTATCTCAACTCAAATCTAATGTTAAGGTGGGAGGGTCCCTTTAAAAGCGTTTAAATTATTTCAAGTTTCGATGTAAAGCCCTTGATAGCAAAGTACATTAAGCCGATGAAGCCGATCTTATAATTTTCAATCGCAACAAACCATTTCAAAGCACTAATCAAACACAATCCGGATTGGATTGCAAAAATTGGAAGTATGATGCAATCCAATCCGCAATCAAATCCTGTTTTTTGGAATGGATTTCAAATCCAGGTGCAATCCACCAAAAAGGAATGCAATCAGGATTTTGCAATCCTGCAATCACAATCCTTCCGATGCCTGACGGTAGGTTACATGACGCTGATGTAATGGCCATAATTGTGACGTGGCACTGTGATGTAACTGCGACATATAAGGCGATACTCTGACCTAACGACGGTATGTGAGGCGACGGAACGCAGTATGGTGTGAGGCATGACGGTAGGTGCCGAGTAACGTCACATTTCTAACAAAAAAAAAGAAAGAAAAAAACGCTATCAGCTGACGTTGATTAGGAAACACATCGAGTAACGCCAATAAGACGATAGCAACGGCTAGCCAGCAGCAGCAGCCCCTACAAACCATCATTCCTGCTCCGCGCCGGACAGGTCGGCGCCCGGTGTCCCCGGGCCGCTCTCGCGACTCACCGATCAGCACGACGGCCACGTTCGGAGTGGTGTAGCGCCGTACCTCGTCCATCCAGCGGCGCACGCTAGTGAACGACGACCGCTTCGTCACGTCGTACACTGCAACGGCGGCGCGAACGGCGGAGAGACGGGCTATTAACTAGAGTGGCCAGGGGTAGGTATGACATACTTTTATCAAAAGTGTTTACTTGCCCCTAGTGATATTATTTGAGTACAGGTACCTATCAAAGTGACACAAATATCAAATCGTATAGAGATGCAATATTGAAAACGCCCTTTTCCAGACATGCTTACCTATGATGACTCCATGTGCAGACCTGTAATAGCTTTGTGTGATAGTTCTGAACCTCTCCTGCCCAGCAGTATCCCAGATTTGGAGCTGTAAAATGAAACAGACGACACCAGCTAAGAATGGGACACACATGCTGATTAGCATAATCAACAACATAGAAGGAAACAGTTATTCATAAAGGAATTTTATGCTTTTGATAAACACATTTTGAGTAGGAATAACTTTAGATATGGGGTGTGCACTGTGCAGTGTACTTAAATGTGGTGACTTTTGAATGATGAAATATAAATAATTAAAAACCCTTGCTTCATAGACACAAATTGCATAGATGTACCTATTGCACACATGGACAAAACATAGATCTATATTGCATATGGTATGATATTTACCCTTTCTGATCAATAATAAAGTATTAAACCAACCTTGACTTTTTTGCCATCCACCATAATTGTCTTCATGGAAAAATCTACTCCAATAGTACTTGAGTGCCTTTCAACAAAGTTACCTGACTTGAACCTTGTCACAACACAAGTCTTTCCTACCCCACAATCACCAATCAAAACCACCTTGAACAGGAAATCAAACTGGTCTTCTTCTGTTCTAGCCATTTTTCTGTTACCTGGAATAAATGACAGTTGTTCATAATTGTTCTTTAGTATAAAAAAAAAAACAGCTGAGTACATACCTCGTTGGTCAGAGAAGAAGAGTAGGGAAAAATGGGATTGGTGAGCCCTTTTTTTGGAGAACACCAATTCAGGACAAAATGTATGCTATCAAATGTTTCAACACCTCAGATCAAAATGTATGCTTTAACCCCCCCCCCCGGCCGAGGGGGGGGGGGTGCCGCCCCCCCCCCATAGGGTTTTTTCGCGATAGCTCCGAACACGCTGGCGATAGAGAGCTGAAACTTGGCATACCTGACCTTTGATTCAAGCCGGATCTTTTGACACCGACCGCATTTTTTGTGTCAGGTCAGGTCACTGACCTATGACGTCATAAGTGAACCTCTGCACGGTCTTCAGATGTCGCAACTTCGCAACGCCCTCACTGCCAGAGGAGATGTCACAGGGAAATGAAACTTGCAGGATCTAGTATCCATTATGAGTCTCACAACTTGTATATCTCGGATTTTTCCTAAAGGTCATATGAGGTCAGGTCATTTTCATGACCTCACCATTATAAGTCAATGGGGGAAAAATGAAAACTGCTATTCTGGCGCCGGGAACGATCTCCAACTATCTCAAGCACACAGAATCGTGATTTGATGCACTCCTTGCAAGGTTAGATGCGTCACTTTTGCAATGTTGACCTTGCGTGACGTCATTTATGGCGTCATCAAGGTCATATTAGTTTTTCGTCAATAACTCTTGATCAAATTGAGCTAGCGAGTCGGGAAAGCCACCAATGGACTTAGGAAGGCCTACCGAATCGAATGATATGCGACATGACCTCTTTCGACCAACTTCGTGACCTGGGGGTGCTGACCTGACCTTGACCTGAGGTCACCACCCCAAGTTGACCTGACCCGGACAAAAAGTATATCATTCGACGCGCCTGAGCAAGGCGAACACGATGCTGCCAAAATCGGCGCTCTGCGGCCGTTTTTTGCGAAGGTATTCACCAAAAACTGAACCGTACCTTGGGGCACTTGACCTGACCTCTGAGGTCACCGGTTGACCTAGGACCTTACAATCGGGTACCAATCTCTGCGTCTCGTAACGGCGCACACGCTCGTTTTTTCCGCGACGCGCTAGCTCCACCAGGGGCGAAATGGCGAGGGGGGGAGGGTCGTACCCGCCCACCCCCCCCCCCCTCGGCCGGGGCGTATGTAGAAAACCAGTAGGTCCGGCGAGGGTTAATTAATATGCAACATGCACACAACCATCCCCTTAGAGGTCAGAACTTCAAAATCTGAAAAATGACAATTGACAAGCCAGTGTTCAGGTCTATAATGGCCTTTGTGACAAGCAGTTTAAACCATACAATTTAAACATGACAATTGACTTGCCCTTACTGTCTAAAGTGTGGTGACAATATTACCAATTGGCAGTTACCACGCTTCAGTGAGTGTCGCTGTCACATCTGCACAACAGCAGCACACCAATTCCACAGGGCAAATATCAATCAGATCACCTACTGAAGGTATAAAGCTCCAAGCTACCTTGACCTTTCAGTAAAAGCAAAAAGTTAGATGCCTCCCACATTGGTAACTGTTACAAACACTTGATATATATTCCCATCCAATCAAAGTGATCAATCTCCAATGTTTTTTTAGGTTTTTAAGTAAATGCTTCTTAATTGGTCAAAAGCACTGATTTTACTGTCTGAAAAAGACCTTAAAAGCCTAAATGAAAGTCCATAAAACGAGTGCCTTATAATTTTCACTGGTTAGGCACCTTTGATCTAAGATTCTAATGAGACCTTTTCACAGTCAGAAAGATAACAGGAATTAGGTGAGGACATTTGTCTGGGCAGCAACCCTAACAAACCATGAAGGTTGACTCCATCACAAATGACAGGTGGAGGTGACCCAGTTCCCACCAGTGGTCAGGTCACCTCATTACATGTGGGCAGTGAGCATGCCTGAGCAGCTATCCTTGGCAGTAAAAGACTGCCCCGCTCAGATCAGGGGGGCATTAAGTGAGAAGGATATGTGCATCAGTCATGCAAGTATTTTCAGATGAAGATCTGTCCTAGGGTTTGTTCTGGTAATAATCCTTTTTTAAATCTTGGGGGAGGTTGAATGAGCTTTGACTTTTGATAGACAAAGAATTGGAGACAAACATTGCTTTGAAATAAAAAGGGATAAATATTTGAAATAAATTCTTAAAAAATATCACCACATCAACATCCAGCATCCTCCTCAACCTCCACAACCTGAATCATTTCCTTATCACCCAAACCTTGCTTATAAAAAATCATGTTTGTAACTACGTGTGTCATTGAATGTCTACACAGAGCCTCAACCAAAAATCCAGCTTTTTTAAGATGAGGGAGGAGGCAATAGCAGTGGTGAATTTGGAATCTGGATGAGTTTAGAAGAACTTCAACCAAAGGGAACACAGTTGGGCAAACTAGACTTTTGGAATCAAAATATGGAGGCATCAATAATTTGATTCTGGTGGGAGGAGCCATGACCAAATATGGGCATGGAATCAATTTTTTGATTCATTTGGGTACACTTTTGACTTCAAATGTACCGTTACGGTTGAAAAAAGGCCCATGACGGTGAGATTTTTCTTTAAAAAGGTAGAAAAATGTGGTAGGTTTGCAAAAAGTGTTACCTCAAAGCTAAGAAATTGTCCCTTTGGCCTTGTGAATGGGAAAGAGACAGAGCCACTGTCCATCACGTAAAAGCTGTTTTGAGGAAATCATGCTGTATGTTATTTTTGTATCATGAATCACATACTAAACAATCAGCATTTGTGTAAAATGGCAAAATGAAATTTTTAAACCCCTAATTATCATTGTTGTAGTGCTTTTATATTATTTATATCGTTTTTACCTGTTGCTTCAGTTTTTGTATTCTTGACATTTAAAAATTGTGAATTGTTATCAAATGTAGTGAAGGTAAAGTACAACAATGCTATAGGTATCTGTTGTGGTGCTGAGGATACCACTAAATGAGAACAATAGCAAGATAAATGCTGTATTCTTGCAAGTCATTGTTGCCTATCTGTTAACATTACATGTGAATCAAAATAATGATTAGCCAGCTGATGGGGAATCAATATTATGATTATCTGTTTAAAGTGAATCAATTCCTTGATTGCCTTTCACTACCTATAGAATTCAAATTGTTATGATAGGAGCAATATTATTTTACTTAGGAGATAGTTCCAGCATTTCTGTTCAAGATCAGGCATGCTCCTTCTTGAAACACTCTCTTATTTTTATGTGATTGGTAAGTTAGAAATGGTCTGCATTTATGCCCAAATATGGTCATAAGGAATCAATCTTTTGATGCCTCCATATTTTGATTCCAAAGGTCTAGTTTGCCCAACTGAACAATTTTTTCCAAGAGGAGGTTAGAGGACCTTAGAGGAGGTTGAAGGAACCACAGGAACAATCTTATAGAATCACAAGCTTATGAGCCCAATCTTAAGTGCATGGGAAGTGGGAACCCAATATCAATATGAAAGTAAATAAGAATCGGAGTAAAACGCAGTTCACACATGACCGTCAGTCTGTCGGTGTCGGGCCCGTCACCGTCGACCTGACGGCCTGCAGCCCGTCAGACGAAAGTTGAGATTTGGTAGCTCCCATTGGCTGCCATATGCTGTGACAGAAATGGCGCACCAATTTCGAGATTGACGCAGATGGGGGAAGGGGATGGGGGCTGAGAGGCTAAAAATATTCTTTGAATAACAGAAATAAATTACCACGCATTTACATTTTTATGTCAAATAATGCTGCAATTTTATTTAAAAGAAAGACACATCGGTTCGTTGATTTAAATCAGGGATCGAATCTCAAGATATCGTGCCGTAATAAATGCTTCCATCTCAACAGATGCATGGAAAATGGTATAAATGATCTTAAAAATGCATATAAGCTTCATGCTGCATGAGAACGTTACTTTTCCTCTTCCTCCAACACGCAGACATTCAAACCGACGGGCCCGTCACCGTCAAAAGTTGAACATTGCTGAACTTTCCAAAGCGACGGCCGTCAGGTCCGGCGCCGGCGCAGTCAGCTGTTGCCGGCCGTCAAACACTGCCGGTTCACACATGACCGTCGACCTGACGGCCGTCGCTCCGTCAGTTTCGGCCGTTTTGACGGTGTCGGGCCCGTCACCGGCAGACCTTACGGGCAAGTGTGAACTGCGTTTAACAGCCGCAAAGCCAAAGCGCCATGACCTTTGGAATTCCCATGTCAATGTCGATGTGTGGTGAGGGAAGGTAATGAAAGAAGCAAAATACATTTCTTGTCCTTGCAGAGAAGGCAAAACTCTTGCACACAGGCACCCCATCCCACTGTGAAAATAATTTGGAAATAAAACAAATAAAATTGACAAAGTCAATGCACACACACAAAACAAGCTTCAATCAGTGTTCGGCAGCCGGCTATTTTGTGTGCAGGGTATGACGTATTTCGCGAGCCGACGTCACAGCCGGTGACGTCGGCTCGCGCGCGAGCCGAGCGCCAACGACAAACTAACGGGAACCCTCGGACACCCTCGGGGCATAAACCGCGGAGTAGCATATTGAGCGAGTCTTATAAGGAAAATTCATATATTTTCGTTTCTCAAATGATAATCAGGGTGTCTCTTACCTTTTTACATATCATTTAGGCTTACCTAACACTTCAGTTGCCAAATATCTGCAATTTATTCAAGCGAAGGTATTTTCAGTAAATATCAATGCTATAGACCGAAATCTTTTCAATAAAAACTCCAATCAACAGAAATAAAAATAACTTAATTTATTCCAACCATTTCCTCCAAATAAACAACGTAAAAACTCACTTTTACACACATCATTCATAATAAAGCATACTAACACGCCGCTTTAGACAATTGCGGCGTCGAGTGGCGCGCTGCTAGCGCTCTTTTTCGATCGCAGAGACCCTGCACGCACGCGAGCACACTACGTCACGTCCGGGGGGCACAGGTATATGAAAAATCGCAGTGACGTAACACTTTTCTCGCTTCTCATTGGTCAATAGCCCGTTGCCGGGGTAACGTGCACGTATGTGAGCGCGGGCAAGAGTACTAGCCGGCCGCCGATCAGGGCTCAGCTGACTTATGCGCCATTAAAGTATATACTGCGCAGACTTCGCTTTTTTAGGTACTGTTCGTTATTTTTTTACGATGTTTGTTTTTATCAGAATACAAGTTTTACGCTCAGTATTGACTTAATTTTGTTGTCAAACTGTTATTTTTTGAAATATTCATTCCATTTAAGCTATATTTATTAACAATATTACATCAAAACAGGCGAAAACAAAAGCGATAATACTCCGAATCTTATAGAACGCATCCTAAGTCATAAGATCAATTGCTTCAAATTTCAGTTGTGTTTTTCGGTAGAATATTTTTTAGCGTATTTTGCATCCGTTGATTGTATTGCGCTACTGAAAGAATTTTTAGGTATTTTTGTGACAAAAAAACATTTATTTGATGGGTCAATTACTCATTTGATGCTAGAGTTTCTAGTATATTTCGTCTTAGAATTCGATAATAAGCTAGACACTTTTATCTACTAGCGGCCCGAGGTTGTCACGGGAAAAGCGCTGGGCCGGTGGGTGCAGGTTATGTGGATTAATTTGTATTTTGATAATTTTAATTGTTTTTTATGCTAGCCATTGTCAACAGCATGATCATAGATGAATTTACGTATGTTAGTCTCTCATCGTTTAAACCTGGAATGGAGGACTGCTCACATATTACGGAAGGTTGAGGTTAGGTGTTTTGTTTCAGTCGGGCGCACTGTGGTATCTCCGATTCATTTATGGAGACGTTTCTATTATTGGAAACGTTTCCAAATTTGACTACTCTTCTGTTCCAAAAATGGAAACGCTCGTTCCATAAATAGAAACGCTAACATCTCCGCACATATTTTCTTGCCAAGGGTGGCTGGATTCGATGTATAACAACTGTTTCGCGTAAAACAAGCTCAGATACACCAAAAGCACTTGTCTTCTTGCATGAAAAGCTGTCGTATGCATAAAAATTCACGTCTTTAAAATGCTCCTGAATCGTATCCATTTATGGAGACTTAGTTTCCAAAAATGGAAACGCCGATGTTCCAAAAATAGAAACGCTGAATTTCAAATGTGTGCAAACTTAGCTTAAATGTGTTTTTAAAATTCACATGCAACTAAAAATTTGATGTTTTGGGACTGGTTTAGCATCTCGGCTCTCGGCAGTTACCTTGGACGTCGGGTTCGATAATAATACCTTACGCGCCGCAGCTTGAGCACATTCAAAAGTCAACTAAAACTAAGATTTCCCAGAAACTACTGGACAGATGTGGTCCAAAGTGGGCAATACATAAAGCGTAGATATCATTTCAATATATAAGATTAATATCAATGTTACACATGAGCTAGAATGAATAAATTCATCGTAAGAATACAACGGTATTTGGTGTGACGACGGTGCAGACCTTATTTCCATCCTGCTTTTTACGTATTTGCACGGAGATTTACGTTGATCCGAGCCTACGATCATATTCAGCACATTTGAAATATCATAAAATGCCCACTTAAGTCTCCAAATAGGGCTTTGCAACAACTTTCATGCGATTTAATCAAAGATTGACGACCACCAGGCCGCTGGTACACCGGAAAACGCAGCGTGAAAATGAATGAAAAACTGAAGTTCCCGGTGATGTGGTTGTTCCAATCAATGAGTCAGTCTTTCAGTAGTCTGTTAAAAACGTTATTTTTTGTTCAAAACATTCATAAATGTTATTATTTTCGATTAGAAAAACGTGTGAATTTTTTTATCACGTCAACATGTTATAAGCATCGCCTCGTTCGTCAACTTTCGGTTTTCTGATCGGAAAGTCGGAGAACAGGAACATAAACTAGAATGCTGGCTGTCGATTGGTGGCATCCTGCGCATGCCAAATTGCACCAATCAATGCCCAGTTTGCTTTAAAGGTAGCGATGCACACAGCGTCTCCATTTATGGAACAGATCGTTTCTATTTTTGGAAATGGCGTATCCATTTTTGGAACATTGTTCCAAAAATGGAAACGTTTCCATAAATGGATCGGAAATACCACAGTGTGCCCGACTGGTTTGTGTGTTTTATTATTGATGCATGTTACTTTTAGGAATGTCTTTTGGGACCCTAATGTCACAGTACTTCATGACCATGCATAACATCATTGGATTGTTCTTAAGATTAAGGGAGGATGGGGGATATATATAGTCAACTACAGAATGATGTTCCACTTTTCACAGGCAATTATTTGCCTGGAGTTGTAGGCTGTGCCGCATCACACGGTCTGAGATAACAAATTATAGCTTTGTCCCAATGCTCACAATCGACACGCTTCATTGCGTGATAAACGGCACAACTTAGCACTCCGGACAATTGATAGCTTCTGAGGAGTGGAACATCATTCTGTAGTCGACTATACTGGAGCTGTGGTGCTGTTGTGTTCAGATTTGAGATTACCTAGCTGCTCAGCGGTGGGGAATTGTGCTGTATTGGGGCTGCACAAGCTCTTGGAATTTCTCACTGGCTTGGCTTTCAACATGGCTCAGGTCAAGGCCACTGCTAGGGCATCCGTAGATTTGCTGCACCTGCGCAACCTTAATTTCAATTTGGCACAATTATCTTCTGCTGTGGTCCAGTAAAAAGTGTTACAGGCTTTTACAGAACTTTTTTATTTAAGAACTACTTTAAGAAATATTGTGAACAATTTCAGATAAATATTTATCTAACCTTTGCCGAATTCTAACAGTACAGGTCATCTGTCTAATCCCTGTGACTCCCAGTGTTTGATCCTTGTAGGCTTGTAGCTGTGAAAATAGCTGAAACATGTTAATGCTTCAGTTCAAACTGCTTGCATCTTTAATAAGACAAGAAGCCAGCATTATGTATGTTTGCTTGAACTCCAATATGTTTAGGCAATCATACTCTTACCCCATTTGTGTTGTTCTTGACTTGGTAGGCTAGCCGGAATGGCTAACTTTACAATCCCTGTTCTACAGAAATCAATAGTACTTCAAGATGGGGTACTACAATAGCTACCTGTACTCTGCTGGAGGACTCTACCTCTTTGTCCTCACTGTTATTGGTAAGCAAGCAGGAAACAACACATCCCTCAAATGATTGCATGCTTTGTGTACCTATCATATATTTACTTAGATTTTAATTTTCAACAGTATTAAACTCTGTGCTCATTATTTGCTTCTCTAGAATCCATATAAAGATACATATGTGTAAGGTACAAAATAATTATATGTACTATGCAAAAGCAAATAAAGTAAAATATGTACCTATATAAAATAAAAACATGTGATAAGTTGTGTATTTCAGTTCATGTGCTGCCTTATTTAAACTTAATAATGTTTGTTATTCACTCTTTGGTAGTACCTATGATACATGCAGTGCTAAGTGAGTCTGCCCATTTTCAGCACTCTACTACCTTCTTACTGGCCAGGGAGAACGCATTGACTTTGGATGGTGAGTGTTACCATAGTTGGATGCAATGTGCACACTGCACAGTGAGGTGTGCCTTATGATCAGAAATTGTTTGAACATTACCAAAGTTTGACATCTCAATCCTTGGTTAGAGGGGACAATGTCAATGCAGGTTGCATTAACTTGGTAGATTCATGCATAGCTTAAAGTATGTCTAAAGGTTTACTGTTCACTAATACACAGTATTGTATGCATGCCAGCTAGTGAGCTTTGCATGTAAAATAGATTCTAGCTCATCCATAATCAACAGTTGTCTTAGCTGGTGAATTATGTACATGATTGTATGTCTGTTTTTCTATGGATGACTGATGATTATAGTAGACTGTCCCCATGTACTAGGAATACCTGCATGTCATCTGGCCATGAGCTGCAGGATAGCTCAACTGGGTGTCTCCTATAGCTCATGATACCAGCCAGAGTGCCCCCTGGTGAGCTGTGTGACTGGTTCGTCTCTCTCGCCGCCGCAGGTTCCTCACCAACACCTCGCCGTACATGTGGGCGGCCACCGGCGTCGGCCTGGCCGTGGCACTCTCGGTGGTCGGCGCTGCCCTGTAAGTAGACCTGCCGGCCGATGCCACCCCAGGCCACGCCCGGCAAGGTAGACGGCCGTCGAGAGGACGTGCTAACCGCGCCGGACAGTCGCTGTCCAGAAATGATTCAAATGTAGGAACTGAAATTTACCGCTAATTCCTCTTGTCTGACTGCTTTCACGTCACAATGTGAATGATCACATAGTTTATGCTTTCAACTAAACCAATGTATTATGAAATAGCTTAATGTTATTGTGGCCTTATACATAGTTCGTAATGCTCCATGTGCGAAATAGGTACTGGAAAATCCCTCGGCTGCTCAGCGCTCAGATTCAGTATCTCGGTGACGATCTCACGATCCGCTGCGGCGTCCGTCCGCTGACTCTACCCCGTACCCGTGTCTCGGTAGCGGCATCTTCACCACGGGCGTCTCGGTCATGGGCGCCGGCGTGCGCGCGCCGCGCATCAAGACCAAAAACCTGGTGTCCATCATCTTCTGCGAGGCGGTCGCCATCTACGGCCTCATCGTGGCCATCGTGCTCTCCGGCATGATCGACGTGAGTTCGCGGCCGGCGTCCTCATGCGCTCGTATTGCACTGCTGGATATTGGCTGCCAAGGATCTCAGACTTGAACTGTAACTGAAAACAATATCATGCCAGTCCGCATCATTATGCCTGGTCATCCATCAGGTGGTTATCATCGACGTGCTGTTCAGTATTTACCAGATAGTGATAGCTCCTTGGGATCTCTTGTCGAGCAGTCTGCTTCACTAAGCATCTACACAAAGTCTCATGATATCGCAAGCTAACCGATACCGTAATTATATACTTGTCTGACTACCGGACTGGTGCTGGACTTGATGCAATCGTGCCTGACACCGAACCGTTTTTTTCCGCCTCTGTAGACGTACGACCTGGATAAGGTGGCGAAGAATCCGTTGATTCTGGACAACAACATCTACTCGGCCCACCTGATCTTCTGGTCGGGCGTCACTGTCGGCTTCGTGAATCTGGCGTGCGGCATCTGTGTCGGCACCGTCGGTACGTGCTTCGAAGGGACGAGTGGCACTAGGGACTGGCACGGACTCCACCCGTTCACTGCTGAATAACATGTTTGCTGTATCCGTAGTTGTGTGTCACACATTCATTGAAGTGCATGATCCGTCGATATCCAACGAGCTCGCGGTAGTCAGCAGCTAGGGTAGGGTGGGGTAATTTGAACATGTGGGGCAATTTGAACATAGTGTGAAAAACAGAAAATTACGGAAAATCCATAAGTGGCATGACAATAAGACCAATGAGGGAAATTATCGTAACTAAAAGGGCTATCATATGAATGGGGTTTAAAGTTTCAGGGAATGATGATGTTGACGCACACTGTAAAAAATCAATTTCGCAAGTAAAAACGCCTAAAACACGTCATTGCAACTTCATTGTAGCGCAAAATCTTGCATTGCTAGTGCCTAATACGCAACGGCTTTTGTTGTACAATGATCTAATCAGTGCCCTCAATCCAAGAAATTTGCTTTTGAAGCCTGTTTTTAAATATGGCAAAAAACTTTTAGCGTGGGGTAATTTGAACATAGTGTGAGAATTTCAGTGAAGACAGGGATAGCTCCGAAAAAACAACGCTCCCAGTTTTTTTTGCCAATATTTTCGACCCAAAGCAGTAGCAGATTAGTGATGCCAGTTTTATAAAAATTTACTTCTAATATCCGTCTAATTTCCGGCATTTTCGTTGATTTCCGTTCAAAAATGTTTAAGTCAGCCATTTGTCCAAATATGTCCGAAAATTACGCATTAATCAACACTCAAAACTGTTAATTAAATTGCTTATAATGTAATTTTACCAGCCGAAAAGTGTTCATTATATTGAGACACAGATAACAGTAGTACTGGATTGGAAACAGGATTCCGGTGGCTGCAGTAAGAGGCCGAAAACAGAACCGAATATTTCGTGCCTAGACTTCGATATCTCCTCTCACAGGCAACAAAAAAAAAAATATATATATATATATATATATTGGTTTATGTGAATGAAACTTATAAAGAAGCAATCTAGCCGTGCTCGTGTTTATTGTTGCATTTTTGCATAATGGCAACTTATTTTACTAAACGTTGCTGCACTTTCCTCACCGTAGTGAGGGAACGTATGCCACTGATTTGATTATAATGATTCCTCACTCTCATCCACAAAAAGCACTTTTACATGGGAGTTTGCTCTCTTTATTTACATGCTCATCGACACCAGTCCTGTCACAACGAGCCATCCAAACGTCACAATTCAAACCAACGTCACAAAACACCCCTTCAAGTGTCACTTCGCTTCGCCTGCCCTCCCAATTTCATCAGCGACCTTACTTCCCCGCCTTACATCTTCTTGACCCTGCTGAACTTTGGCCTCTTGTCGCTCCTCGATCGGGTTGCACCAGTGGCTGGGGTGTCTGCTTCCTGACTTTCGATGGACAGCACTGTCTTGAGTGTCTGCCTCACTTATCAGTTGCCATGTTTCCACACTTTCCAGCAAATAGATTGAAAACCGTCGCATACATCTCTGGAAGGAGGCTCCTAAGGACGTCGTGACTATGATTGCAAACGAGTTCCGGTCAGTTCGACAGCCCGTTTTACGACTATCTTCGTCACTTCTGCGTCACTTCTTGGTTGATCGCAGACCAGCAGCTGGTTCCTGTTAGCTTCCGTCTTCGGCAGTTGCCCCCAAATATGGCAGATCCTCACGGTGAGGTCGATGTCTTCCTCGTCTTTCTCCAGCCGTACCTCCAGCGGCGTAGCCCCATGATAGATCAGCACGCTGGCGGAGGCAACGTTACTTGTCACGCCTGGTGGCCGAGCGTGCCAAAGCGCCGGAGCTGTGTCCCAGGGAGGCCTTGGCGCTGTCATCCAGGTCCTCCATTTCAGTGGATTTCGCCACCGCGGCCACTAGCTCCTGGATGACAAGAGCACCATCCTGCTGTCACTCCTGCTGTGATGGTGCCATTCGGGCGGAGGCGTCGGCGGGGCTGAAACGTGACCAGTGACCACCATCTGAGGCCCTTAATTCGACTTTGGAGTACCGCCTCATTCTCCGGGAACTGTCGGACACTCGACCAGTTGTAGTTGCCACCTGATAGCTGATATTGTCATTCGTGAAGAACGCATCGGTCTGGCCCTTCATAACCTGCTTCTGGTGTGAGTGGCGTGCGGATGCCATGGCTGGTTTCGCTGGCCGCTCGTGCACAGGGGGCATCGCGTAATCCACGCTGGTTAATACTGACAGGACTGCGCCGCTCTTGAGCCGACGGCGCTGTCTTTGCATGCCGATGCGAAATGACCGATCATCTTCGAAATCTTCCTTTCTGAAATGCAGCTCACACACAGCGGAATAGTCCTGATCCCACTCAGCCCGGTCACGGTGACCCATGGCGCCAATCCACTGAGCCCGTAGAGATGTTTCGGTGAGAGAAGCGAATAGGTGGCATGTGAGACATCTCTTGTTCCTCTTGGTTCGTTGGGTTGTAGCCAGGAACGGCACTTTTTTACCGCTCATTCCCCTCCTCCATTGTTGATGTACCTATAGGTATACGTATGTAAGGCTTTGCACCACAATTTTTCAAAAGAAAACACCACGCACTGTGCCCTCTAAATGATCAAATTAAAAGTGAAATACTTTAATTTTTAAGCAAATGAAAGTAACATTGGTAGCTTCGATTTTAAATGTAAACGACAAAACACAAAAATGACGATTTCTTGCAATACACAACACACAAATTATCCATTCAGCTGCACGCGAGAATCCCATTTTGGCGCCGTCGCATAAAAACATTCGGCCTCTTACTGCAACTGCCAATATTCTGTTTCCAATCCAGTACTACTGTTATCTGTGATTGAGAGCTTAATAAGCTTTCCATTCGCCAATCAATGCTATGCACGATTACTTTATAAAAAGCGCTGAAGTGTAGCAAGCCATCGTCCAATGTTGTCCAGTCTGCTACCTTTGTCCAGCCAATTCCGAATTGGAGATTGGACAAAATCAGAACTCCAAATGTCCAGGTTTCGATTGGCACCACTATAACAGATGCAGTAAGGTTGGGAGTTTTTATCGAACAAAAAATGATAGACGCTCTGTTGATTGAAGAGAGGCGAATTCTGTCAACTGACCGTTGTGCAGCGTGCAGATATTGATACTCTGCAACTGTTATTTTTGTTGTTGTGTTGATTTTTCAAGTTAAGGTATGTTAAGAATTGTTCTGCCTATTTGTTTATGGGTCAAACAACATCGGTGCTGGCGAGACTATCGTTTTTATGACAGGTAAAGGCAGTATGTTCAAATTACCCCACGGTGGGGCAATTTGAACACACCGTGACTTGGTGGAGAAGTGAGGCTATGCTTTTCAAGGTATGCTCGGCTCGTCCAAAAATGAGGCTTGCATGGTGAGAGCAAGTGACACTTGCGCTACTGAAGCAGTTTTTCTTCATCCAGGGTTGAGCTGGAATTTGGTACAACGGAGAAGACGTAAAAATATGTTCAAATTACCCCACACTACCCTACGTCTCAAAGTAAAGTATCGTACATTAAAGTGATTGGTCACCTGTGTATTGACTGTTGGGCTATGTCGCTGCTACCAGTTTTTCGTCCTTATTAATTTCCCCAACCTGGGCTGCAGAGTCGATGGATTTTCGGTGACTCAGACTCCGGACAGAATTATCGGCTCCGACGACTCCGCAGCCCTGCTTCCAACAGCACGTTGGCCCGGCGTTTGTCTCCGTTTACTCTGTATAGTGTTTGAAGGTGAAGCGCAGTTTTCTGACGCGACTGCGGCGTGCCGACAGGGTCCGGAGCGGCGCTGGCTGACGCCGCCGAGGCCTCGCTGTTCGTGCGCATCCTGATCGTGGAGATTTTCGGCTCGGCCATCGGTCTGTTCGGCCTGATCGTCGGCATTCTCCAGGTGAGGAGACCATCCTCGGTTACTGCTGCCGCTGGCACAGCCGGCAGCGGGCGGAGAGGGTTCGGCTGGGTGTGTGTATCGGTACCTGGGTTAGGCAGACGGCTCTATTGTAATTAATTGCGCGCAAAAGCGAACGTGCTCGTGTAACAAAAATCTTGGTGGGCACTGGGTCCAAGACGATAGGTAGGTACTCATTTTTGCGTGTTCAGTTTTTTTATGTCTACCGTTAGCAGGCGTTTGCTGTTCGCCGTGTAGGGTATACAGCCTGCTAATCACGCACGTTTCCCGACCTTGTCTGACTGTGACCTCGTCTGTTGCAGGTGTCTCAAGTGAAGATGGGTAACGCAGCCGCCTAGGCAGCTGGCTGTTCCACTGCTGGTCCGTGCAATGGTGCCGCGTCTCGCGCTGACGGGCGCGGTTCGGACACGCCGCCCGCGGCGCACCTCCGACTGACGCGGCCGGCCCGTCGAACAACCCGCGCGGATTGTGGCAGATCAAGATTGTGGCCGCCGCCACACGTGCCAGTGATCTGTCAGAGCGAGAAAAATGGAATGGTGGACCGTATGTGTGTGTACAGGGTGTGTGCCTAATCAGCGTTATATGTGTATATAGGTATAATATATATCATCAGTTGAGGAAGGCGGCTGGCGCCCGGCCGCCGTGTGAACATTCCGCATTCGCTCCCCCCCCCCCCCCCCCGTAGTCGGTCGGCTGGTAAAGAGCGCTACCTAATCCGCGTCCGTGTCTGTATGTATCGTGCAAATAAATCAGCCATCGGTGTCACACACGCTGTGTCATGTATCGGAACACGGGGTGGCTGAAGACAGGCTCTGAGACACACACAAACGGAGCACTGCTGACGGTTCTACCCCGCCAGCTGGGTGCGGAGCCGCACGGCGCACACTTCGCGGACATCAGGACGCGCTGTCCGGCCGAGGAACGCATTCTGAGGTATAAGTGGTGGCCGAGATTCCGAGACGAACAAACTGGCCCTGAATCACTGGTCCACTAAAACCGGACATCAAGGGTCGAATAGCTGCGCTTATCAACGGCGGACTATGACTAGGCTGGGGATTAGATTGGTCGGCAAAACATGCTCATTAGTAGGTCAGTTACTGGCAAGTTGAGATCTGGATTGACATGCCTACGCATTGTCAGAGCACCGTTCGACACGAACGACTAGGCACTGATATCGCAAATCATTGCGACTACTTGTGATAGCGCGGGGCACGGTCACATTCTTCTAGCCATTAACATGCCCAAGATATGAACGGCGTTACGAGCCACCAAACACAATTACCGAATACACTGAGACCATGGCTCAGGGCCTCCTCTAAGGATTTTTCACTGGGTGGGCAAATTTTTTCGCCGCTCCCCTGCCCAAGGGCAGATCCAGTCACTTGTTTTGGGGTGCAACCATTTTCACCTGCGACTGGGGGGGGGGGGGGGGGCGGGTTAAGGCCTATATCACTTTCACAGTCAACCAACTGTGCCATTTATAGTTTAACGTTTGTCGTGTGTGATATGGTATTTCGTGTGTATTTCACCTTATAGGTATGCCTATTGTTTACATTAGTGATATCAATAACGGAAAATCAGGATACCGATACCAAACCAAATGCCAACCAAAACCAGGAAAAATACCGAAACCAAACCAACTTGGGAACATGAGGGAAATACCAACTTTTTACCGAATTCGTATCCTCTTATACATTAGCCGGATTCGTAATACCAACAAAATACCAACAACATTAGGATCAAAATACCAAATACCAAGTTGGTATCAGTTTGGTATCGGTATACCAAAGAGTTGGTATCTGATTGACATCTCTAGTCTACATACATTTAAAATTTTAAGAAGACTGCAAAAGTGCAGAGTTAAACTTACTATGATTGCTCCTTGAACCAGAAATCGAATAGGTAGGTGATGCTCGCTGCCTCTTTTTAGGAGGCATGGTCAGCTTACTCTTGGCGCGTCCTCTTGATCTAAAAACGGCTTTTATTGACCTTAATCTACTTGTAATACATCCTTGGCCTTGTAGCGCGCTACCCTGCTGGCCCATGCCGGTCTTTGAGGGTCCCACACTGACCTCTGAGGCCCCATGCTGGCCTGTAAAGGCCCATATTAGCCTCTGAGGGCCCCGCACTGGATTCTGAAGACCCGATGCCGGCCTTTAACCATCCCCTGTATTGGTGTTTTTCCAGCCGCGAACGTAGGTACTCGTATAGGGGGGGGGGGGGGGCGTTGGACCTCCCTTGCCGTTTCGCCCCTGATCGAGCTAGAGCTTCACGGAAAAAAAAACAAGCGTGCTGTCCGTGACGAGAGGAAGCCGATGATACCCAATTATAACCCTCGCCGGCACAGGCCATTGCGTCCTTCGACGGCACGACCCCCCCCCCCCTCGCGTTTGGCCCCTGATCAAGCTAGAGCTTCACGGAAAAAACGAGCGTGTTGCCCGTTACGAGAGGAAGCCGATGATACACAATTTTAAGGTCCTAGGTCATCGGGTGACCTTCCAGGTCAGGTCAATGACCCGAAAACCGGGAAAATCGGGACCTGTTAGAAAGTCGTAAAGTGTGGCTTCTATGTGGTTTTCCGGGGTGCTGATCACGAATATCGTGTTAGTTTTGATCAGAGATGATGTTTTTAAGCATTTAGACCAGGTCGGGTCAGGTCAGGTCAGGTCAACCGGTAGGGGTTGTGACGGGTATTCGTATTACGTGTCAACCGCCTCTGACAGCTTCGTAACATGTTACGAAGGCACCAAAACTACTTCGTAAATGTTCAAATGGTTGCTAAATTCGAATTCAGCTAAAAAACTAGCCTAGAACATGAAAAAACTCGAAAGAGTGAACCGAGGTCACCCGAGGTCACCAAAGGTCAATGACGTGACCTGACCTTCAGGTGACCTTGACACCCACCCTTATGTATGGGAGCAACATCAAATCACATGTTTGAACGTTTGAAATCACGAAAAGCTTGCAAACGCGCGGCTAATGCGAGCCGACATACGCCGAATCGCGATTTCGGCCAAACATGGTCACGGAAAAGAGGTCACAGGTCGCGAGTTATTCGGAAAAAAAATCGAGGGGGGTCCGTTCGACTCCCCCCTATACGGGCGAGGGTTACCCCCCGAGTTGCTGGGGGGGGGGCGTTAAACGCCCCCACTTTTTTCGCTGGGCCATAGCAAAAAAAAAAAAAAAAAACGGCGCGCCGCAGGCACGCCAAATTTTGAGTGCCTCTAGGGAATTGTTTGACGTTTATTGTGACAAAATTTCAAGAAAATCGGCCGGAAAATTTTTGAGATCGAGGTTTCAGTGACGTCATGATTTCTTGGTTTTCGACCAAACACGTTATATGTTCAAAAAATCATATAAAATCACCAGGGGCGCCGCCACGGATTTTTGACTGGGGGGGACGGACTGACCGACTGAAAACCCCAAAAAATAGACATTCTTACCGTGGCTTTTTCGGTCCGATGTATTGAACGTTTAAAGCGAATATGCCACTTTTAACATAGGGTTTTAAACTGAAGTAACAGTTTTGTAGCTTGAGCTGAGACAAGAATTAACAAATCAAGAGCTTTTATGGCCCAACGATCACCCTAGCCAAAGATATCGGTATCGATTTTAGGTTTGAAGACTGAAGTCATCCCCATAGACTACACTTTGTCATTCCATTACCGAGGAATCCATTCCCTTACGGAAAAAACGCTAGCCAATCAGCATTCAGCTGGTTTGAACTACGTAATACGAGTATGCTTGGTCAACGCGTAATCAGCTTCCGCTGCAGTATAATTAGCCTCTACGAAAGATGGAAAACAGTTCTTTTGTAAAAATAAAATAAAATCCTCTTTGCAAATATTCATTATGTTATTTTCTGACCATTTTAAGCATAAAAACTCATAACTGTGGCAACAACTTACAAAGTAGGTAAGGTATGGCTATAGACCGATTTCCCACCAAGTACCTACCTATGTATATACACATCCAATGTCCGATTCAATTTGACACGGCAAAACCTCCAGTGCTCTATCAGGCTATAATTGCTGATGTATGCCACTAATCTGATCGGTAATGCATATTGCATAGGAAATGCATATTGCATACTCGCGTGGGGGAGGGGGCGTTGTATAGTAACAATCTCTCTTTTGGGGTTTTGCATGAATCGGCGCGAAGCGCCGCGAAAATTGGCAAAAAAAAACATCAGGCAAAACTGCTCCAAAATACGGATTTTGCAGCCCGTGTAACAAGCTTGATACCAGAAAACCTTAGGTCAGGTCACCAAGTGAAGTAGTGAAGTCGCCTCAAAGTTTTGTTGTCCTCTCAACCGTATTAGCTTATTTCTTAGAAGCTGGAAATTTAGTGTCGTGTGACTGCAGAACTGTGGGGTCGGAGCCGGAATCAGTCGGAGTTAATAGTTTTGGCTAGAGTCGGAGTTGAAGTCTTCGAAATTGTTCGGATTTTGACTCCGATGTCGGATTGGTTTAAAGTCATGCTCTCTTGGCTGGTTTGACGAAATATATTAGGCCCATTTTCGGCCAGTCGTGTTATACGACACACGTTGATCACAATATCAAATATCGGCAGTTCCGCGATGACAGGTCGGACAGGAGCTGGAGATTTTGTTGGCCGAGGTGTCAGGGGTCAGACCAATGCATGTAGGCCCACACCCCATATACTGATTATGTAAACCTCCTGGACCCTCTCTGCAGATTCGGCTACGTTCTATCTCTTCCATCCTCAGGACAGTCAAATCCTTCTCCTCCATGCCGCACCCCCCCCCCCCCCCTGCTCCGAGCTGGACGGGCAACTATCCCATGCAGGAATGGCTCCACTGGAGCTATAGTCCTTTGCCGGGTGTAGTGAGTGCCAGTGGGCTGGGCTGCCTGTTCAATTGGTCGGGTTCATCCCAAGTGGCTCACTGGGGTGGCTGCCCAGACCAATATCTCCCACTAATTCTTTCATCCTTCCGGCTCTGAAATGGTCTCATTGGACAGAAGGGCCTAAGCAAATTTCGAGTATGGATAACAACCAGTAAAACGCCTTTTGGGGCGACCAACGGAGCGAGCGAGAGGGTGGGCCTTGCACGTGCGAAATTGCAAGGGAATCCCTCTAGCTAACTTGTGCACTGCACCCTACTAACCGGTCCCTAACCTAACGATGTGCCAAAATTGAGCGCAATCGGCCTAGCCGTTCTCGAGCTCTGGTCTGTAAGCGGCACCCTGCACGTGCGCACGTGCAAAATGGATCCCAACTCCCAACTGACTTTTGCACGGTACCCTACTAACCGGTCCCTAACCATGTATCAAATTTCAGCACAATCGGTTCAGCCGTTCTTGAGATCTGGAATTGACCCCTGCACGTGCGCACGTGCAGCAGCACCCCAACTTTAGCACATGAATATGCATTGCCTAGTGGGTACCTACCTATACATGCCAACTTTCAGCGCAATCGGCCCAGTAGTTACCGAGATATTGCAATTGTTACAAAACTGACACCTCTTCATTTTTCACGTGGCACGTGGAAAAGGGGTCACCCACATGCATCAGGAATAGTCCAACACTTGTTAGAAGGAATACAGCTACTCTACCGAAAATTATGGCATGTATAATTCGGTCAAGTGGCTGCTGAGATATAAGCCTCGCAAAAGCGTGCCGGCCGCTCATACTCAGAAATTTCCGTTATCTATACGAAAGACTAAGCTCGCTTCGCTCGCTCCGTAATGAGTTTGGGGGGGACGTCCCCCTTCCATTCTGAGAGTGGGGGGGACGCGTCCCCCCCGTCCCCCCCGGTGGCGGCGCCCATGAAAATCACAGAATAGACATACAGACATGCCGTAAACGCCATTAGACTGCCAATACCATGAACAATCAAATGGCTATCTTCGATTATTGATTATCGTTCCGCATTTTCCAAAATCTTGAACTGAATCTTGGCAATTTCTCATGACTACTTCACGACCATGATACATGCATTTCTTAATTTGAACTTTTTGACCCAAACACGTACACATATGATAAAATGAATGTCACCATCGTGTTCTACGCCCCAAATTACCCATAAAACATGTGTCACAGGCTGCGAATATCAGTTTTGATTTTCGGGGATATGTGTCTACCCGGTTTACCTGACCTTGACCCTGACCTATGCTTGACTGACCCCTACATGGAGCTTACACTCTTGTAGGCCTTATATGATGGATTGTGCACCGTTTTGACAGAGTTTATGACGGGAGGCGCCCATTGTGAAGTCCTGAAGTCCATGCTACTGAAAGTCCGATTTCAGGTGTTTGACGTGACCTTGACCCGACCTGTGACCTCAAAATTCAACTTTAAAGTACTCATCTGAAGCGTCTCGTCGCGTTCTTTCGTTTGCCGCCTCGTGCATTTCGCTGCGCCTATTGGTTCTCGAGTTATCGGCTGAGGGCGTTTAACGCCCCCCCCCCCCCAGCAAACGGTGGGTGGCGAAATACCCCAGCAACTGCCGGGTTAAGGACCTGCATCGGCTCTGAGGGCTCAACTTGGCCTTTTCTGGACTCTGGGGTCCAACACCAGCCCAAGCCTGTCTTTTAGGGTGCCACACTGACCCCTGAGGGTCCCATCCTTGCCTCAAGGACCCGCATTAGCCTTTGAGAGCCTAAGTCGGCCTCTGATGGCCTCAAACTGCCATTTTCAGGCCCTGTACTGGTCTCTGAGGGCCTTAAACTGGCCTCTGAGGGCACAAACCGACCTCTAAAGGTCCCACACCGGTTTCTGATGGCCCATTTTCTGCCTCTGAGATCCAAGACTGAGCCTTTTGTGCCTCTGAGGGCCCCGTACTGGCTTCTGAAGGATCGATGCCGGTCTCTGAGGACCAATGTCAGTCTTATAAGGGCCTCACACTGATATCTGAGGCCCACATTTGCCTCTGATGGCTCCAAATTGAGGCCCTATTTAGTTCCCAATCAGCCTATAAGGTCTCTGATGGCCCTATTTTGTTGTCTGGCTGGGGACCCATGGCTTACACCTTTAGGCGTCACGCACTGGCCTCTGAGAGCCCACATCGGCCTCTGGGGTTCCATACGGGCCTTTGAGGCCGCTATGGCCATGGGCCCCTGTAAGCTAGCACCGCCCCCCCCCCCCCTCCGGGGGTTGGCAAAGTTGCCAAGTTGCCCCCACCCCCAAACGCCAAGTCTGCTACCGCCCCTGCATTCAGATGCATCCATTGTAGAAAATAACTTGCACTGCAGTGATTGGGGGCTGGGGCACTGGCTGCTAGCAAGTTTTTTTTTCCGGGAAACCGAAGTGGTAGTTCCTACCGGACGTCTGACCGGACCTTTATTTTTGCATTTGCTTCTGGGTGGGCAAATCGACGCCACTGGGTGGGCAATTGTGGTGACTGGGTGGGCATTTGCCCACCCAGTGGGTATGTTAGAGGAGGCCCTGCCATGGCTGCCGTACAAAGGAAGAAAGCCGTAAGCGCCACTTTTACCGAAAATGAGTTATTGGTATCATTGGAATCGTCATGTTATTCTGCATCAGCGATGCCATTCCTTGGGATTTGTCCCAAGATCTTGGGATTTGAACATTAACATTGGGATCTTGTGATTTGCGCTGCATATCTTGGGATCTGGCAGAAGCTGATTTCACTTTGTCTTCTCATGCTGTCGAATGCTTTTTTCCTTGGTCGATAATAAATTTACGATGAATTTGCCTCACGGACGGTTAATAGCATTCAAACATATTGAAGTAACGGACGAAGCTTGCGATATTTCTTGCAGGCATTATCTTCCCGAGGTCGCATGATTATTTTTGTACCATTACTTGTTATGGGTATAGTAGCAGCTTTCAGTCACTATTCGCAACTGGCGCTCATTCGTTTAATTTCCAACTACCGATCAACGGGGATGGGTGGTTTGGCGGCATGATGTTGGGTGGCTATGAAAAGCTTTTACAAACATTATGCCTAAAAAAATATTTCAGAAAGCGGCTCCCGCACAAAGCGTTTCATTTTACGGTTTTGCTCTATGGAGGCTTATCCGTTGAACGCGAACCAAAATAAGGGCAATTTGTCTTTGACCTCGGAAAAGTGTCTGGTCACCTGACCTCTTGGCTCTGCTGGACCAAAAATAATCAAAGCGTAACCTTGCGACCTTCACAACACTGCTGACGTCTTGTAACTATATAGCCCAGGGGTCGAGTTAGGTCCTCGTTTAGACCCCCTCGCCATCGTCGGCTTGAAAATTCATGGGCCCCAGCGGGCACTGGCTTACGCGCAGATTCACAGCATAGGCTTTTCGATTTCGGGATTCACATAAGCTTTTAAGAGCTTGTTTTGGAGCCCATATTTCAAAACTCAGTGGTGGAAAACACTAAAAATCAGCCTGACCTCACCTGACCCTAGCTTCTCCAAATGTGTCACGAGACAAATTTCGAAATAAATCCAAAATGCCACAGACTTCGTTTCCAAGAAGTTCTAACAGATTCGAACTTTGTGTTTTGGGTCCTTGACCCACCATTGACGGTCGACGAATGACCTGACCATAGTAGCAGATACCACCGGCTTCATGTTGCCTAGGCCAGCATCTTCATTTTTCGTGAAACTCTTATACTCGGTCAGGAACCGATCAGCTGTAGGAGGCCCCTCCCCCCGGCCTCTAGGACAAGGGTGGGCCAATAAGGACAAGGGTGGTCCAAAATAAGCTATGGGTTTACTTGGGGTACTCCTAAGGATATGCGATGGGTAGTCTTGGGATTCGAGACGAGAATCTTGGGAAATCCTGGTCGAGATCTTGGGATGGAGCAAAAATGTGGATGGCATCACTGTTCTGCATCTAACCATATACATTACACAGATATTAAATGATTTTATACCAAGTTATACAAGAATAAAATATTTCAAAATAACCTTATGTCACATAAAGCATTTTATAATACTGGCAAATAAACGTATCTTTGACAAAAAAACGTATGATCAACGAAAAATCGGCTAAAACTCGGAGTAACCATGGATAAAAGACGCAAGTGCTCAGTTACGTTTATTTGCCACCATACATTGTCAACATGGTACAACGGAAAATAAACTTACAGATGGATATACGTTTATTTGCCTTGGTAGAAACCGAAAAAATGCACTTACGTTTATCTTCCATTCTGGAAAGGATTGTCCGACAATTTCGGCCAGCCGTATGTGGGCGTATACGTTTATTTTCCTGGTCACCCTGCCGAATTTCTAATGGCAAAAAGACGTACGATGGACTTACGGTTTTTATCCATTGTCAGTATACCCGTCCCCAAGCAAAATGGCAAGCTCGATGGACATACGTTTATTTGCCATAGCACCTGGAGGTTCCTTGCGAGAAGAGATGCACGTGCACCATAATGCTTTAGCAATGGGAGTGCGCGAGATAAACAACAACAACAACTGGCGGGGCATTTAAAGGTCAGTCAGTGAGTTGAGTCCACTGAGGCAGGTGCACATTTAAAGGGCACTAGTGAGACCTCCGGTCGTGAGTGTAACGTGTGCCAATGGGGTGCGAGCAGCTAATTTAGAGTGACCCTGCTGGTGTTAAAATGGACACAAGAACCAGAAACAAAAGGAAGTATGTTAGGATTTTGTGGGATGATACGAGTCGCGGAAGTTCGCATTATGTTCCTTTATCTTCCATACCTGGATATGCCCAACTAAAAGCCAAAAGTAGGGTTCGCATCAAGTACGGAAAAACTGTCTGGACCGGGACTGTGTGCCAGTCAAGAAAAAGCTTGGCAGCTGAGAGTCTTCTGGGAGGTAAGTCAATCTTTATATATTTTTATTGTCCAAAATAATTCGGGATCCGGTCTCCATCGGTTGCACACGATGTGGTATGCTGAATGGATGTGCCTGATGCAACGCAGTAGCGCAGCCAGGGGTGACATGGGTGACATGTTACCCTAGGGGGGTCCGAAATGTATTAAAGTTGTCTGAAACCACGGGAACCGGGTTTTTCCCATAGGTCCTTTCAATACCTTTCCAAAATGGTGCGGCAATCGAAATTTTAAAGAACTTTCACCTTGCCTCAAATCGATTGAAAGTTTATCAAATTTAGCCAAATTTAGTACTTCATGAACTTTCGCTTTTAACATACGTCCCACAGTTTAATGCGCAATTGATTGGGCCGGTGATCTTGTTTTCAAGGAAAAATAGCTGCACAAATCACAAAATATATTATCATGCATGCCAAGAGCCAAATGATGAAATCACATCATGACTAAATACCATGTGGATTACAATAAATCACTTAAAATATCGCGTATCAAGATCCCCAGAATAGGAATCGTTTTGGTCTTTATTTGTCCAAATGCGCCATATGCATCGAGAACTTCCACCTCGCCTGAACTGAGTTGAAAATATCTAGGTAAGCCTTTGATTTGAGTCGCGGTCTGTTGCGAGTGCAGACGGCCCCCCCCCCCCCCATTGCGGGTAATTATGTCATGTCATGACCCCTCAAGGTTGGCGAGTGGCACTTCTCACATTTCTTAATCCTCACAACAGCAGCTGCTGTGCACTTATGCCTGGAGGGAGGGGGGATGAGACATGGCCCTCATGCATTGCCCGCAAAACACTGTGTCAACCATTGTGTCAATTTCACAGCACTGTGTCATCTCGCCTTCAGGTGATGGCGCCATATCTACCGCAAGACAAACAAGAGATGGGGCATCCAAGCCTCTAGTTGGCCAGCCGAGTGAGGCCGTTGCTGACCAGTGGGCCGTTACCTTCCTGGATGATGATGATACCAGCGGGCTGCTGGCCTTCACCGGAAGGCCGCGACTGCCGACCAGGGGGCAGGTCCTCAGCCTCTACCTCCACATCAGGCAGGTCAAGGGAAAATGGTTTCCAGTCAGCGAGATCGCTGACATCGTCCTGACCGAAGTATGCAAATACTGGACAATGGGGAACATCCCGATCGGGGCCAAGAACAAAACGAAGGAGAAGACGTTGGCCCTGATCGACGAGTACCGTAACCTGGGCACTGGTACCGTAACCTGGGCACTGGTACCGTAACCTGGGCACTGCCCAGGTTACGGTACTCGTCGATCAGGGCCAACGTCTTCTCCTTCGTTTTGTTCTTGGCCCCGATCGGGATGTTCCCCATTGTCCAGTATTTGCATACTTCGGTCAGGACGATGTCAGCGATCTCGCTGACTGGAAACCATTGTCCCTTGACCTGCCTGATGTGGAGGTAGAGGCTGAGGACCTGCCCCCTGGTCGGCAGTCGCGGCCTTCCGGTGAAGGCCAGCAGCCCGCTGGTATCATCATCATCCAGGAAGGTAACGGCCCACTGGTCAGCAACGGCCTCACTCGGCTGGCCAACTAGAGGCTTGGATGCCCCATCTCTTGTTTGTCTTGCGGTAGATATGGCGCCATCACCTGAAGGCGAGATGACACAGTGCTGTGAAATTGACACAATGGTTGACACAGTGTTTTGCGGGCAATGCATGAGGGCCATGTCTCATCCCCCCTCCCTCCAGGCATAAGTGCACAGCAGCTGCTGTTGTGAGGATTAAGAAATGTGAGAAGCGCCACTCGCCAACCTTGAGGGGTCATGACATGACATAATTACCCGCAATGGGGGGGGGGGGGGGCGTCTGCACTCGCAATAGACCGCGGCTCAAATCGAAGGCTTACCTATAGATATTTTCAACTCAGTTCAGGCGAGGTGGAAGTTCTCGATGCATATGGCGCATTTGGACAAATAAAGACCAAAACGATTCCTATTCTGGGGATCTTGATACGCGATATTTTAAGTGATTTATTGTAGGTAATCCACATGGTATTTAGTCATGATGTGTTTTCATCATTTGGCTCTTGGCATGCATGATAATATATTTTGTGATTTGTGCAGCTATTTTTCCTTGAAAACAAGATCACCGGCCCAATCAATTGCGCATTAAACTGTGGGACGTATGTTAAAAGCGAAAGTTCATGAAGTACTAAACTGGCTAAATTTGATAAACTTTCAATCGATTTGAGGCAAGGTGAAAGTTCTTTAAAATTTCGATTGCCGCACCATTTTGGAAAGGTATTGAAAGGACCTATGGGAAAAACCCGGTTCCCGTGGTTTCGGACAAATTTAATACATTTCGGACCCCCCTAATGTTACCCCCCTCTCCCCCCTTTGATCACGGGGCCGATTTCGAGCTGGTCTGTTTAGTGCTGTAAGCACTTAACAAACCAATAAGCAATATCTAATAAGCAATAACTAATAAGCAATATCGAAAAAAAAATTATTTGTTGGATTCGGAAAGCCTGAGATGGCCCGTTTCAAGCCCGAAGTGGTCTGTTTCTAGCTAGAGAGAGAGCTCGTTTCAAGCCAGAGAGGGCCCGTTTCAGGCTCAAATAAAGTGGGCAACTAGTGATGAGTTTCCATTTTTGGGAGAGGGTTCACTCCGCCAGGGGGCGCCTTATTGACATGTCATCCCCGTCACCAAAGCTCTGGCTACGTCACTGATGAGCCGGTGCGAAATAAACTACATCTGTCTTTCCGGTGGTTAAATATAGTTGTATCCTTTCTACCTACCAGTATAACGCCTTTTGGGGCGACTAACGGAGCGAGCGAGAGGGTGGGCCTTGCACGTGGGGCATTCCACGATAGATCGACCAAAAAAAAATTAAATTGACACCCTCATATTTTATTTTTCGCTCAAAATTGGTGTACAGGGTAGAAATGGGCGGGAAAGCCAGCTGTGGCAAGGATAATTTTTTTTTTGACCTACAGTTTTCGAGATATAGCCTCGGGCAATTCCTGGAGGTCACGCAGCAACCCTATGTTTGGCGGCTCATAACTCAGAAACTATTGATTTTTGTATAAGGATAACTTTATGTCTTCCAACTCAAAATTAACCAAGGAAACTTTTGGCTATCGCGGATTTTCGATTTTCGAAAATTTTGGTCACGTGACCTCTTGACCTATTTTTTGAAGAGTGACCTTGACACTTTCCCACCTGAAAGTTAAAATTTGGTCTGATGACGATTCAAGCCTTATCAATGGTCGTTCATATGCGACAATAAAAAACATGGCTATCGGCCTGCATTGACCTCAGGTCAGGTCATCTTTGTGACCTGCCCATTATAAGTCAATGGCAAAAGTACCGGCTAGGCCACTAAAACGCATCGGACTGGTACAGTTACTTCATAATCATACCATATTAGGTTATTATTGATCACTCTGGTGCAATTTTGCATCAGTGACCCGCGGAAAGGTCATCCGAGGTCACATTATGACTCACGACATTCATATGCCTTTTATGTCTATATCTTTTGATAGAATAGGTATAGGGATTTGGGAAACACATCAATTAGTTCACTTTGGCCAGGCGCATCATGCCATACGCTGCCTTATATGTTAAGGTCATTTCGTGACCTTGACCTAGGGTCAAATTTTGGTCAAATTTCATATTTGACCTTTCGAAATAAAAACTTATACAATTCGATCCGACTGGAAAAAGCAAACACGATGGCGCTATTTTATACATCTGACTTCATAAACATAATAAGATATTGGCGAAAAACGTTTTTATTCCGTGAAAAATGTTTATTTTCAGCCAGATTAAATAACAATATTTTGGCGTGGTAAAGGCATTCGAGGTGCATAGACACGTTGGCGTAAGTACTTGTAGTTGTACCTAAGCAATTCACGCTCATATGACTCGGTGTTGCGGTCATTTCTACAGGTACCAATCTAAAAAAAAAAAAATAGCATAGGTAGATATGTGATGATCAGCAGTTTCGTACATTTGGCATGAATAATAATCACTCACATAAATCACTCACAAGCTCGCTTCGCCAGGGCCAAAACTGTGAAGGGGACGAGACAGTACCACAGATTCTGTCCAGTTGACCTGACCACAGTCCGCGTCCACGAGCTTTCAGAAGATCGGGAGGCACTGGCGGATCCAGGCTTGCGTTTTGGGGGGGGGGGGGGCCAACTCATGCGGAGCCAAACCTAGGGTACCCCCAAATCCTGTTTTCTCATCGGATTTAGGCCACTTATTTTTCGTCACAGCTCTGACACTATTAATTTTTTTTTTAACTAAAAAGAAAATATATAAATGGTAGTCCACCCGACCCATGCCTTTATATTACTTTGTAACACTTACCATTGCTTTTGTCGACCAGTTAACCCGCTTCGAGTCAGTTCTTGGGTCCCTTTGCGGGCCGGGAGGTGGTAAAACACCCTCAGTCTAACTCGGCTCCTGGGCCACGCACTGATTGAACTATGTTTCATTATCGTTTGGGGGAGGGGCAAACGGGCCACTTTAGGCCTCTGGGAAAGGGGCATGGCCCTAAATGCCCCCTCCCTGGATCCGCCAGTGTAAGACACCATTGGAGCTGCAGTTGGGTACCTCAGACGTCAGGGTACGCCCTCAGATGTATAGGACTTGCGTGGAGACCTCTTATTTATTTATTTATTTATTTCACATTACAGACATGTCCGTGGAAACACGGCTATTCTATGTCCAAGTCGTTGTGCATATACAAATCGAATGGGATATGACAACAGTCACCGCAATCATTCACACATTCACCCTCATCACGTGTGCTAACTAGGACAGCTAAGTGGCTCGCTCGCGGTCAAACAAATGCTCCCTCAGTGCCGGCTTGAATCAAGCCTGACTAAGAGCGCGCAGGTCCGCCGGCAGCTCGTTGTACCCTGACACCGCAGAGTACAGAAAACGGCGACGTCCGGACTCTGACCTGACAGTGGGGGTCACAAGCATGTCATTGTACCTGGTATCCCGCCCGTGTACACTCTGCCGGGTGACTAGACAGGTGGCGAACTGCTGCGGCTCTGACGTGGCCAGCATTTTGTTCACCAGCACGATGGATTGGTACCTGAACAAGCTCTCGGTGTTAAGCCAGCCGAGTTCGTTGATAACATCGCTCACCCGATCATACTTCCTACGGCCTGAGACGACTCGTGCAGCAAACCTAACCAGCTTTTGAAGTCGTTTGCGCTGGGTTACATTGCTGGCACCGTAAACGGACAGACAGTACCTAATAATCGACAAGACGAGCCCCTGCACCAACGTTACCATGACTGTCGCTGGGAGACTGTGTCTACTGTGACTCAGGCCACACAAGGTACCGGTGCACCGCCGCACCACGTCACTGGTATGCGTCACAAACGACATGTCACTGTCAAACCATACTCCCAGGTTCTTGACAGTGTCAGAGCTGGTGATGGTGGAGCCGCAGAAGTTGATGGTAATGGGAGGCAGACGACGAGTCATCTCCGGCGTGCCGAGGACGATCAGCTGAGTTTTGGCAGCGTTTAACTTGAGGCCGTTCTTGCCATACCAGTTCGACAGAACTGATAGACTGCCTTCCAGTGACCGTTTCAGCTGAACGATGTCTCTCGGCTGTCCGGAAACGTACAGTTGGACGTCGTCCGCGTAGGCGATGATGCCGGTGGAGTTGTCGGTGTAGAGCGGCAGGTCATTAGCATACACATTGTGCAACAATGGCCCGAGCGATGAACCCTGGTAGGTACCGATAGGGTTTAGTAGCGGCTGTGAGAGCGTGTGAGCACGAGACGGTCCGGTAGAGTGAAGCTGCACACGCTGATAATGATTGGCAAGGTAACTCCGGAACCAGCGGGTATCTACACCGTAGAGCTCGAGCTTACGCAGAAGCGAGCTGTGTGGGATGCAGTCGAAGCAGCGCGAGCAGTCCAACAGACAGAGAACGGTGACTTCACGCTGGTCCATGCTCCGGAAAACATGATCGGTCAGGGTGAGTAGAGCAGTGTCCGTGGAGTGGTTGGTTCTGAAGCCGTGCTGGTTTGGAGAAAACAGGTGATGAGAAGAGAAATAGGAATAAAGCTGTTCAGAGACGACGCGCTCGGTGATTTTACCAATAGTGGTGAGAATGGAGATAGGCCGGTAGCTGCTAAAAGCCGTCGGATTTTGATGCCTTGGGAATAGGATGGACCAGCGTAAGTTTCCACGAGTCAGGTACAGTATGTGAAGCTAGGCTAGTGTTCACAATGTGAGTCAAGACATGGTACAGTGAGAAAAGGCACATTTTAATAAAACGAATGCACAAGCCATCGGCGCCGCAGGCAGACGAACCGTTCATCCGCCCGACAATGGAGAACAGGTACTCAGGCGTGATGGGTGCAACCGTAAATGAGCCAGTCGACACTCGGGGCAGGCGAACCGGCAGCTCGGGTCCGGAGCCGTCTACCGTGCGTGCCGTGTTCACACCGATATTGACAAAATACCGATTCAGTGCGTCGGCGTCCACCTGCTCGGCTGTGATGGGTGGCTTCCCAGCGCTCTTAGAAGCTATGACAGGCTGCACTCCCCTCCACAGGGAGGCCCGTCCGCGCTCTTGAATGTGCCGCTGCACAGCGTCCCTGGTGTCCCGCCGTATGGCAGCCTGCACGCGCCGGTTCAGCTGCCGGTAGTGGTCTTATGCTGTAGTGGACTGAAAGGACCCAAAGGAGCCCGTCTAGGGCTCCCGGAGAATGGAGATAGACGTGGGCCCTCAGGAGCCCGCCAGAGCCCCCAATGAGGGATAAGTGAGGGATACCAAGTGCCTGCAATTGCATATTGCATAAGCCGTAACGCCTTTACAAATCAATATATTATGTATCAGTGGCAGATACAAGGGGGGCCACATGGGTCATGACCCCCCTTGGTGCCCGGGGGCACCACCGGCCAAGCAGGGGCACCACCGGCCTAGCAGGAGCACCACCAGCCCGCCAGGGGCACCACAGGCCTAGCAAGGGCACCACGGGCCTGTGACGGGTCCCACAGGCTTGTCAGGGACACCCCAGGTCTGTCAGGGACACCAGAGACCTGCCAGGGGCACCACCGGCCTCGCAGGGGCACCATGGGCCTGTTAGGGGCACCAGAGGCCTAGCAGGGGTACCACAGGCCTTACAGGGGCACCACCGGCCTTGCAGGGGCACCACAGTCCTGTCAGGGCCCAGGGGCACCAGGGGCCTAGCAGGGGCACCACAGGCCTGCCAGGGGCACCACCGGTCTAGCCTTTACAAATCAATATATTATGTATCAGTGGCAGATCCAAGGGGGGGGGGGGGCCACATGGGTCATGACCCCCCTTGGTGCCCGGGTGGTGCCTGTCAGGGGCACCACCAGCCCGCCAGGGGCACCACAGGCCTAGCAAGGGCACCACGGGCCTGTGAGGGGCCCACAGGCTTGTCAGGGGCACCCCAGGTCTGTCAGGGACACCAGAGACCTGCCAGGGGCACCACCGGCCTCGCAGGGGCACCATGGTCCCGTCAGGGGCCCTGCCGGCCTCGCAGGCATCACGGCATCACGCAGGGGCACCTTGGGCCTGTCGGGGACATCACGGGCCTGTTGGGGGCGCTTTAGGCTTGTCAGGGGCACCGCAGTCCTGTCAGGTCCCAGGGGCATCAGCAGCCTAGCAGGGGCACCCTAGGCCCGCCAGAGCCACCACAGGCCTGCCAGGGTCCAGGGGCACCACAGGCCTAGCAAGGGCACCATGGACCTGTCAGGGGCACCTCAGGCTCCCGTGCCCCCCCCCCCCCTGGATCGGCCAGTGATGCCACACCACGCGAAACACCGCCAACTACCAGCTGCCGCGCCATAAACACGTGCCAACAACAGTCTTTTTTTAAGGTCTTAGGTCGACTCCTCTCGCGCAACTTTTGACTGACCCTCACTGCTACCATATTGCTTCCATATTATGCTGTGGAAAGCTTTACTTCACCAAGTGGCTAAAAACCTCCATCAAGGTATATTTTCTTAGCATTTTTTCGGACGTTTTGGGGGGGGGCCAAACCGGCCACTTTAGGCCTTTGGGAGGGGCCATGGCCCCCGTGCCCCCCCCCTGGATCCGCCAGTGTCGGGAGGGCAAGGAAGTCAAAGTGTCTTAGATAAGCACATACAAAGTAGACGAGCTTGGAAAGTTGCACTGTTGGATCGGACCAATGTTGTGTTGTGTTGTTGTGAATATGTTGTCGGTTTGCTGTGTGCCGTGCGTGCCGATTAGGGTGTACACAGGAAAATGTTTTATGTGAGTGATTATTATTCATGCCAAATGTACGAAACTGCTGATCATCACATATGCTATTTTTTTTTTAGATTGGTACCTGTAGAAATGACCGCAACACCGAGTCATATGAGCGTGAATTGCTTAGGTACAAGTACTTACGCCAACGTGTCTATGCACCTCGAATGCCTTTACCACGCCAAAATATTGTTATTTAATCTGGCTGAAAATAAACATTTTTCACGGAATAAAAACGTTTTTCGCCAATATCTTATTATGTTTATGAAGTCAGATGTATAAAATAGCGCCATCGTGTTTGCTTTTTCCAGTCGGTTCGAATTGTATAAGTTTTTATTTCGAAAGGTCAAATATGAAATTTGACCAAAATTTGACCCTAGGTCAAGGTCACGAAATGACCTTAACATATAAGGCTGCGTATGGCATGATGCGCCTGGCCAAAGTGAACTAATTGATGTGTTTCCCAAATCCCTATACCTATTCTATCAAAAGATATAGACATAAAAGGCATATGAATGTCGTGAGTCATAATGTGACCTCGGATGACCTTTCCGCGGGTCACTGATGCAAAATTGCACCAGAGTGATCAATAATAACCTAATATGGTATGATTATGAAGTAACTGTACCAGTCCGATGCGTTTTAGTGGCCTAACCGGTACTTTTGCCATTGACTTATAATGGGCAGGTCACAAAGATGACCTGACCTGAGGTCAATGCAGGCCGATAGCCATGTTTTTTATTGTCGCATATGAACGACCATTGATAAGGCTTGAATCGTCATCAGACCAAATTTTAACTTTCAGGTGGGAAAGTGTCAAGGTCACTCTTCAAAAAATAGGTCAAGAGGTCACGTGACCAAAATTTTCGAAAATCGAAAATCCGAGATAGCCAAAAGTTTCCTTGGTTGATTTTGAGTTGGAAGACATAAAGTTATCCTTATACAAAAGTTAATAGTTTTTTAGTTATGAGCCGCCAAACATAGGGTTGAAGCGTGACCTCCAGAAATTGCCCGAGGCTATATCTCGTTAACCGTTCGTCGAAAAAAAAAATCATCGCCACAGCTGGCTTTCCGGCCCAAAACAACCCCCTAGACGAATTTTGAGCGAAAAATAAAATATGAGGGTGCACAGCTTTGGTCGATCTATCGTGGAATGCCCCACGTGCGAAATTGCGAGGGGGTACCTCCAACTGACTTGTGCACGGCACCCTACTAACTGGTCTCTAGCGATGTGCCAAATTTGGGCACAATCGGCCCAGCCGTTCTCGAGATCTGGAAGCGGCACCCTGCACGTGCGCACGTGCAAAATGGGTCCCAACTGACTTGTGCACGGCACCCTACTAACCGGTCCCTAACCGTGTACCAAATTTGAGCGCAATCGGTCCAGCCGTTCTCGAGATCTGGAAACGACCCCTGCACGTGCGCACGTGCAGCAGCACCCCAACTCTGGCACATGTATATGCAGTGCCTAGTGGGTGCCTACCTACATGCCAACTTTCAGCGCAATCGGCCAAGTAGTTACCGAGATATTGCAACAATTACAAAAGTGACACCTCTTCGTTTTGCACGTGGCACGTGCATAAGGGGTCACCCACATGCATCGGGAATAGTCCAATACTTGGTAGAAGGAATGAAGCTACCCTACAAAAATTACCGCGTGTAAATCGGTCAAGTGGTTGCTGAGATATAAGCCTCGCAAAAGCGTGACCACGGCCGGCCGGCCGGCCGTCCGCTCATACTCAGAAATTTCCGTTAATCTAAGGAAAGACTACGCTCGCTTCGCTCGCTCCGTAAAAACGCTTTACACTAGATTTGACCCACATGTTTCTCATGTCAAACTCCGTTTTCTGAAATTCGTGCTAGTTTGCGAGACATCAGTAACCAAAGTCCAAATAGATGTCATCACGCAGTGCTTGGGTTTCCAGACGAACCTGATGTGCACACCGCTTCAAGAGCCACCACTTCAGGAATGACGCGTGCGACTACGGCGCCGCCCGTGCCGGGGCTGGCCCCTGTGACAGGACCGCCGCCCGTGCCGGTGCTGGCCCCCGCGGCCGAGGCACCGTCCGTGCCGGGGCTGGCCCCTGTGACAGGACCGCCGCCCGTGCCGGTGCTGGCCCCCGCGGCCGAGGCGCCGCCCGTGCCGGGGCTGGCCCCTGTGACAGGACCGCCGCCCGTGCCGGTGCTGGTCCCCGCGGCCGAGGCACCGTCCGTGCCGGGGCTGGCCCCTGTGACAGGACCGCCGCCCGTGCCGGTGCTGGTCCCGGTGCGGAAGAGGACGAGGGAATGGTATCTCCCGTCAGACCGGAGGAAAATCAAGGTGTGCAAGGGATATTTCCTTACCTCACTGGGGATGAAACCTACCAACGACACGCCGGTGCGGAATGCGCTGGAAAGGGAAGGCATGACGGCGGTTGCACCCAAGGACAGACGAGGTGACAGCGCAGCAGCCAACAAGTGTGACCGCGAGGCCATAAAGGAGCATATCATGTCCTTCGAGCCCGCAGTGCCGCATTATAGATACCTCCATGCGCCGAACAGAAGGTATCTTCCGCCCGAACTGTCTGTATGCAAGATGTACAGGGACTTTAAAGCCAGTCGTGAGAGTGCATGTTCTTTTGAAACGTACCGGAAGGTCGTCAAGGACCTCAACATCGGCTTTACGCACCTGTCCGGGGAGGAATGTGAGACCTGCAAGCTGCACGCGGTACACAAAGGAGAGTGCAGCGAGACGGAAGGCGACGGCGGATGCGAGGTCTGCACAAGACACAGAGGTCACATGGCACAGGCTCGACGAGCAAGACAGGAATATCGCTATGATGCCGAACGCGACTGGGACGACAACGAGCTGGTGCTGAGTGCGGATATGATGAAAGTTTGCATGCTTCCAATCCTGCCGCACAAGACCTGTCTCTTCACCAGACGCATCGTGGCGTACAACGAGACATTCAGCTTGATCCAGTCTACTGACAAGAGGAGGAGCAGGGCAAACAAGGAGAGAGGCCTGGCGGTGCTTTGGCACGAGGGGGTCTCAGAGCGAAAGGCGGGTGACGTAGCAAGCTCCTATCTGGCCCTCATCAAGGCCAACCGAGACACGAAGCAGTTCACCATCTTCTGCGACAACTGCTCTTCGCAAAATAAGTGCTGGGTGGTGCTGTCAGTTCTCCTGCATGCTGTGCAGTCAAGTGACCTGGCTGTTCAGCAAATCACGCTGAAATATCTCACCACCGGACATACGGCGATGTCAGCAGACGCCGATCATCAAGTCATAAACAAAAGCATAAAGCGAAAGAAGTCAATCGAGGATTTCAATGACTTCGTTGAGACTGTCGCAAGCACGGGCCTGCGGGTGAAGAACATGAGCGGCACAGACTTCGTCGAGGCGGAGAACGTGTTCAGTGAGGCGAAGATTCGCTTACTCCAGGGCATAGAGGCACGCCCGTATCTCCGAGACTTCCAGGTGGTGCAAGTGAGGAAAGGGTCAGGACTGCTCTACACAAAGAGCAGCTTCGACCAGAGTGACTGGAAGACGTACAACCTGCTCAAAGCCAAAGTCAGCATCGACCGTCCCCTGAATATGCGGGAGAAGGAGCGGTGTGTCAACAAGCAGAAGATCGACCAGCTGTGCGACAACCTGCTCAGCTTGATCAGCAGCCACAAGCGGTCCTTCTGGGTGACTCTGAAGGAAAACGCCAAGACGAGTGTGCGGGATCTGATTGGCTAGGCAGACGAGAAAGCAATACACAGGCTTGCAGACTCGCAACGCATCGAGGACCACACAAATGATTCAGTTAGTCGCGAAGGACTTGTCGAGTCCGTTTTTCTATTATCCCGCATTCGATTGCGGTACACGAGTTTCAGTTGTTCGCGGGTGAATTGTTAGGCCCGTTGTTGTTACCCCGCATTCGATTGCGGCACACAACATTCAGTGGGTCGCGGATGGATTTTTAAATCAATTTTATTGTTACCCTGTATTTGACTGTTCTCTGCCAGTGAGTACTCAGTCTGGCTGTTCTGTGCAATGACAGCTGTCACTGTGACTGTCACTGTCACTGTGACAGCTCTGACTGTGCAGTGTTTAACCCGCGCCCCGCTGGGCTATTCAGCCATACGCGCCCTGCTGGGGGGGGGGGGGGGCAGATTCTGCCCCCCCTGTCTAACTTCCGAACCAATGGTCGTAGAAAGACGGGGAAAACGGCAATCGAAAGCTCTCAACAAGGCGGATCTTAGGAGCCCAAATTTTTTTGCTTAAGTAGGTCAGAGGTCAGGTCAAGGTCAGGTCAAGGGTACAAAATGCAAGTTTCTACAGTATCGGCCTTGCACCGTAGTTGCCGAAGAATGGACTGAGACTGATTGCCCAAAACGTGTTCTTAGACTACCAAGACATTATTCGTTGCACACAATGTCATTCAAAGGTCAAGGTCAAGGTCAGGTCAGGTCAGGTCAGGTCACCAAAAACAAAATATAGAAAAGGGCATGTGCGACACATGTTTTATGGGTCATTTTACTCATGGAATTCAATAGGCACACTCAATAAGTGATATGGACCACCTCTGGATGAATTTCAGGTCGAGGTCAGGTCAAGGTCAGGTCAAGTGAGGTCAAATTTTGAAGTTGGTTGTTAAGGCCTAAAAAGGTGTCTATCCGATGCAGTTTTTCACGGCGAATCGAATGGTGCTATTTTTGTTTCCGTACGAGGTCTAGAACTTCCAAAAAAAATCATTTTTCAAAAATTTTGTGTGTCATGACGTCATAAAATTTTGAATAACTCCCACATTTTTGAACCGATTCTTCTAAAAATTGGTATGTAGGTGCACATAGACCAGTTCTTTGACATATATTCCGGTTTTTTCGATAAACCCAAAATTTTGGATTTTATAAATATTTTCCCAAAAAAGTCAGTTTTTTGGAAAAATTTTGGCCAAAATCCAAAATTTTCAAAAAACTGAGATAGCCATTTGATAGACAAAGTAGAATCACGTATAACCTATTTTGTTACGTCTTGATTCATTTAAAAATGAAGATGTTAGCGGCGTTTGAAATTTTGCCGTTTTTGAGGCGAAAATGGCGAACATGACGTCACTAAAACGTCAATTTCTCAAAAAAATTCCGACGGATTTCGCTCAAATTTTCAGGGAGCGTGTCAAATTGATGTATGATAAGGTACTGAAAGTTTGACGTTGCTGGCGTAACGCGTTTAGAAGTTATTGGCGAAAAACGGGAGGGGGGGCAGATTCTGCCCCCCCCCCCCAGCGGGGCGCGGGTTAATACACATATTGTTATATTCAATATCACCCAAAGTTCACAGCACCCTGTTGTTTTACAGCTGTGCCTGAATACACGCCATTGTGTGATTTTCAATACATCTTCATTCATTCATTCATTCATTTCTTTCACTTCCGGTGGAGCATACGTCTTTTTTATGGTCGTTTTGGCGAAGCGTGGACAATATCGACAAAGGGCAGAAAATCGGACAGTGGACTTACGTTTCTGATATAGTCAGTAAGATTGCAATAGCCAGGAAGCACCCAAAATAGAAAACGTATGTTGTTAGATACGGTTTTATGCGCGTAGATTATTAGTCATGGTGACCAAGGCAAGAAAACGTATAGGAACCGTATCCGCCACCTTCCGTGTCGGCTGTGACTTACGTTTTTTTGCCTCGATATTTTTCTCGAGATTGGGTTAATACGCAAAGGCAATTAAACTTTTTCGAATTATCTCGATAGGTTTATATTTTTTAAAATAAAATCATATACCAATGTCATGCCCGTTCAAAGGCGGTTATTTTGATACCCAATTTACACAAAAGAATGCAGCAAGTTTTCATGTGTTGCGCAAAACACGAAAAAATGCTCTCCTGTAAAATTTGTTCAATGGCGCTTACGGTTTTCTTCCTTTGCACGGCAGATGGGTGAGATCGACGTTATCTTATCACGCAATTAAAGTCGATACGTTCAGTGTGGCGCAGAAGGCTCGCCAAAGTAGCGGCCGTGGCGCGTATATCGACACTCGCTCTGACCACGCTCACTGCACGGCACGTGCTAACCTCGGCTGGGGCCGTCCACTCTGCACTAGAACATGCACCTCTGAGCGAGTGTTCCACTCCGACAACGCGTGTTGGATATTGAGCCTAACGGCTAGGCAGTAACCTCGGCTACATACAGTAGTATGTAATACGTAACCATACCGCGGATTCTCACGCTCTCCGTATCTACACGGCGACGGCGGCCTCCCGGCGCTGGACGTGCCGCTGGGCGTACGGCATGGCCAGCCACACGGCGGCGGCCAGGAAAGGCAGCGCGGCCAGCACGTAGATGACCAGGTGGGGCGAGGGCGCCGCCTGGCGCAGCAGGCCCACCAGCGGCGGCCCGGCCAGCAGCGTCACGCCGCTCAGACACACGCTGAGGCCGTACGACGAGCCGAGCCGCTCCAGGCCCAGGTACTCGATCAGCATCACCGAGTAGAGGCCCATGACGCCGCCGGTGGCCAGGCCGGCCAGCGCCACGGCCAGGCCGGCGGCCGGGTACTGGGCGGCGGCCGTGGGCAGGGCGGCCAGAGCGGCGGCGCTGAGCAGGTAGCAGGCCAGCAGGTAGGCGCGCCGCGGCAGCAGGCGCAGGTCGGAGAGCGCTGCCCCGCCCACCCGGCCCACCAGGTCGCAGCCGGCGAACACCGAGAGCAGCAGAGACGCCTGCTGGCGCCGGTAGCCCAGGTGGGTGACGTACGACGGCAGCACCACCAGCACGTTCGACACCGACACCTGCAGCGGGACAAAGGTCAGGTCAGGTCAGGTCAATAAAGGTAACACAGGTATAACGGCCAAACGTCGGGGCAAACAAGTCAATTATGGCGAGAGGCAAGACAAGTCGACGGCAGACCTGATACGCCGCATGCGAAGGAAATACAAATAAGAGTGTGCGAAATGGAGAAGCAGGATGTGTGAAATGAAAAACTGAGTACGAAACAACGAAAACGAAGCGTGCGAGCACAAAACAACAAATAATTCGCAGAGGGTGTCTTCAGGCTTTTACTCTGCAGTTTACCTTCGAATATTGGACGCTTAATGTAATGCATTAACGCAATTGATGAGAGCGTTGTAAATCAACAGAACGATGGGCACGTGCACGAAGGGTGTAACAAAGCTACATCCCACATTCGTCAAACTCAGGCAGAAGTTCAGCTAAGCCGACATTCGGTACGATTAGCTGTGCGATTCACGCAAAAGAAAATTAACTAAATTATCGGAAACATACGGAGTCAGCACACACCATTTAGGAGAATGAATTTTCCGGAATGGAGACCAGCATTTGAAGCTGTCGTGTTTCCAATTAGCACGACCAAGTCACTGCGTACAAACCGATCACCTGTAGCGCGGGGCCAATAACGCTGATACAATTAGCTGGGCTGATGTTGCGATTATCGGCTCGTCACAGTGGCGACTGCGGTCGGCGACACGCGACCTGATGAGCTGCCAGGGGTTTTCGAACGGCGGCTCGTCCGCGACCGGCGCCATTGCTGGATGGAACGCGGTGCGGTACGGACGTCCACTCCGGAGGGTGAAGTATGGACAATAGTAAGAAGTACGGCGTGAGTACAGCTTTGCCATCAGACATGCGAGGGACGGCACGGGTATTGTAGGCAATTTAAGAATCGCTAATTGAGAGCAGTATCTAATGAGTCCAGTGGAGTTTGATGGCCCCTGGTGCCCTATTACGCGGTGTTAAATCAGCCGGCGGCTGAGTCGGCGGCGCAGAATCGTTACACCGGGTTGTACCGGTATAGGTACATCATTGGGGCGCTGAGGGGCGCCAGTGCGCGCCGACCGGCCGCCATGCTCGCAGCCGGAGCGGACCGAGCGCCGACCGGGCCGTCGCCCAACCATCTGCTGACGCTCATCACCGCCGGCTGCGGACTGGCGCGCGCCGCCTGCGTCATGTTCCTGCTGCTCCTCTTCTACTGGAAGAGCGAGGAGTTTTTCTCGGACAAGACCACGTCTCTAGTGTCGTACGGCCCGAGCGGGCGTCTGCCGAGCGTGAGCGTGTGTCAGGCGCGCGAGCGGGTGCCCAGCCCTGGGCCCGTGGACGACCCGCTATGGCCCGACAACGGCACGCTGCGGGACTACCTGGCCATCTGGGCGCCCGCGCTGACCGACGTGCTCACCGACGTGACGGTGGCGGCCGAGGACAGCAACGGCACCCAGCTGGAGCTGCCCGAGGGCCACTGGCACACCGCCGTGCTGCTGCCCGGCCAGCAGCTCTCCGAGATCGTCTGCTTCACCACCGAGGTGCGCGCCACCGGCGCCACGGCCATCGAGCGGCTCGAGCTGCGCGGCCGCCGGCTGCCCGGCTTCACCGGGCCGTGGCTGGCCGTGCACTTTGTGCCGCTGCTCCACAGCCACGTCATCTACGCCGACGACACGCAGAAGAAGATGGAGCTGGTGAAGGTGTTCTGGCCGCCGGAGCGGGTGCGCTCGGTGGCGCTCTCGGTGACTTGGCACCACCTGCGTTACCTGGATCGGCCGCGCCGGCCGTGCGCTAACGGCGCCGGCCGCCGCCACTGCCTGGAGCGGAGCCGCCTGCGGGCCGCCGCCGCCGCCGCCGGCTGCCTGCCGCACTTTGTGACGCCGCCGAGCGCCGCCGAGGCCGAGCTGCCCGACTGCGGCTCGCAGGAGAGCTACCTGCAGTTCGTGGCGCGCTTCCAGCTGCCGGTGACGGCGGCGTGCCCGCGCGCCTGCAGTCAGCTGGTGCCCGAGATAGTGCAGCTCACCACCCGTGACCCCAAGGGGCTTCAGGTGAGCGCAGAGGTGAGCACACAGGTGGGTCGGGCCGGCCGCGCGTCTCCGCCGGTCCTCGCTCCGCGCGCCGGACAGCAGCAGACGGCAGTCGCCGCCCATTGATAACGTACCGTCTCAGATCGGCTGATGCTATGAATGAGGCCGCCTCACGCCCCGCCACCATCTGTGTGCTCAGGAGTGGGTTCGTTCGACCCCTCCGATGTGGATGAGTGAGACTGGGAGAGAGAAAGAGAAATAAATATATAGGGAGAGAGAACAAAAGGAAGATACACAGAGGGAGAGGCAGACGTAGATAGAGGGGATAGATAACGAGAAGGGAGAGAGGGAGATAGAGGGGAGAAGGGAGAGAAAAGGAGGAAAAGAAAAAAGCTAGAGATAGAGTAGATGTAGATAAAGAGATGAGAAAGAGGGGAGAGGGAGACACACACAGAGAGAGAGAGAGAGAGAGAGAGAGAGAGAGAGAGAGAGAGAGAGAGAGAGAGAGAGAGAGAGAGAGAGAGAGAGAGAGAGAGAGAGAGAGAGAGAGAGAGAGAGAGAGAGAGAGAGAGAGGCGTATCCGCCTGTGTGTATCTGTCTGCGTGGATGTTGTCTGGCGGGGCTGTGGCTGGCTACCATGCATGTGGAAAGAAGCAGGTTGTATCCACTCGGAGCTCAGTACGGCTCCAGCAGACAGGTATGTGACAGGTGCAGCTATGGCTTCTTCTGTCTATCTTCTGACGGGGGTGCAGCCGGACGACTACAGCCCCAGCGACCAGCAAGCAGGTTTGGCTCCAGCTTCAGGTGTCTGTGGGATGTTTATTGTGTTGTCTTTTGGCATTGCGTGACTGCCGGGTGTGCTGTAGATCGTTCTTTTGGACCGAGTGGTTTCAGGCCGGTATCGCGGTAAGTAGCGGGTGTGCTGGTCCGACCCGGCCCTCCGTCTGTCTGTGTGTCTTCCCGCGCTGTGCGTACCGCCTGACCGTGTGACCGACCAGCAGGCGGACTGGTTCGTCACCATGTACCTGGACACAGCCGAGATGATGATCATCGACGAGCGGCCCATCACCACCGGCGCCGACCTGGTGGCAGACGTCGGTGGCATGCTCGGCCTGCTGCTCGGCTACTCCGTGTTCACACTGATCGGCCAGCTGGAGGAGGCGCTGCGCGCCGTGGTGCGCCGGCTGGCCGCCCGCGACCGGTGGCTGCGCCGGCTCGGCGGCCCGGCCGGCCGGCGCGCCATGGTGGCCGCCGCCGGCGCGCTGGGCAGACAGCGGCGTCCGTCCAGCGCGCCGGCGCCGCCGCTGCCGCACCACGCCGACGCCGGCGGCCTGACGACCGTCTCGGCCACTGCGCCGGCCGACGTGGGCTCCGTGTTCACCACGCTGACGCCGCGTCACCAGCCGCATCAAGGCACCGAGCCGGCGCGCCCGCCCGCCAAGGGCGGCTCGGCCGGCCGGCGCCGGCGGCGCGGCCGCTGCTCGACGCTCGGCTCTACCAAGACGCTGCGGCCGCAGTTCAGCCAGCAGGAGCTGCTGGCGCCAGGCGCCTGGGGCCAGCCGGCGCCCGGCGCCCAGCGGGCCGTCCGAAACGGCCATTGAGCGGACCGACGACGCGTCGCGACACCGCCCCACCGACCGCGGATATAGCCGAACTGTCACTAACTTGTTGTGGTGCACCGTTCAATGGTAGCCTTCGTTGTCATTCTTTTGTTCTCATGCGATGTGTAATATGCATTCCATGGAATCGGCACTATAGCACTGGTGATATCTACATGGTGTTCCTGCACAGCTGTGCGGAAAATGCGATAATACACGATATAGGTACCTCTTGCAAAGTAAGTACCATCTCTGTGGACAACTGTTGCCACTCGATTCTCCCAATTAGCGTCCTCTCACGTCGCCTTACTACGACCAGTCCTAGTGGTAGTGAAAGTATGATGAGTTGTTACCGAATGAATGACAGCCTGCATTGCAGTCACTACGTGTATGACCATAATTACTGTTTATATTAAACGGCACTATTCCTTTTCTCACTCGTTCACGATTTAACTACATGTAATGTTATCATGAATGACTTTATGTAAATGTACAATGCGCATGCCCGTGGCAATGCAAGGTTTCTTGAGGAAACATGCTGTCATAATATTACGATGTAATAGTGCACATCATGCATCTTCATATAACCTTGATGGGCTCAGCTGGCCTCACAGAGCACAGCGTTAAACACATGTTGCTTTTGAAATAGACCAATTGCGATAAATGATTCGTCTTCATAAATCTGTTGATGAGCAGGGCTGGAGGCCAGAAAGGGTCCACTGCTAATCAAGCTTCGGTATGTGCGGGAGAGGGACTGAGGACGTTGAACACATGACTAACCTGAACGCTGGGGCCTCCGAACCCGACTGAAAGCAGATGTGATTGACACCGAGCACACACGTCTACCATGAATTAGCTGGTTCGGCATTCGAAACGACTGACCTGGAACAGGGCGCTGGAGGTGATCATCAGCAGAAACACGGGGTTCCAGAGCAGAGTGAGCTCCACCAGCGGGCGGCGCGGCGGCGGCGGCGGCGGCGGCGAGGACGGGGGCGGCGGCCGCTCGGCCGGCGAGCACACGCTGCCCGTGCGCCGCCGGATGGCCGCCTCGATGATCTGGTGCGAGCCCTGGCGCTGCGAGGCGGCCAGCGCGCTGCCGTGCAGCACCGTCGACAGATAGTAGAGCGACTGCACCGAGCCGCTGCTGCAGCTCAGCGTCTCGGCGCACGGGGAGGCCGGCGGCGGCAGCGGGTGCGAGGCGCGCCGGCCGAGCGCCGCCGACCGGCAGCCCGGCGCCGGCCGCTCCGGCTCCCCGCAGGAGAGCGGCGGCGGCGAGTGGGCGCCGGCCGCCGGCACACGCACCATGTGCCACTCGACCGGCTGGTACAGCGCCGCGCACGGCACCACGTGCAGCAGCACGGCAGCGAGCAGCAGCATGGCGTCACTGCCGGACAGCGCGCAGCGACACACGTCAGCCAGCAGCGCAGACCCCATATTTACAGAGCGTTACAACAACCAAATTATCTTTAAAACGCTCTCACGCTGACATAGCGCGCCATCGGAAAGCTGAAGAAGCGAGAGGCCGCCCCCTGGCCCTGCTTTCCTTTTTCAGAAGCGCAACACGCAATAAGTCTTCGACAAGCTCATCGATGTACCTATAATTAAATTTCGCTCGGTTCATACTTTATTTCTCACAAAGCTGATGCAATATTGCATCACAGGTAACATCGTCCTTCGTACTTCATGGACGTTTCGGACAAATGAAAGTCAAGGAACCAGTTTACGCCAGTTTTCAGGCTACGTTCCATCATATGGACGATACTAGTGCGACATTTCAAATCAAGCACTCCCCATACCTCCCGCGATTACTGTGGCGCGGCCGTCACTCGTCATAATCCCCCAATAGAGTGTTGAACGTTTAAATCCGCCGATCGACGTGCCCCTGTAGCGGCCCGGCCCCGACCAATAGGCTAATGTATCCGGCTGTCGACGTCCGGTCGCCACCCGAACGCCCCGATCCGACCGACCAGCACTCATCAGCATAAGGTGGCGATTGATTGCCGAGCTGAGCCGGGCTCTCCCGCGGGAGTGGCGTGCCCCCGACTCCGCGCACGGCCGGCGGTAGGGACAGTGCCGCGGTCTGCGGCTGGACAAGGTATGGGTCGGGCGAGTGAGAGGGTACGGCGGGCACGGCCGATCGCCCACGGACGTAGAACGATCAACGAAGGGTATACTAATTAACACTAATCCACCGCTCACTAACTAGGTCAACAGGCGAGATCAACCGTACTTAGGTTTTCAGACTCGCTAACCCGCGGCATCGCGCTCACTAACGACACCACATGGACCCAATGGCGGCGCACGCTCTACAAGTTTTCAGGATCAGAGTCGATTGGGAACTGTCAGTGTTGCAGAGGTGCGCCCTGCGACTCATCCTCGACCCATTTGTGTGACCCAAAGCAAGCCTCCGATAAAAACACATTGAAAAAATCATGGTGTGTCGTTTCGGGAACTAGCGAATGAAGTTTAGTACCGCCGTTCACCGGTGGATGGCGCTAGCTGGTAGTTTCGGCGAAAACTCCGTCTGAGATGTTTGAAGGCTTCCCTTAATCCCTTGTTCAAACATGGACCCCGTCAGCCCCGGCAGAGGTATTTGTCCAGTGTACGTGTACACTGTACACCGCACCTGAGGACGGGTCAGCTGAGGGAGGGGAGTCACTATTGTGGCCTGAGGAATGCCGCGCCGGTCGGGGGACGGGGTCGGGAGGAGGGGGGGGGGGGGGAGGCAGCGCCGTTCTTGCGGTGACGGGCTGGCTTGTCGCCTCAGCCTGGCATACGCTCAGTCGGCGAGGCGCTGCGCATGACCCGGGAGCAGCTGAGAGTCCATGACTCCATATAGACAATTGGCTCGTTTGTAAGCACGAACACTTGGAATGTTGCTGGTGCACTGGCGGTCGCAGCCGCTAGCTAAAGGGGGGGGGGGGGGGGAGGGCCAAATTCACACTCGCGGGACATGACATTTATCCGTCACCGGAGGGGGGGGGGGGTGATCGGCTAATGTTTTACGTCCACGAGGCGCCGCGCAGTTGGCACTACTTATGCCTCAGCCATCTCATTCTTGCGTGGAATCTTTAAGCTAAATTTAAGGCAAAATCACCAGTTCCATTTCCCGTCACACGGTGTTTCCACCGCGCGGGCCACTGCACCATGGCGACGGATCGGTGTAGCATATACTGGAAGGTCGGGCACGCGGATTCATGACCTTACCACTATAAAACAATTCGGAAAAGAACAGAATCAGATACCTACCTCTTGCTCTGAACAAGCATGTGAAACCCAGAGAGCATTTTCAGACTATTATGACATTTACCCATATAGTTCTGTGTGGCGGCGGGAGAGAGTAGGTACACCGACCTCTGGAGACCAAAGGTTCCTGGCTTTCAAAATTGGCATCTGAGGGCCGCGCGCGACTCCTGCGGGCTTCGCAACGGCTCTTTTTGGGCTCACTCAACCTGCCTAGTCCTCATGCTAAAAAGACTGGCCCTGAGCCCTGAGGACTTCATCAGTCTCTGCCAGCCCCAGGACCCACAACGGCTCATGGGGTCCCGACGTCGAAATATGAGGGAATCTACGCGGGACCAGCAGGACGTAAAAAGATCTCGATCAGGACCAACGTAAGGCTGTGCAGGTCGCAGGAGTCTGCATAAGCCCTCTGATCTTTAGAAGCCCTCCATGTATGTTTTCACTTAGAGGCCAGTTAAGGGCCCTCAGAAACCAGTACAGGGCCTGCAAACTGCAAAGGCCAGTAGTTTGAGACCATCAGAGACCGAGTTGGGCTCTCAGAAGCTAATGTGGGTCCTTACTCATTACAGGCCAACGTGGGGCCCTCAGAGGTCAGCGTGGGGCTCTAAAAGACCGGCATGAGCCGTCGTTGGACCCCAGAGGCCAGCAGAGGGCCCTCAAAGGCCAAGATGGGCCCTCCTCAGAGGCCAATGCAGGCCCTTAGAGGCCGGCATCGGGCCTTTAGCAGCCAGTGCGGGGCCCTCATTGGCACCTAAAGGTTCGTCTTGGGACACCAGAGACAGAAATAAGGCCACCAGAGACCGGTGTGAGACGCTCAGACGCCGGTTGGGGCCCCTGAGGCCGGTTAGGGGCCCTCATAGGTCAGATGTGGGGCTTCAGAGGTCGATGTGGGCTCTTAGCGGCCAACGTGGGCGCTTGACCTCCACTGAAGTTCCCTCAGAGGTCAGTGTAGCACGCTCAAAGACCGGTGTGGGATCTATATTAACCCGCGCCCTGGTGGGGTCTGTTTATAACGCGACCTGGTGGGGGGGGGGGGGCTATTTTTTGCCCCCCCCCCCTCGTATCTCCGAAACTACTGGACGGATCCGAAAAATTCAAACGGCGTTCGAAAGGTCTGTCAAATTTGTTGAGGGAAACCAAATTTTATTGACCTCGGGGTCACCGATGACGTCACAGGTCAGGTCAAAGATGAAATATTTCACCGTTCACGGGTCTTCTGGGGAATGCGCTATAACACCGAGGAAAACGCATTTTGTCGGGAATCAGCGATAGGGCGTCAGTTGCCTAGTAGATATGTTGCTGTTAGAGGTCACTGGTCATACCAGGTCAGGTCACAGGTCAGGTCACCAAAGGTCACCAAGGGTCACCACATGAACCCAACTTTACTAAGGTTATGCGATGCATGTTTTATGGCCAGTTTTTCATTTCCAACTCAATAATGTTGGTTATAAGACCATCAGGTACGGTTTAGGTCACTTTCTGGTGGAGGTCAGGTCAAGGTCAGGTCAAAAAAGGTCAAATTTCAAAGTTGATATTTTTGCATGGGTATTGATTCGATGCAGCTCGTCACGGGGAGTCTAATGGTGTCTTTGTTTTGCGCTACGAGGTCTAGAATTGCTGAAAATTGAGTTTGAAAATTTGACGTCATCAATTTTGAACAGTTTTTTCGCTATAACTTGGCCAAAAAAGAGGTATCGATCTCAAATTTGGTATGTAGATAGAAGGCGGTAAGGACTATCACATATATTCCGGTTTTTTCGAAATTCAAAAAACTTTTTGGATTTTTTTGGCTATTATATTCAAAAAATCTATTTTTTTGATTTGTGGGGGTCAAAATCCAAAAATTTCACAAATCCGAGATAGCAGTTTTGTAGCCCTGTCCATTCTACAGCTTTTATGTCTGTATCATTTTTCTGTATTTGCAAAGTTATAGGCCTGACAGCTCTTCCCGCGAAACCCTTTTTTGGGTCGAAAACGGCAGAACATGACGTCACTCTGACGTCATTTCCGGCCAACCTATCATAGCCTTTGGAAATTTTTTGGTCACAATGTGTAAAATTGATGTCCGGGAGGGTACTGAAAGTTTGGTGACGATCGGCGCAGTGGTTCTGGAGATATATCGAAAAGTCTGGAGGGGGGGGGGGGGGCAAAAAATAGCCCCCCCCCCCACCAGGTCGCGGGTTAATAGCTGGGAGTGGGTTTTTGAGCCTCGTGACGATCGAATAAGGGCCAGGGCCCCATACACCTATGGGGGCCCATCGGTTGTTTGAGGGGGACAAATGATATGATGGCCCCCTTTATTGGCCTTTGGGGGATATGGCCCTGATGCTCCCCCCGCGACCGCCACTGTGTACACATTACACACGGGCCTCTGAGATTGCATACTAGCTCATGCAAACTCTGAGGTGCACAGTACCAACCCATGAGGTCTTACTTTAGTGTCGTAGAGCCACGCTCATTTGGCAGGGCCCACCCGCCACTGCCGAAAAGGGTCTCATGCCAGCCATTGCTGGGCCTACGAGAGCCTCAAGTAAACCCACGCTGATATTCCATATAAGATCCGGCCATACTCGTGAACCGGTGCCAGCGACGCTGAACGCCAAATTGACAGAATGCGAAACTGAGCCCATTCATGAGTGAAATTTACATCCTTTGATGGCGCAAGAAAGAAAATGAAACATACAAAAGGCTTTCTAAGACTTTCGTTCGATCTGAAAGGTGGGGCCAAACGATAGTATGGCCCCACCTTTCAGCACCAAAGGGGGGGCCGTGGCCCCCGTGCCCCCCCCCCCTGGGACCGCCTATGTGCTGGTGCAGAATTTAAGCATAGGGACGATGTTTTTTTTTGTGCCAAATTTTGTGTAGGTAGGTACATGTAGGGAATTTATAGAAATTTATTGTGACAAAGTTTCCAAAAAATCTGTCCAATTTTTTAAGATATCGAGGTTTTAGTGACGTCATGATTTGAGTTTTCGACACGACACATGTTTAAAAAAATCATGGGTATAAAATCACAGAATAGACATACAGACATGCCGTAAACGTCATTGGACTGCCAATACCTACCATGAACAATCAAATTGCCATCTTCGATTTTTGATTACCTATCGTTCTACGGTTTCCAAAATCTTGAATGGAATC